TGACGTTTCTTTTGCTTGCACCCGCAAGAACGAAATGGTTAGGGTGACATAAAGACAGAAAATCGCGAAGGGACCGCTTAGGTAGATTTTGTGACATTTATTGTGCAGTCATACTTCGATACTCTTTTGCGTTACGTGTTATCAGTGACGTTCTGTGGAGCAGTTGTTTTGAAAGTTATGGACTCCTGCAAGCCTATCACTAGCAGAACGATGGACGATTACCGAATTCGCCGACAATCAAATTCTGTGCTGACTTATTCCCTGCTCACAGATGTCCGTCCACTATAAAGTTTAAAATAAGACTAGAATGCGTGGGCGTGAATTGATCAAGCATCCCTTTAACTTCTAAGGCGTACTTTCCCGGCAAATAAAATGAACTGAATGTAAAAAGTGAAAGAGAAATAGCGAAAAATTCAACTTCTAATTAAATCTTTTTGATGGTTTACAATAAACTATTCTCAAAACTGAGAATGAAACTGAGAATGTTTTGATCAAAGCTGTGTAAATTGAACTGAAACTGTGCATGGAACCTAGCGTTTCCTTTATTTAGCTCACCTATTGTACATGTGTATGGAATATGTGTGAAAATCTTCACTATGAATCGGTATATTTCAAAGAGCTACACAACGAGCAAGAACACTATTGACTGACAATATACAGAGCAGGGGCAAATGTAGTGTCAACTATGACTAGTTTAATATATCGTCGAGTCGAAATGTGTATGCATAATAAATGTATGGGGTTATTAGGAAATCTGAAACTTGTGTCTTGGTATAAGAGAACTTTGTGTCATCCAGTTTGGTCAGTAATCATACTTGTGATTAAACAAATCAAACTCCCGCTGTGCAGTCATCCAATTTTGTTAATAACTCGTATTCATGATTTCAAACTGGTCAGTGTAAAACGCAGACTGCGGACTGTTGTTTTTCCCATGGAAATAGGGACCTTAAGCATTGACAATGAAACACACGATGATGATGCTTCGCAACCCGGGCAGACTGGGCCAAGGGTTTCATTTTCAGTGGGGAAAACGAAGTTTAAGCAGTGCAGCTTCCCAGACAGACGGCGACTTTTTCTTTGCAAAGGAGTTTGTCTTGTTACAGTCTTGTTATGGCATTCAAAGACCTCCGTAATTTACATCTTATAAGCTATGACAATGTTTAATCAATGGTGGCAAATTTATTGTTCTTTACAACCTGTAATTTGATTGTGGAGGCTTTCTCTTTGTCGCGCAGCTTTTGCTTTTGTTTTGAAGTTAAAAGTGAATACTGAAACAAACCGAACCTGAAAAATAAATTCAAGTTAGCAAGCGAAGAAGTCGACAAAATGCTTAACATTTGGATTCTACATGTACTGAATGACAAGGTGAAGAGTGATTTACACACAAAAAGCATATTTTTATAATAACGTTTTAGCACCTACGGCAAAACTCCGTGAATTTCATTGTCGACGAAGGCTGGATGACGTTTTGACAACCCGATGCATGCCCGGAAGGTTCGCGCAGGAAAATTTCACTTCCGGCCGTCATCGTTGTCCCATTTCGTTGTTGATGTTAAAGGTCCCTAATGAGAATGTGACAATAATAGTCTCATTGTTTTCTAACCCTAAAAACAATAGTCCACAGTCTGCATTTTACACTACCTCGATTTCTAACTGAATTGGACTCCACCAAGTCCTATTAGCATTTTTAATTATGGCTCAGTCAATTCCAAGCGTGCCCATCCCCCCCTCCCGGGCATTTGTCATCTTGTCAGTCCCGCCGGTGGGGAATTTGTAAATTCTAACGGCTAGGAGCAATTTGTGAAAGGTGCTTTATACTATTAACAATCTACCTTTAATGCAAACCGAACGAAGGTTACAACTAGAAGTGAACAACATAAGCTACAAGACAAGAGAATAAATCATAAGATTATGCAATCGAGGAGCACATGTAATCCCCTAGAGAGTGTCATATGATCTTAATCAACGAATCACATTACATGATTATTATAATTTCTCCAACATATACCACGTTTTGATCAGATTATTACAGATTTCCTATAAATACGGCATTTGCAGCTTATTTACTGGAAAGTGCAATTTTGGTGTTGTCCAGAGCGTTGCCTCCATTTGTTAGGCCCCTCTGTGAAGTTTTTCTTTGAATTATTTGGCCCTATTGTGGGGCATTTACGGCTTTTCCAGAAAAATGACAACTGCGTTGGGGGTGGGTGAGGATGGGGGGATGGGCATGCCTGGAGTTGACTGAGCCATTATCTCAAGATTTATAGTTGTGTACATGTAAACTTAATGATATCAGGTTTAACATTTACTTTTATTCAGTGTCTGGTTATTGTATTCAACAGAGTTGATCAGCCAGGAGCTGAGACTATTACGAAATGTAGCTGCAATAGAATAACAGAATTCTTAGGACTTGAGGTGAAGACAGTGATATGTGGCTGGCCAGTAAAATACATTAATCAATAATGAAATATTAGCCTACCTACATGTAGCCAACCCATAAATATGGTCAAATTCATGTTGCAGATTAGCTAGCATGAACAGGGTTCCACAGTACTCTTTGTAAAGATTTTTGCTTTTAGGACCCTCCTTTCAGTTCTTAGACCTCTCATAAGGTGGGTAACGTGGTGAGAAACCTGTACCTGCCAACTCTTATTCATTATACGTGAGTCTCATGCCTGGGGACTGAACACATTGATCTCATTCATCAAGGACAATAATTTTTTCTCATGCCTGATTCACAAATCCAGACAAATTGTTCTTTTACACATAATTAATAACAACAATTTAATTCTATTTTCATGAAAATATTCCAAAAACGCATTGAATGGTGACTTTCTGTCCTAATGAAATCAAAACACTAAAATTGTCGTCTTCTAAATAGCTTCGGAAGTGTTCAAAGTTTGTCGGAACATCTTCTGGCATTAATTTTTTTGATAACATTCAGAAGTCTTTGTAAAATCGTTGGAAATCTTCGGAAGTCGCTGGGATGTTTTCAGAAATTCTGCTCATGACAAGGCAAAAATCTTGCACATTTGACTCAGAAAAAGTTGGCAGGGATAGAAACCTGTTTAGGATCCTCTAGGATCCTGCATAGAAACAGGGGCCTAAACCTGAACATTGGACATTGATTAGGATCCTAATGCTCAGCAAGATCTCTGTATAAACTTAATCATAGAGATGGTATATGAGAGGATCTTTTTAATGTTATTTTGTGAATGGAATAATATTACTTCCTTTTTATCCTAGGAATATGTTTCTTACCTATCAATTAAAGATCCCTTTCAAGATATACGTGAAGGATACAATGAAGAAAAGTGTGTTTCTGTGTGGACTCCAGGTGGTCGTAAAAAGGTACTTGATACAGTCTCAGACAAAAATAGTTGGGACACCTTAACCAAACGCTGTTTTTTCCCTTCTCGTGCTCCCCTCTTCCCTCTCAAAGTTGTTTATCGCGGTTTGGTCACCAAATCTTGTACACCAACATTGAGGGGACAAGGAGACCCCAAAGTGTCCCAACCATTTTGACTGAGACTGTGTTTTTGAGGAATTTTAGGTATGTGACTCCTCGTTGGCTCTAGTGGCGGGAAATCGCTAGGCAGGTATATGCACGTTTCGGAGCCATTTTTTCGGGAAAAGCATTAGAAATTTCAGGGATAGAAAGAGAGAAGTCAATTAATAGAGGAAAGAAGTCTTTGTTTCTTTAATTACAACATTCCACGGTATTAAAAAAGCTTTCGAAGTAGTCGGCTTAAAGAGTGAACAACGGACGAGTCAAAACTGGGCGCAATTATTTCGCAGGCTGTGTATCTTGCCTCTAATATATTGTACCGGTGGAGACACGATTGGACGGGTCACCATAACGGGTCACCATACTATCCAGAGCGTTTTCTAAGACCTCTCTGGTATATATAATGGATTAAGAAAGAAAAGGATAAGGTACTTTCACACTTAATTGAAATAGCCAAGGTTTATATCGCCTTGATATATGTAAGACAAGTTATGAAAACTTTGATCATGGTGACACGATTGTTCGCTGAAAGAAACTTATAAATATCTTAATTGAATTAATGTACGGTGACCCGTGTACACGTCGAGAATAATGCTTTTTTTGACGTTTTAAGGATAGGTAGTGTCCTCGTTTGATATGATTCATGTTTTGTACCTCAAGTCCCACGTTTATGGCACAGTAGTTTGTTTTCGAGCTATTCAGGAAGGTGTATATTTGGGATAAAGAATGAGAACCGATGTCACCATTTGGCGCAAGGCCAAATTAACATATGTTGTAAACAACTTATAAAAAGTTGTCGATTTCACAGCAGTAGCCTGGAATATAATTAAGAAACTTTTTGGCGTCGGACCAAACAGTTACACTATTGTTGGACACCCTTTCTACGCGCTTGTAGTCAAAAGTATCTTTAGAAATTTAGAAAGCGGGATACTGTTCTCGCTGATACGTCTTGGGAATAATCCTGGCTTGTTGCATTTTCTTCCAAACTGGACGAAAAATTCCCCCCTTCAGTCTCCAAATCGCTTAATTGCTCTTTCAGCTGTCTTTCGCCTCTTGCCCTTAAATTAGAAATGCGTCCCTTTGAGCCTTGTTCCTACACTCTTTCTTGGCAAAGAGGCCTTCTCTATTATTCTCCACACATTTTTTCTAGAAATGTGGCACATTCGAGCGCCTCTCCGTATATGAAAACCCCGAATCTTACGTAGATAGTATGCACGTGCTATATTGTCACGCTATCAATCGGCCACTAGAAAGCTATTTGTGTACGGTTTAGTGAACACTCAGTTCCTTTTATTTTCCAATACTCTACTCTGCCCAAGAAATTTCTGCGAACTGGTCATTCTTTGTGTTATGTTGTTATGCCCAAATAACTTAGTTCACTGCTATAGAAACGTTCGCGAAACACAATGGATGCCCAACAAACCAAAAGCCCGTCGCTTGTGACCGACCTACAGATTAACCTCCGTATCTGTCAACACGCCTTCAAATTCCTCACCGACACAGTCTCCGACAAAAATAGTTGGGACACCTTAACCAAACACTGTTTTTTCCCTTCTCGTGCTCCCCTCTTCCCTCTCAAAGTTGTTTATCGCGGTTTGGTCACCAAATCTTGTACACCAACATTGAGGGGACAAGGAGACCCCAAAGTGTCCCAACCATTTTGACTGAGACTGTAGTTACATGGAATAAACATTGTGTAAAGGTGGTGCCCTGAAATATACCATTAAACAGGATGTAGCAAAATATGTTGCAGGAACTACCCTAGTCTTTTGATTGGTTATAGGAGATAATCAATAGTAAAAGTATTATTCAAAACACCCTGCTGTACAACAAAACAACTGATGGAATAGTAAAATTTCCATGAAAACCCTTAGGATCATAAAATTATTTTCTAGGATGTCCCATTGTCAGGTTTTCTGCATCTTTGGTAGCATTGGGTGGCACCTTATCTTTACATTTAAATAGTCAATATTAACAAACATGTTTATGCAAACTGTAGAAAGAGAAAATAAGGCGACAGCTACTTTTTCAATTTCTTACCACAGAGATGTTCATTGTGCCAGGAAGATGAAATGAGTGAAAATCTGATAATTTTTTTTTAACTATCATTTGTTGTGTTAAAATTTATTATGTATGATCTCAGATTTCTTTGGTGTAATGAGGTTTTTCATTGCCAGGTAGATGTCAACCTTTTCCTGACTTTTCTCCAAACGTTCAAGCCTAATATAGCTGAATGTCTCTGTGATACCATTCCAGCCTCCAAGCAGACTGACAAGAGAATTCGCAAATCTGTTGATCGAACATTAAAGTTTCTGGATAAATGTATTGAAGAAATGGAGAGTAAGGTAAATAGTACAGTGTTTAGGTGAATTTTTTTTTTTTTACATCTACCAGTGATTTAAATAAAGTATTAATAAATAAACTGTGAAAGGTTTAAACCCAGGAGTCATTTCATAAGTAGGATGAGTTCAGAGTATGATCATCCAGGTAAACGTAGTCTAAAATAGAACTATTGTTGTTGACAGTGACTACAACAGTCCTATTGAGGACTACACTCACCTGGACGATCATACTTAACCTATTTATGAAATAAATAAACTATTGAGATGTATTCAGTTCAAAATAGTGAAGTACAATTTTAATTGTGTGTTGCAGACAAAAAGTATTCCATATTGAATTCATTTTTTTTTACCTGTGACAAAATACATGTACACTATGTCCAGTCAGAAGCCTTACTTAAAAATTTTCACAAGTGAAGAAAAAAGTTGAAAAAAGGGTGATTTTTAATATAATTTATTGTGTGATTGGAAAGTGTTTCAATAACTACTTATTGTGGTATTTCACCATGACTCGCTAATTACAGTACATTTAAGTGGTCTCCATGCATGAGAAATGAAAACATTTTGGGTTGTTCAGTGAAGCCAGTTTTATTGTTGTAATTTGGTGCCTCAAAGTAAAAATAGTTTTGTTTGCAATTTAATTTTGGCTAATTTATTTTATTTTATTTTTACTTTTAGAGTTTATCTTCTTGTAACTTATTTGGAGTTATTGAGGGCTCAAACTCAGAAAAAGAGCGAATACGATCAGCTTCAGAAACTTCAAAAAGATCTGTAGCAGGTAAAAAGTATAAGAAGACTTTTATTTAATTTATTATTGACTCTCAATAACTGTCAAACCTTCAAGGGAAATCAAAAACAGTTTCAGTTATCAGGAGCTCAAAGCAAAATTAATAACCAGAAAGAGGAAAATGGGATGAGGGAGGAATGCAAGTATCATGCACACTTCACTTCAAGGGCAGCAAAAGATATATTGATTTTTTAAAAAAAGAATTATTAAGCAACAACACTTGATTAATCAGTACAGTGCGAAACAATGTGTTTAAATTGGACGGTTGTTTTTAGAGAAATTCAATATTTTGGACTACAATTCACTGCATTTTTTTCAATTTGCCATGCACTTAAAACTTGGTTTGAGTTATCTAGGGTAAAATTGTATGGAAATGATCTGAAGGGAAACAAAAAAATATTTAGAGTTAGCAGGAGGTTCGAGTTATCTAGGGTTTAAGTTACTGAGGGTAAAATGACAGTAAATGTATGAAGCAAATCCAGGGGAAATTGACTTTGGTTCAAGTTAGCTTGAGGTTCGAGTTAGCAAGGGTTGAGATATCTGGAGTCAACTTTATTATATAAAAACAGGATTTCACACTTTTCATAGTAACATTATTATGACCTGTTTAGTTTTGTCTTCAAGTCCCATCAACTCCATTTAAATAAATTTGTCATCAGATGGGTTGTGAGGGGATCCTTGTTGTGTATTCCTGCTGCTCTTTTTTTTCTGTAAGAGTACTCGTAATTTTATCATTATCATCATAATCATCATCATCATAAGCAATAACACCATCAAAAACACCATCAAACATCATCATCATCAACAACATCATTGATCAACTTGTAGAAATTTTTTTTCTCTTTTTACCCCTACATATTATTGTTTAGGCTTTGTTCTGGAGGGTTTTAGTTCGAGTGAATGTGAATGGAACCACCTGCTGCAGAGGACAGTGGTAGGTATACATGTACTCGGAAACAAGTGAATTTTGCAGAGGCCTTGATTTTATACTTCTAGGGTGAAATATTTGGCTAAAAAATCTGTTGAGCATTAAAATATGTTTTCACTAATATTTCAAATTATCATACACTGTGCAGTGAAACGTTTCCTCTTCAAGTTTTACCTTCAATCATCTACCCTGCAAGCAGAGGTTTCTCTCTTGCATGTCTTTTAGTGTTTTAGTCATTCGCATCGCTTGTCGGTCACGAGGTTGGTTTGTTTTATATGCCCCAGGAGAAACTGGTGCTCGTGTCGTTGCAAGCAAAAGAAAGTGACTTTTTGGGTGGAAAAGGTCCCTTTATATAGACAAAAAAAGAATGCACTGTTAGAGAAAGTAACCAATTAGAAGTGTAGGATTTTGATCTGTTACTCTTGAATTTGCATGTTCTTTTGTTAGCTGCAAGCAATAGATACTAATTGAATGGATTCAGATCTGGGGGTAGGATGTTTGTTAAAACTTCATGATGGTTTTTAGCAAGTAAAGCCTTTAAAAAATGCATCTGAAAAGTCAACAATACAGGCGAGTCTAATTTTGATTTTAGCGCAAATCGTGATGACTCAGTTATTAAAGTGAATTGACCTTCACATTTCTTTAACAGGAAGCCATTCCCGATAATAAGCCACGCCTTATACATGGATTAGGATCTCCAGGTGAATTGATTAATCAGTTCGAGATAAAAAGCTAATACTTTTTGTCTTGTACATGATTCAAATTTATACTTGGTTTAGAATAATGTTATCTTCCTGTTGTTTCTGGATATGGTAATATCTGATAATGAGATTGATACAATGAAATTTAATTATAATTTATGGATAAAATTGAATGACAGTAAATGTAGGTAGGGTTTAAGTAATGCTGCCTTTAAACAAAGTAAGATGGTGGATAGAAAAAGAAGAACAAATTAAAAGCAACTTACCTAATAATTATAACTGCTTTAAAAATCAGCCTGATCTATCATTTTACTGCTCACTGTGTATGTACATGTAATGTGAAACTGTTCCCGCACATTTCACAAGCACCTGTGCTAAAACATAAAAGTGAGGCTCAGGTGGACAAAAATCAAGCATGCATGGGTGACCACCCGTTGGCTTCTTTGCATGACAGAAAGTATAATATCATAATCTATTCCCAGCGGACGCTCCTTTAACAAAGGCTTGGTGACTCGAGAGATGAGTTAAAGGACATGCGAGTTTGCAGGCAAGAAGGTGATAGGGTTAGACCAAGATAAACGAAAAAATTGAGGGAAGGGAAAAATAAACAAACCCATTAAGAAAAAACAGGTGTTGAACCACCCCACCCTTCTCCCCCACAAGGGGCTTCAACATTGCATGAATCCAATTTCCTCCAGCCCTTGAAGCCAAACTGAACAAATTTGCTTTACACATGTTTAATTTACTTATACTCAGGAAGCCACTCCTGGAGGAGAAACCCAAACTTACATCTGAAATAGAGCTCTTGCTAGTATTAGGTCAGTTAAGGCCAGTGTTACATGAATGACCACTAGCTGGGAATATAGGAAATATCGCTGTATCCCAGGCTGCCAAACAGTTTCCAGGCTTCAAATCAAGGGAACAAAACTTGTGTAGTTTTTTCTTTACCTTTGGAAGCCAATGTTCAAAGTTGATGGCTTTTGGTTATAAAGAGACAAGAACACAGAGTGAATTATTCATTGTAATTGAGTAAACAATAAAAAGGGGTGCAAACAATGTATTTACCAAGGGAAAGAATAAAAGCATGATCATGTCTGGTTAATGTCCATCTGATCTGTGTGTAAAATATGACATAAAAGCTTCTTCCTCAGAGAAACTATTGTGTCAAACAAAAGCCGTATTCCATTAATGTCTATGCATAAATGTGCCACAATCATTGTTACATGTAGGCAGACCTAAATGTTTTGACAAACAAGGTAAAACAGGTGTTGCGTTCTTTCATTTTTAGTTTTTTAAATTCACTTTTAGAGTAGTCATTTAATACTCCTCAATTTTTTAATACATCAGTTTCTTCTTTTTATTTTGTAGAGGAGGTTGTCATTGCTGTGGACTGTGGAATTGATCTATTTGATTCCTCATATCCTTTTTGTTTTTCTACATTTCAGCATATCTTCTTAATCCAAATATCACACAGAGACACAGATAATAATATGGCAGAAGCCAAATACACAGCAAAAGATTTAAGTTACAAACATTTGGCTGACTTAAATTTGCACTAGTACAGATTCTCGAAATTAAGGATGCTAACTTGTGGTCCAAACAGTTTATGCAATAACAGGAGTTGACTGTACCATGTTAGAATGTAAAAGAGTATAACCACTGCAGCTGAACTTTGTTACATATTCCTTAATTGTTTCACTTATCCATGTCAGGTGGCTGAGCATGGGTGCGCACTAAACCTAAATTGGAGTAGAAAAAGATTTAAAGCAGAGCTTTCTTATTCACCTCCTGCTCAAGAGCCACTAGAGCAAAAAAGGAAAATTCAAGATGATAATTTGAAAAATTCTTCTAATGGGACAGATAATGATAAGGGCACGCTGTATACCATTAATCTTAATGAGACTGGGTAAGTGATCTTTTTCTCTTTTGCAAGTCAAAGGCTTTACTTATGACTCAAAATCATTTAGCATTTGTTCAAAAGCTGCTCAATTGACTTTACCTTGAATAATAGTATCAGACTGAGCTTAAGGGTCCCCCACCCTCTCTCCCTAAGGGAGGCCTGTTATTCAGGTAATTCTGGATTAAATTATGGCTACTACTAAGGGTGGGATGCTGGGAATTTCTGTCATCTTTCATGACCATGAGCTCCAGCTACTTTCATAGGAAAACCAAAAGAAATTCCAAATTCTTCAATTTCCTGCCTACAAATTACATATTATATTAGCAACAGCCAAGTTGAAGAGGTTAACCAAGTTGGTTTGTTTCTCATGTTTAAAGCATCGTCCAGTGCTAAGTTTGTGGTATTTCGGAGGTAGCTGCAAAATTCAAGTCAAAAATAAATAAACAAATATTATTAATAATCTCTTGGGTCATCTTGTGAGTCCTAGATAATAATTTTACTAAATTAGTCAATTTTATCAAACTTGTAAAGTATTAATATTTGTATGTTTACTTTTTATCTAGATTCAGTTCTGACTTCAATCCAGTTGTTAGTGGTTGCACTTGTTACTGCTGTACAAATCATACGCGGGCATACATTCATCACCTTCTTGTTACCAAGGAGATGCTAGCCACTGTTCTTCTTATGGTGTAAGCTACCAATAATATTACTATTACATTTTGCTTGTTTTTTTTTTGTTTTTTTTTTTTAACAAAGACATCTTTAGCTTGGCTGGTATAGTTTATTTTCTCATTCCAAGTCTGCCGTTCTCAAGGGAATTTGCACTTTGTCTTGTCCGAAATTATGGGCACCCATGTGTTGGTGAATAAGACAAACAGGACAAACAGTGCAGTTCTCCTTCGTAATATCACGTGGTGTGCAACGGGAGAACAAACCACAGTAGCTAAAAGGGTCTATTGTTTAGTTACGGTTACTTCTTCCAAATGCTAGATGATAAGATTTGCATCGCTACACTAATCTTTAAAAAAATGGAAGGCCTCTCTAAGAGTATACTCACTGAATCTCAGTCTCTGTATTCTGGAGGCATGCTCTACATCATTTAAGTGTAGACAAAGTCCTGTTAGTGTAGCCATTCAAATAAGACCGGTTGAAGTAAATTTACAAGGTATCATTTGTTAATTACACAGCATTTTATGAAAACAATTTTCGAATTTTTAAACGTTTACACTTTTAGGAGTGAAAAACCTAGCCGTTCACAATGATCAAATATGATTTTTGCTCTTCCACTTGTCTTCTAAAAAATCACTGTCTTTTCTCTTTATTTATAGGCACAATTTACAACAGTACTTCCAATTCTTCGCAAAGATTCGACTGTCAATTGAAGAGGATAACTTTGAACAATTTAAAGGGAATGTCTTAACAGGCTACCCTCTTTGATAGACTCTGACTATTGGCTGTTTATGCACTACACACATACAATCATCTACACCCACATCTTCTCATTTTGGCCAAAGCCTTTACTAGAACACTTGCTAGTGTTTGTGCGGGAAGCGGGGTCTTTGGCTTCCAAGTTCTGAATCCACAATTTGTATTGCCTGAATTTCAGACTACTGTTCACGCGGCACCGGACAAATTTTCGACAGCGGACTGAAAAATTTGACCGGACACTATTCTCATTACTTTTTTCAACTTTTCTCAGTGGTTTTTACAATTGCCCATGCGCAGAGCAATACTTTAGCAAATCCAAAATGGTGTTCACACCGCGCCCGTCAATTTTCGAACATACCGGCTTAAAATTTGACCTCGATTATTGGCGTTCAAATTGTGGAGTCGCAAATTCCTGAGCACTTCTCTCTCGGAAGTTTGCGACTCAAGGTGACGACTCAAATCAGGCAACATTTTAATTTTTTTTAGTTTTTTGTTATTAATGGTGGATCTCTCCGCTTCGCAGAGGTCTCTTTGTGTCGTAGGGAAGCTGGGGAGAGAGAAAGAACCTCGGCGGAGGAGAGAGGATGGTGGAAGATTGGTAGCCTGACTTCGCCCTGACTCTGACTCAACCACCTAAACAACTAGAACGTGTCAGATAATTAGAAATGTTAAGGCCGATTTAAACGGTACGATTTTTGCTTACGAATATCGTGCGCGGTCACCATACGTATGTAATCACTTTCCACCATACACACACGCACAATTTTCACTTACGACATCCACTATGTGTTGTATGAATGTCGTGGGTCTAATTTACACGACACGATCTGTCGTGAAGTCATGACGCATGACGCATGTTAATCGCCCTTTAAGCACCGTTTTTCGTGCCCTTGTAGTGTTAGCAACCTAAAAATCTGAAATAAACGAATTTTAACAGGTCCTTACTTGATATCTGACAACTACAGTCGTACTTCTATTAATGGCCTCCTATTGAGGTTCCAGCCTCAAGTTATTAGTGAACTTACGCAACAGGACGGGAGAGGAAAGAAGACGGCAAACCTTGTGTGACAACCGTGACAACAATTTTGTTTGAAATAACTTTTCGCCAAACATCACTTTCCTTTAAACAGATCTTTTTGTGAAAACAAGAAAACATTAACGCTAAGTGAAGATCACGACATAACATGCAAGTTACAGCCCTGCTGAGTTTGTCACACACAAAAATTTTGCCGTCCCCTTCTTGCTGCCGTCTTGTTGCGTAAACTCGCTATTGGCCAGTCAAAGGAGTCCCGGTAAGATTACGTTTAGTACTCCAAACAGAATCTTAAACCCCGTGAAAAGGACGCAACATTGTTGGATGCTACATGTTGCGTCGTTTTGCACACCCTGTTGCGTGTTGTTGGGAGTTGTTGCGCAAAGGTCAAACTTTTAGCTACGTGCAAACGGACGCGATTCCCAATAATGTTGCGTCCGTTTGCACGGGGCTTTACTTTTTCTGTTAAAGGTAGTGTGTAAAGGGTAAAGACGCGCTGGGTTCATCTTGACGCCAATCCTACCCGCCCAGCTGTACTAGATTACGAGCGCTGTTGTCCACAGTGCTTGATTTAAATATATAAAACGCCAGTCAGTTTTTGAGACCTGCGTGAGCTGTGTTATAAAAGCATCTTTGATTGAAAAGCATCAAAATTATACACCCTCAATAACTGATCTCGGTAGCTTTCGTTTGTTTTGAGTGAGTGATTTAATGCAGTGAAAAAAAAAATCGTGTTATTTTTGCTCTTCCGTCGTGAGTGTTATCTCTTTGTCAAGGATGTTGGGAAAACAGTTCGCTACAACCCCCAGTCTTTCCCGGTCTCCTTTTCAAATGTTTGCACAGGTTAACCAGCATTAAAAAACTAACATAATAACATTTTCCAACATATTATGATAAAAAGATAAAAAATTACATATATGAAAGCTGTACAATTCACTGTTGAAACAAGTAACATATGTTAAAAAAGTCTTATTTTTAACTATAACATAATAATAATAATAATTTATTATTTATATGGTGCAAAACAGCATTTAAATATGATCTAATGCGCACAAATACAAAAACTATTTAACTTTTTATAACAAGCAAAAATTATAAAGAAAAAATCTATTTGCGGGAGGCTTATTATAAAAAGCTATAATTTACTGACTATTTAAAAAATAATCAAAATTTCCAATTTCTCTTTGCCTAGTAATTTAATTGGTATACAATTACTTTTTAAAGGATTTTTAAAACAGTTTTACTTTTCTAAAAGAAAAAGTTACCAATTTGTTCCAAATTATAAGCCTTTGTCCATATAAAATCGTCTGTTCTGTCGTAATTTGTAATAGCTATTTCTGCCACAGCAGGGCACACTAGACCTTGAAAGGTGGTCCGAATGACTGATCATTTTTGTAAACTTTCACTAAAATTTGAAACTCTTTACGGGAGTCTGAGATCTCGCAATTTTTATGTTAAGTTATTCAACAGTTCTGACTAAAAAAGTGAGCTAATTATTCAATGTAATGAAATTTCAATCGACACTGAATCACTCTAACCTATCCTAAGACACGGATATGAAGGCAAAGTCTATGGTTATAATTCCTCGATGATGAAAAGCATTGTGAAAAAAAATACAGTGTTTTGTTTGTCAACTGAATTACCTAAGCCTTGTTAATTTCTCGCTAAAAACGGGCCAATTTCAATAATTTAATATTGGTGCAAAATTAAAATTTGTGTCGGATTCAGATTATTTTTAATTTGTGCACTATTATAAGATGTTACTACATACATTACACTGTATACAAGAGCAGAAAAAAAAAAGGAATAACAACAAATTACATGAATACTCAAACCATGGAAACAACTCAGTCTTGCATTCAGCTCTCGTGTTTGTGTCCATTGAAAAGATTCAGCAAAGTTTTATCCTGAGATCAACAAAAGATTTAAGCAGACACCTCACGCCCGTCAACCATAACTCGCGGTGCTGGTGCTTTTTAGATGGCTAGTACCAATTGTTGTCCTTGTTTTACACTAAAATGAATCTAAACAACTCCGAGCAGCTGACTGGTTGGTAATTTCTTCATTTCCAGTAGCAAATTATGGATGTGAAGGTCTAGCTTTTGTCGTTCACTTCCTTGGTAGTCGGGTAATTTAATTTCAGCATAATTAGCCAGTGTTTCCCAGGTTTCTTGTGTCATAGCCTTGAGCTCAATGTTAAATTGAGATAGCAAGATTTTCAAGCCCAGCTGGGCGTTCCAAATATCCTGTCCGAGGGAGCCTTTTTCTTGAAGTAACAATGGACTTTGCACAATTTTGCCGACTTTGTAGAACTGACAGAGATAGATTTTTAATTTTATACTGGAAAACAAGCAATGGAAATGAAAGAAATTAAGCAGTTCCTGTGCACAGTTTTTAATTTTAAGTTCTGTTTTCTTACCATGACCTGTTGACTTGTAACAAGGTTGTTTGTTCATGTACATGTTAATGTTCCCTCCTTTAATACCTTGGAGGAACTTAACAGCTTGTCTGAACTCTTCATCGATCAGCATAAAATACTCAGCATGAGCTGTATTTGCATTTGGACCTTCGTAACAGTTTCCGTATCTGGCATGAAATATCAATCGCCCATCTTTGTCCGTTACTCTCACATAAATCACAACTGTCTCAGCAAATTTCTTTTTATCTCCTCGCTTTCCAATCTTGCACTCCGATCTGTCAAGACACAGAAATCCAGCATGGTTTGTTTCTGAGACGTGATAGAACATGCCACAGAACTGAGCTTTAGTAATTAGAAGTGGATTGAAGCCTCCAACTTTATGGTTATCTTTGTGATCTCTAACCGTGCTTGCTTCATCACACACTAACTTCTTTTCGTATTGCACAAAGTACCAATCCATTGGCGAAGAAATTGGAAAGTAATTTATAAGACTTCGTTTATTCCAGTCCATATTGATGAAAATTATTTCAGCCCCGCATGTGACAAATAGCTGGAATAAGGGACCCCGGCCTACCACAATATTCTGAGGAACTCGAACTGTTTCAAAATTCAGTTGTATTCTTGAACTTAATTCTTTCTTTATATCAATTACATCTTGTACAATCAGACTTCGCGTAGCGTTATAGCCAATAACAAATTGGTTTATCTGTTCTTGGTCTCCTTCCAAGGTAAAAATCTTGACAGACTTATCGCCAATGTCCGAAACAACAAGATGGTTATTTGGGGCAAAACAAACGTCATAAGGTTTAAAAAGATTTCTTTTCAGCTTTCTGGTTACCCATTGTTCCTCAGGGATGTCATTTGCCTCTTTCCCGTACAAAAAAATACAATTTTCATGTCTTTTTAAAACAGCCACCACCCCCTCATAAGAAATTGCTATCCTGTCTCCTTCAAAATCTTGAAACATCCCGTCCGCCATTATCACCCGCACACACGTTTTCCGGTCATAATGCCGACGACCTCGACGTTCGGGAGTCGACTTGGGCACTCTGCATTTCAATTAGATGATGTTCGGGTTACAATTATCTTCAAATCAAGTTATGAAGGCCACCTTTCTAGTTAAACTACTCAATGAAGGCGACAAAGATTTTGCCACTACGATCACTTCCATGTAGCTCCCTATTTTCTCGGAAACAGGCGTCATTTTCCAAGAATAGCACAGTGGCGTGACCTCTGTCAATGCGGGTACTAGCGGAAATCAGGTTGTCAAGTGGAAACGGAAGAAACGAAAATTTGATATATATATTAGGAAAAAAAACCTAACGTCACTCTTAAACAACAACAATAGCTGCTGTAACCTTTGCAATTCTTAGAGATTACCTTTTATATACCTATAAATTGTTTTATTATACAATTTATACATGCTACATATTTTAATTATATACACATTATTATTATTATTTCTTATTTGTAAATAATTTTTATTTTTGTGTCCCCAATTAGTTGTGAAAACTAAATACAGTGACACATTAATAAAGCTTTTACTTTACTTTACTTTACTATATATGTATTGAAAATACATCCTTGAATGTATGTGAAGAGAAAATGTGCAAGTTTGTAATCGTTTTCAGTTCACTTCCGAAACGCAGTCATTTTGTTTCGGGGTTTCAGTAAAAATGGTATGAGAGGATGGTAATTCTGGAAGTACCGTCTCATGCGGCTATAAAAAATCTCATGAAACGTGTCGTAAGAGGAGTATACAGAGGATATCATTGGACCCCTATATCTCGCAGCTCTTTTGTTTAGGGACTAAGTTAGGCCTTGTTACACCTGCGAAGCGCCTCTGGTGTGTACACGCCGAATCAGAGTTGGTTTTCACATCAGACTTTGATTTGTTTAATTCGGAGTTTGTTTTGTGCCACCTATTAGGTGAGCAAGGAGCACAGGGGGAAAGGTTATGGGAAGGCGATTTTTGACGCCGCGTTATCAAGCGTCAAGCCCTCGCGACTTCATTGCGCTGGCTGCATTATCGCACCTGGAAAAGATGTATCAGAAGTCAGGCTTTGAAAGTGTATTCTATGGAACACGCTTTGATCTGCACCTTCCCACTGCTGTTGAATGCTTGTCTGACATATTGCTGGACTCGCTGTTGAGTATCAAGTGCCTGGAAGAAGTGGACTGGAAGACGCTGCTAGCCTATGACAGCCAAGTGTTCGGATTTCCAAGGCATGCATTCTTGTCCAAATGGCTTTGTGCACAGGGTAGTCACACACTCGTGACCTTCAGCAATGAAGGTTCAGTCGTTGGCTATGTAGTCGTCAGACCCACTTTCATCAAACAAGATGGTTTCAAAATTGGGCCTCTCTTTGCTGATTCAGAACCAATCGCCGAGATGTTATTGAAAACAGTGTTTAAAAGCGTGTTTTTTCAGCAAGGAGCAGCAACAACCAGTACCAGTCGTTTGTATTGACACCTTCTCAGAAAAAGGAAAACAGCTTGCTTTAAGGCTACAAGGAAAAATCGCTTTTAATCTGGCGTACATGACTACAAAAGGAGTTGTTCCCAAGGCGTGTTTTGATAAGTGGTTTGGTGCAACGACGATTGAAATTGGTTAAAGGGGCGCCTTTGTCACGAGAATTTTGCTGTTTTAAGGTCAATTGACTCAATTCTGTGCTTGGGTACCCTTAAGCAAAATGTTCCTATAGAAATGAAGGGGATAACAAACAAATTTCATGAGGGAGCACTTTTGAGAAGAAGTGTATTTACGTTACCACACATTCATATACATAGCATATTAGATACACTAGGCAAAGCAAGCTCCGTGGAGCTTTTAAACGTTCTCCGATTTGTCCTAAATAGATGCATGTAAAGCGTAATATTTAACAGAAGGCGGACTAACTGTTTTTTCAAAACTGATTTAATCACATTCTCTTTCACTTTGTTCTTAAACATGTTATACGAACTGATGTTTCTAATATTTGTGGGGAGGTTCCATGGTTATCAAAAAAGTAGTTACATAGATACACTTGCTAAAGGTCTTAATGTCTGCTTTTCTTTTTTCTGTGTTATCATTTAAGAGTCAGTGACTCCTTGTCTTAATGCATTGTGCGTCCGTAAGCGCTGTGGTAATTACTTCTGTGTTTTATTCATTTTTAGTGCGATCTGAAAGGCTTTCTAATAGTTTAAGGTTTTTGTTTCTATTAGATAATTTGTGTTATTCATGTACTTGTCTTGCCCCGCCACGACTAGCTTTTCACAGCTATTTGCGGGGCAAACCATCCAACTTTTGTATTTTTGTAGAAAGAATAAAGTTGTTGTTTTCCATCAGTATAATTGATCCCTTAGAACCTATAGAATATTTGCTATAATTTGTTCTTCTGAATTCGATGTGTATGTTTGATGCCGATCATGTATTGTGTTAACAACTTACTTTTATTAGTTTCAAAAAGGTTATCTACGAGTGTTGGGTTGGTAACTTGTCATGGTAATAGGAAGTCATAAAAACAGTTGTTAGATAAGCTATAGTTGATAACGTGGAATGGTTATGAAACCCGTTAGACTCCTTTGTTATTTGTTTTTGTTAGCTTTTTTGGACCTGACCATGCACAACTTTCAATAGCATTCCTATCATTGTGAATTTACTGACCAATAGAAACATTGCATTAATTTATTCAGTCACAATTTGTGAACAAAAACAAAGGATTGTGCACGGTCAGGGGAGCTTCCAACATAAACTACAGCACCGTTGTTTTCAGCTTTGATGTTTGCCGGCTTTCATAACCAGCCTCCTCTACTAACTATGAATAAGTATTTAATTCAGAGATATTTAGTATTTTCAGAGACTTGGTGATAATTGCAGGGTTACCCGAAAAACATAAGGCCAACTTTTTCATGTTTCAATTCATGTCCATCCTTACCATCCGTTGTAACAGACGACAGGAAAACAGTCTCAATGCTTAAATATGGTCTTAAACAACAAAACCGGGCCATTTTGTTACTCAATTGATGGTCATTGATACGAAAAGGTTTTGCCTTTCGCAAATATCGTGACACAGCCCCTATAATGCACTATTTAGACTCTATCAACAACAACAACAATCCACTATTCACTAAGCAATTACATTTGCAGTAGCTGCGGTTCACCGGATTACCATAAATGACCTAATGAACGCCTGGGGCATCTATTTCATTTAAGAGGTCCAAGCGGGGGCGTTAAAAAGAGAAAGGCGTTTATTCTCAAAACTGTAACAAACTCCACAAAACTAATATCTTTCGGCAAAAATATCCGGGAATGTAGGAGCTGCTTGTAAGGTCTTTCCTGACTTGTTCTTTTAAACAATGGTAATTCATTGTTTTCCGGTTTGGATAGCAAACCAATTGGCTTTCAGTAGCGGAATATCCACTCCATCAATTAGTACGTATAGACCGTATACAGATCTATATCGCTCTTTCAAATTCCGACATCGATGTCAGAATCCTCGCTCAAGGTTATTCTGTTTCCATTGTTAGTCTATCATTATTTTGAAGTTAACATTGAACAAGATAAACTACGCAAAGCCCTCAAGCAAGAAACTGAATGAACTGAATGATTTTGCTCCTTTTAGCTAATTCGTTCTATTTTGGAATAATTCTCATAGGGGGCGTCTACTTGATAGGGGCATCAAATAAATGTTTAACAGCGTAGAGGGGGCGTTAATTAGATAAGAACCGTTTATTTGGAAATGGGCGATTATTAGGTCATTAAAGGTACGGGTTACAGTTACAGAAACAGGATTGGGTTAGCACTCGTTCACACAACACAGGTGGCCCATCAATAGTCAGTAGTTGTGAATAGCTTTTGCAATACTGTATTATATCAATTAGCATCACTTACCTTGGGTTTTACTTCTTTCCACTGAGTTGAAGCAAGCACCGTTCTTTTAGAAACTTCTGTTGGGTAGTGTACTGAGATCAACCACAAAAGAGCATGGCGGTACAAACGGACTGACTGGGCTGGTTATAATCTCCGCAGTATTTTAGTGTTTGCATGAAATATTCAAGGAACTACTGGGATTCAGTAATCTTAGAATAAATAAATAGCACTCACAGACATGAACGCATATTTATTCATAAATTATCTCCTATAGGAAAATATTTAAAAAAAATTCTTGTATTATAAATCTTCCTTCTTATTCTTTTTTGCAATAAAACAAGGTTACTCATGCGTGCAAAACGATAACGCATGATTATTTATGATAATTTATGCCATGATTGAATTCGGTACCGTGGAACCGACAGCAGTAACTGAACAGATACATTGTCTGCTCAAATAAAAACTGCTTTGTACTCGCATAGTGGCAGATACAATCTCTTTTCAAAATAATCTTAATAAATTCTGTTTTTTTTATTAAGTTAAGAAAGTCGCTAGTTTTGCTCGCAACCCGCTATGTTACAGCTCATTTTCCAAGTTAAGGTCTTCCTTTATAACAAAACCTGCATCACATGCCAATCACATTTCAGTTCGTTAGTGTCTACGGGGACCCGCCACTTACGTCAAACCAACTAATGAAATAATGCATCGATTCTTATACGACTACTTCGGCATTGCCTCAAAAAACTAAACTCGCTGCTAAAGTGCGTTACTGACTAGAGCTGCTTTTTTTCTGATTGTTTTGAACCTTTTAAAAATTTAAAAGACAGCGGTTTGATACTGTCAGTCCTACAGAGTAATACTTGCACTCTCCTGTCGATCGCACAGCACTGGACATCGAGGCGTAGACTGACTTACACAAACAGACGTCAAAGCTCGATTCTTCTTTTGAGCTTCTCATTGTCATTTTGTTGTAACTCAGGTGGGATGAGTCCTGTTGTTTCTGTATCGCTGAAGTATCCTTCGTCACCTACGTAGTGCGTCGGGTACAGAAGCAATGGTTCGGCTGTCATGGCAACAAGGTTCCGCGGATAGAAATGGTTACTCCACTCTGAACTGTGTAAGCAAACACAAGAGATATGGAGAATATACCCTAAAAAATACTATTAGGAAAGATTCATATAGGACAAGTTTTCCGAGCCAAGTAGCTTACAAGCTAACAATGGCTTTATAAAAGTGTTGGGAGGGCAGAAGAGGGTGCTTAAGCAACCACGATGGCGACAACAGCGAAAACGGCACTTAACAAGTGAATTTGCGCTGTCTTTAACTTAATCTCTCTTACTTCCGCTCGTTAATTGTGTTAAATGTTTGCGAAATTTGTTGGAGTTGAATTGAAAGGACTGTATCCAAGTTTTAAGGAAAAGGAAAATCTTTCTCTTGGAAGAAAGTTTCACGTCCTAGTCGTGCAACGACGACAAAGAAATGCTGGTACAAAAAAAGTTTAAAAGTTGTTGTTTTGCTAATCTAATCCTAATCCTTTTTTCTCGTTCTCGTTGCCGTCGCCGTCGTCGTTGCTTAAGCTGCGTAATGTGATCCCCGCCCTGCAACAAACAATGTTGAATGCTGAACAACACCGGTGCAGACAAATACTTCTTCTTGGCACAATATTGCCAGGGCTCGAAGTTAACTTTTTAGTGCACTTGCAAAGTTTTGCTAGAAAGATTTTTTTTCCACTAGCAAACTGGTGAGACCAGTAGCAAATTCTTTCCCTTTGTTTGGGAGACATTGATGATTCCAACTCGCAAACGTTTGCTAGTTGATGTTTTTCTCACTCGCAGATTATCAAAATCACTCGCATTTTGCGAGTTTGCGAGCGTTAATTTCTAGCCCTGAATATTGCTTTCAAGGGATGAACCAGAAGCCGATAAAAAACGTTTTATTGGGAGAAGAGTCATGTGAAATAACTAGCTTGCCAGTAATCTTAAAAAAAAAACAATTATTAAAAAGCACCACGTACTGACATTATTCGACTTACTTTGTGTGCTTGTTGAACATGATCGGTAGAAACTCGTCCACTGCTACCATTTTTTCAAGCGGTTTTGCCGACAGGAGTTTGCGAGCACCACTTAAACTAATCGCGTATCCCAGCGTCCAGTAGGTGTAATCAGCCCAGGCCAACAGCTCTGCTCCCGGAACCATCTGCACAGGTTTACTGTGAAATCGCTTGCGTCCTATGTAACTATAAGACAAAAGCACAACAGATTAATGCAACTACAATAAAATTCTCTAATCTGATTGGTCATCAGCGCCCTGATTACAGCATAAGTAGGACCTCAGAGTAATAGGTAGGCCAGTTGCACTTTTTTGTAACTTTCTTTGCCGTCCCTGTACAAGAACGACGTAAAATGACCAAAGGCTTTTACTTGAGCTGAGAACAGGAACAGCAAGGCGATAAATCTGAACTCTAAAGCGGTCCTCTCCCTTCAATTCTCACCTAATTTCCCTACTCTTAGGTAATTGCGTAGCTTGGTATTCGGGCGAAACATTTTGAAAGGACGCAAAGTCTATTTTTAGCGACGTCTCCATTGGCGTCATCATTTGTCAGATGGTAAGGTCCCTTTTATGCAACAACAACGAGAGCGGCAAACGACAGCATCAGAATGACAAACAAGAGTAAACCCAGTTTAGAATAGCAAAGAAAAATTAGTCTTTTAAATTGGAAAACTTGAGCAAGTTTTTCTTCCTTCTTCGCTTATTCACACTAGCAAGTATTCCTCGTCAAGGACAACCTGATCGTGTAAATGCAGCTTACTGACAGAGAACGACAACTCGTAGAGATTCTTGTTACCGTAACCACCATGGCTGCTGTAACTCCCTACCCTCCCCCTCCTTCAATGACCATGTTACGAACCTTAAACAGTAATTTTCTCCTTACGTTCATCTATCTTTGCAAAAGCTTTGCCTCCAGTCGAAAACTTACTAACATTTTGTTTAAGTCAGTATAACTGGACAATAAGCTGTGTATAGTTCTCAGTTTGAAATTTTGAACATTTATTATCGGATTAGAGACTTCTAGTCCGTAATTGACTGACATTCTCAGTGCAGCAAGCGTTTGTGATAATTTTCCGCTACATAACTGAACGCTCAAACCTAAACTGACAAATATGAAAAACAACGCAAGCTAAAGAAATCCACGGAAATCGTTTCATGAGCGAAAAATTGTTGAGCATGCGATTTTTTGCAATTGAAGCTTAATTCCGTTGCAGCAGTGCGCCGACAACGGACAAAAAGACGAAATTAAATCAAAAAGTCAACTCACATTAGCTCCCAACGATATTTGTTGTTTAGGACTGTTGCTTCCCTCAGCAATTGTCGGAGTTGATTTCTAAAATCAGGCTCAAATCGCACGTCATCCTCTAAAACCAAAACTTGACTAAGGCCGTTGTTAACCATCTAAGAATAATAGCGGAAAGTCAAATGATTGCAGTAATGTTCATAGACTGTACATTGTTTTTCAAACTGACTTGTATACCAATACATGAGGAAAAAAATCTCTACTATGTAAACGTGAACTGTATACCATCAGTGATCTTACCTCCTCCCAGATGAGGTAATGACTCAGAAAACATCCAATTTCTCCCATGGTCAGCGGCCTAAGTTATAAAAAACATAAAAAAATAGTTTTGGAATACAGCTTCAGCTTCTCACTAACAGAAAATCTCCGATTGTAATTGACTGGTTTGTAACACCGCGCTTTAACTAAATTCACATGAATCCCACGCGGGTGGCAAACAATGTGTTAACTAAAATTTGTCGACTGTTTGTTTCCCATTCTGTGGTCACTCTGTACAATATTTTGATTTCGCTGGATTCTCAATGTTTCCGATGACTTCGCCTCGGGAAACACGAAATTCTCAGTGCGTTGAGTTTCTAGTCTAAAAAAGGGTTGCTCGGTGGAGGTGACATTAGCAATCAAATAGAAGCACAAGTTTCAATTTGCTCAGTTATTGCCTCTTTTTTCATTCTCTTGTGGCAGGAAATTATTTTGTACCTTTTTCCATGAGGATCACTGTAACCTGGTAACATTTTTATTTTCATATCCTTCACTTGCTCATCTGTTAATGATCTGTAGATAACGACCATCAGTATAGTGAACAAAAGCAAACACACAATAAATAAACAATTCAATAATTAAATAAATAGGAAGGTCGCTCTTTAACAACCAACCATTTTCTTTGCCAAGTTAAAAAACTTTACAAGAACAGAATAAATAAGAGCAAATCGGGTGAAAAACACTCTCGAGAATATAAAAAAACTAAACGAGCTGAGTAGTTGCAGTAATCAAATTGCATAACACGAAAGATGAAGAGAAAAAAAATGAAGTAGGAGAAGGAAAATGATTTAAATTTAGGAGAATTAAAAAAAAACAAAACAAAACGGTTCCAGATAACTATAAAGTTTACGTCTTTGTACTATAGGTTAGGCTGGCACGACATCAGCGGAAAAAGCGAAAAAACTAGAGCTAAAACTGCAAAGATTGACGGAGCCGCTGAAGGGCAGCCATAACCGCTTGACAACCGTGTAGTCTAGTGGGGTAACCGATCAGTGGGGTGTGCCAGTTGCCCGTGGGTAATGACAGAAAAGCCGAGTTCGGATTACAAGCGGATTTAACTCCCCTTCAAGGAAACTAGGAAAAGAAAGAGACTACTCGTAATTCAAACTCTGTGACAACAGAAAAATTTAAAATCAAGTTTACAGCAAATGGCCAACGTCAGCTTCAGGTTGACAATTTATCAAATAGGAAAGGCGAACTGAAGTAAAGCTGTGCCTGATATGAAACCACTTATTTTTGTAAAGATATCATGAAAATAATCGCAACCGAAAGGTTTGATAAAAGACGAGCGAAAAAACTTAGTCTCGTAGTACAAGTTAACTTATCTAAACTCGCAAACAAATATAACTAATACTCACTTCCCATCTATCGCATCAAATAACTTGACGCTTATTCCAAGCTCTTTCAGAGATGCAAGCATTCGTTTTCGTCGCAAAGGTCGTCTTTTGAGGTTGATAAGATAGATCTTCAAAAAAGGGATAGATATGTTATAAGATAAGGAGACACTCCACGTGCTGAAAGAGGATCATTTGCTCAAGGCAATCAGAATCCAAATACAAAATAGTTTTCCATGGATACAGAGGTGAACCACTGGAGGTGCCGGGGCTTACTGTATCTTACTAGCTATGGACCTCCTCATAAAAGCCCGGTTTATTGGGATGATATAGAAGAATTAACTAGATAGAAAACACCTTCAGCGCTAAAGAAAAGGATATGTTCGAAAAGTTTCGTACAAGCCATTGTTTCAATACCCGCGGGTATTTGATGCAAGGTTAGGATGGTTTTACCACTGTTGATAACATCTTGTTTTGGGAGGTGAGCATTTAACAATTATTCTTTGAGCCTTAATGGGCTCTGAGTCAATAGCCCATGATGCCGAAGGCCTCATGGGCTATTGATTCAAGAGGCCATGAGGGCGAGAGGAATAATTGTTTTAGTAAAATCCAACTAGTTGGTCAAAAATATCGAGACAAAACAACTTTAGTTAGCAAAACGCGATTCAGCCGCCATTGGTTTGGTTTTCAAAGCCGGCGCTTTTCGTCACTAGTGGGTTATAACGTATAGCCTAGTAGTAGCTCAACCAATCAGAACGCAGCATTGATAATAGACCACTAGTTGGATTTTGCTAATATCCTTTATTCGTAGGTTGTATGGGAGACAGCTATATTGACGATGATCAACTACAAGCCCCGGATGTTCAGAAGCTAGATGGCACCGGCTATCCAGCGGATAAATCACTATCCAGCGAATACGTATCAGGGAATCCAATTGCGATATCCACTAGATAGCGTTTTCCACCTTCTGAACAACTAAGGCCTGTTTGTTAATTGTACCTCATCAAAACCAAGCTTTTCAGGAGAGATATATTTAAGAGAAACATGTGAACTAACTGGCATCAATTCTTCTGGATGATCAACTAAACACAGAGAGAAAAAAACAATAATTAAAGTTTAAGGCCATTTCTGCACATATCGCAGATATAGCAGTAATGTAAAACTTCAGTCAACTGTACGTTTTGGAGAAATTTGGAACTTGGAGGAACTAACATGGCGTGCATGGCAAACCCAGTCCAGTTTTTCCCCTCCATTGGCCACACCTTACGTCGCTTGCCGAGCGGGCAGGTTACGAGTGGAGACACATGAATATATCAGCTATGCATGGTAAAAGCAAAGATAACGGCGGGCTAAACTTTCGCCAAGAGCCGTTGGTAGTGCAGTTAGCGTTCTCTGATGTAATATTCTTAAACGCTCTTCTGAACAATACAGATTTTTATACAACTGAGTATAAATATATGGAAATCGGATGAACATTTAAATTTGAAAGGGGAATTAAAATAAAGGAGCAATATGTTTAGCTTCCCTATTACAGATAGAAGCATTGTTTAAAGCCGGCCAGACTTACCAAACCACTCAAGCTTTACGTGTGTAAAGGAAATCCTCATATCTTTCAAAGTTTTACTGGCACCTGATGGTTGTAGCATGTAACCATAAACTTCTTTATTAAGGAGATTCAGCTTTATACCTCAAAAACAAAAACAAAAACATCAGGTGATTACATCTGTTCATATTGCTTCAAACTTTCCACTGTGGCTTATACATGGACAGGCGAAAATCGAGATTTGTGGAGCTGCCAAATGGCTCCCTTCTCGGTTTTTTGTCAGGGACACTATTCGTCCTTGAACTTGGCAAGTACGATTCCCGTCGGGGAATATTATTAGCCTTTTTATACCAAATACTTCTGTGTGGTGGTTTCCTTCCCATCAAACCCTGCTCGTGCTCTGCGCTCGTTCCCATCATCCCCCACTTTCCCCCAAAGGGAGCTTAAACAAAGGCGTTTTTGAGCGACGGCGCCAACCGGAAGTGAGTTTTTCATATTCTCGGACAGTGGTTTTGCCCCAATTTTCAGGCAAATCGTCGCTATTTAAAGACGTTAGTAGCTCAAATTAGTTAGCGTCAAGACATTTGAAAAGGAAAAACGTCTCACTATCGGTTGACGTGTGTCACTCAAAAACACCTTTGCTTAAGCTCCCTAATAGCCTGTACATGTGGAGGAGGCAGGTGAGTCTTAATTTCGCTATACGCATCATTAATGAGAATACGGTGAATACAAGGTATCTACTGCAGTATTTACCAGCCATCCTTGCTGAGTGTGCAAATACGAGAATATCATCCTCTTCGCCTGTATAACTTTCCAGTGGTGGATTATATATCAGCTGGTCACTTACTGCCTTCCGCAGGTCAATAAGAAGAGTGGAATGGATCATTGGCACCTCAAAACAGCCTTTCTTCTCTCGTTGAAGCATGGGAAAGTAATCATCAGATCTTGCATAGTATCCCTAGAGTGTCGCACACCAAGAAAAAAATTCCATGCTTTACAAGGGTATCAACCGGATTCAAATGAAAAATTTCTAGTTCATTCTACTGCCACCAAGAGCATTTACATGCCATCATAAAAACACTGACTACCCCAAGGGAGAAGAAAAACATGTGATATAGGCCATAAAAACACCATAATCAGCCAGTGAGTGTTAAGGAGATGGCACGACGACAAAGTTTAAACTCAAGAATGATCTTTATAAAAGAGATCACAAAAATCCACTACAATTAAAATTATTTGTATATTAAAGATCTATCATGAATTATCTAGCACTTACCTCTTCATCCATTCCACCCCAAAAATTAGAATATGCAGCCTTGCCTCCAAACACTTCAATCATAGGAGCTATTACAGTTCTATGAGTAAAAAGAATTATATTAACATGGACGTGTTTCTACCATCTTACAAGAGAAGAAAATGGTTTATTCAAAAATCTTTCATACATAATAAAATAATTATTATAAATATTAACCCCCAGGTCTTAGTGGTGGACTAATGCTATCCAATGGATAAATCTCTATCCAGTACATAACGCAATTGGTTTCCCTGATACTTATCTGCTGGATAGATTTATCTAGTATAGAGTGTTATCCCACTTTTGAAAAACTGTGGCCAGGTGAGTTTTCTAACGTCTCCATGCAAAACACAGATTACAGCTGAAGCTCTCGTAAGCGACCACCACTGAAATTCGAAAAAGTGGCTTTAAGTAGAGCTTGTCCCTTACTAAAATGAGCTCTTGTAAGCAACTGCATGCTAAAACAATAGAGGGTCGTCGCTTACAAGAGCTTTAGAAACTTATTAATAATTCATAAAGACAAAACAAAAGAAATTTATGTTTAGTGAGTGTCTTTATATCTGATATAGACATTGTGAGTGGTCGTTGCCATGCAGGCTAAGAACTTCTACATACCACACTGCACAGACCTTTATCATTGAACCATAATAAGTTTACAAGGAAACAAGGGCTTAACATCACAAAGTTAATTTAGGTCACAGCTCAAACGAGCTTTCACAAAGGTGGTTGTCACTAGAGCTGGTTGTTTACGATAGTGGTTACAAGAAGAGGTTTGACTGTACAATTATGTAAACCATTGTAGTTATTGCAAAATGTAATGTAGTGGAAAGTAAATGTGGTACTCACTTTTTTTCATCCATCAAAAGCTGTAGTGTTTTGGGATTGACAAGGAAGTTGTCACAGTCTACAAACTAAAGCAAACAAGAAGCATAATATATTAAGGGTGGTTTGTAACACGTGTACAGCCATTGCATTTGAAGGTTGGAATGTTTGAATTGTTTCCAAGCTCAAAAACAATAAACACTTTTAGCGGGCAATGGAACAGCTGTACAAGTAGGTTGAAAATAAATCCACCTTAAGATAATTTCTATATGGAAAGAGAATGAAAAATACCAACGAACTGAAGTCATTTTTAAAGCACCTTATCTGATATCAGTGAACTTGAAGAGAATACTTTAGTATGCAAGGTACTGGGTCTAATTTACAGATGCAAGTGTGGGCACAAGAAGGTGTTAGTCTTAAGAAGTAAACCTTAGGTCCTTTACATTCCTTTTAAGCTTGATACCAAACTTGTGTTCAAGTTAAAGGACCTAAACATCCCCGAATTAAACTGTCCATGTGTTAGGTCTACTGTCATTACCATACTATCTACAAATTTTAGTTAAAAGTTGCATGGTCTAATTCTGGTCCTTTACGCATTTCACCTAAACATTCACGAATTAAACAGTCCATATGTTAGGTCTACTGTCATTACCATACTATCTACAAATTTTAGTTAAAAGAAAACATGCCAAGCATGGGAAATACGGCCAATAATTCATTGCTTCTGATAACTACACTCCCTCTCCTCTTCAACATTTGCATAGAATAATGCAGATATTTTGATATTACAATCATTGCTGAGATTTTGTTTAGTAAAACTAATTTGTCACTTATGACTAGTTAATTTTTTTCAGAGAACAATACTTTTTGCTATGTTTGGTTCACACTGTTGTTACTCCCTGGCAGAGGGGTGTCAGGGGCAGATCCAGGATTTTTTTTAGGCGGGGGTGCACTCCTGTCTTGCCTTACTTCAACACCAATAACCCTCATAGTTTTTTTTTTTTTTGCAGAATACCAGTTGTATTAGAAAGCTGCAGGTCATCTCAGGGGGGGTGTGCACCCCCTGCACCCTCCCCCTAGAACGGCCCCTGGGTGTGGGATGTTAGTAACGTTGTCATGTATAAACATAATGGTCTCACTGTTGATATCCCTGAGGGGTGGGGGGTGTTAGTACAGTTAATGGTCTCCTTGTTAGGGGTGTTAGTTACATTGTCACGCATACACTTAATGAGTAAATGAATGAGCTACAATCAATGATAGTTATTTTTCTAGCACTTTAGCCTGGGATACTGTATGGAAACATCAATCAGGGGGTTTCAGCCTATAACAGATTGTGGGAAGTGGTTATTGTAAGAGTTTCTGATCTCTGTAGTTCTTCAAAAGTTAAATGGTGATATATGCTGCATAAATCATTATCCAGTGGATAATGCAACTGTTTTCAGTAACTCTTATCCAGTAGAGAGCACTCACCAACTTTTGAACAACTCAAGGCCTGGGCAATGGGGAGTCTGTGAAAGGGAAGGGATTTTGGTGTCTGTAGTTTTGAATAGGGTTGCAAAATGTAGTTGACCAAGGCCTTATGTTGGACAACAGTTTCACAGACCCTGGAGCACAGATACTCTCCCACCACAAATTTTTCATTCATCCCTTCCCTTCCCCCAGGTACAGTTAAACCCCGCTTTACAGACACCTGCTTAATATGGACAACTCATTATTACGGACAGTTTGCTTTTTCCCTGGGGACAGAAAGCCCTTACATTTTCTCTTAATTCAACCTGGTTAATCCCAACACCGTGTCAAAAAGGACACTTTCTATGGCCCCCTCAGTGTCTGTATTAACAGGGTTTGACCATAGTTGATAACTGAAGGCAAAGAAAACATACAAATAAATAATCTGCCCACTGCTTTCTGGCACTATCCAGGGCCTTTTGCCGCAGGTACATCATCTGTTTGTATCTGCTCTCTAACCACTCAGCTGGACCAGCACTGTTCTCGTAATCACTGGGTGTGTCAGAAACATTGATCAATACTCTGTGATACAACTGCTTCACATTCTGAGCCCATTCTTGAAGGACTTTTGATGTGTTGTCTTCATTATGGTCAGATCTGATCCTAGAAATAATCACATAATAATAATAAAAAAAGTCATGTTATTTATAACTGAAAAACTTCGAGAATTCGAATTTGATTTGGGGGATTGTATGAATGCTTAGGTCAATACCATCTTTATATGAAATGATTATAATGACTTACCTTTCACAATATAATAATCTGTAACAAAAAGAATGCCAGTAATCAAATTTAAAAAAAAGGAAAGGGCATACTCCAAGCTCAGGAGTGCCTCATGAAGAAGACGGGCCCAGTAAAAAAAGGGGGGAGTGGGTGAAAGTTTATTGGTTTCACACATATAGATCACTAGCCTAAATTTCAGACATTAGTTTGAGTCATTTACTCCCTCAGTAACATCTGAATCGACCAGCCATTAATGCCGTCCTGACGTCACTACCCGAAAACCGGGTAGTGATTTTGATTGGAACCTTGTTTTTCCAAACCTTTGCATAATCATGAGCAAATTTAGCCAGATTCAGTAGAGCTCATGCCTGTGTGGAGTTAAAAAATTTTGACAATCTTTATCGTAATTAGCAAAATTGCCCTTGTCTTCGAAACTATGAAAGTTAAATTGAACTTTGAAGGAAGATTTGCAGAGAGTCAGTAGGTTTTTCATTTGGAGCCACTTTGTGGTTTTGGCAGTGTTTGGTTTAGCAAAGCCATCCCATTGGGTCAGAGAAAAATTCATTTAATTGTTTCAATAGATACAAAGACAAATTAATTATCAAAAGATTTAAAAAATACAAGTCACCTTTCATGCTAGCTAATTTTCTATTCCACACATGTATTTCCTTAATGTCCTACAGGACAAGGAATGGTTTATTGGCTCTCTTTCCTAAACAGGCCATTCAATTTTACGTAAGCTTGTCCTGAACAGGGTGTTCACATCGAGAAACAGCAAAGTATGTTATCCAATTGTCCTCATAACAGAGTTAGAATTTGATGTCCCATAAAGAGTAGATATTTGCATTTTTGTTTTTTTCTTGTTCTTATCAAGGTCAGGGTTGATCCTACACCCAGTGGGGGGTAGTCCTTGTTATGGCCTAAAGGGGAGGCTCTGCCTGAACCAGGTACCTTTTTCTGGCTTAAGGTAATAATAAAACCCTGAGGAGAGTGGGGAGGGAATCTGTCGAAAGTCTGGGTGTAGCCTGGGGAAAAACTTACAAAATGTTAATACAGGAGGACTCTGACCTAAGGTCCACTCTCTTACTCTTGTGTGTATACCATTTTTGAGAGAAAAATTACACTTTCTTACCATTGAATAATGATACCCCCTTTTAACCTATCTTCCTAATAACACTGTCTCCCCAGCGCAACTAAACCCTTGGAATGAAGTAAATTAATAAACGACATTGCTCGAGGACAAATTATAGTAAAGGGATACGGGCATACAGTGTAAACACCTAACTACCCAATCTCCCTACCCTTCTTATACTTCAGCTTCTGAAATCCCTACCCTTTCCACATGTATACATTAATAATTAATGTATATAAGGTCATTCTATTACTTTCATGACTTTCATGACTTTCATAATTATATTTGTGAAAGTCATGAAAGTAATGAAAGTAATAGAATGACCTTATAAATTATTTGCAATATTATTGATTCCTTTTTACGTCTCTTAATTAAAACTCTGGACTAAAACAACAATCTACATGGTATAAGACAGTGCTCCAAAAGCTACGCTTACTCCACTACACACTTTGCAAGTATCGGATCGTGGAAGAATTTAAGGAATGCACTGACACGTTGACGATAACTGACTACATGTTTATGAGGTAGCTGTCATTTATGCGCTTTTTGCATTGGCAAGTAACTAAGTATATATTAAAAGAAGATTCCTTTTTTGGAAATCAACAGTGCAACAGCTAACGGTAAACAAATCATAGATGCAGGAGTTTTTAGCATGCAATGCTCTCATTTATTAATTTGTTGTGATCCGACGGTTGGACCGTTTGTCGAAAATTCTTGGTCGCTTAATAACTGTGGCTTCTATAACAACTTAAAACAATCAAAACTAAGAAATGTACACAACCACTAATAATAACAATACCAGAGGACACACTTACCAAACAGAAATTCTACTTTTAGGGTAGTCTAAATTATCGATATATCCCAGCCAGTTCGGAAGGAGATGAGCTGCATTACGAGCAATAATCGCAAGAAACACGCTTGGCTCCCTGACTTCTGATTCTTTTGAAAGATTATACACTACATCAGAGACCTTAGAGTCCGCTGAGGACGTTTGAAAATTCGTAAAGAAGAGAATATACAGGAATAAATAGCGCCATATAGCCATGACTGATCGATTTGTCGAGTGTAACAGACCATCGTGCTTTGCAAAAATTGTTGTCCGGAAATGGAACTGCGTTAAGTGTCACACAACAACTTTCACTTACTTCTTCGCGAGCAGTATTCTATGTCCAGGTATCAACAAGGTTGAAAGTATGATCCTATGCACGGCTGAATGAAGCCATGGGGTTAGAATAAGCCAAATATGAGACAATGATTGAAGTCTGCACTAATAAAGAAGTTGAAAAGACTTGGCAGTCGGGTGTGGATAGGAGGCTTCAACCGGAAGCTGGAAACTTTCTGTCTCATCCGGTCCAAGAAAGAAACATCACGAATAGTGAATGAGCAAAACAGTTCGGCCTTTTATCTTTCTTTCTTAGGAAACCTGAGCTTTTAGGTCCGCTTCATTCCTTTTCTCTTGTCTTATTACTCTATACAGCAATGTTTCCCTCTTTCCTTTTTTTTTTTTGCCAAAAAAGCGCACGTTTTATTTTATACTGAAAAGCGCTTTGTTTCATAAAACTGGTCGTTTCAGTAAAAAATTCAAACATGGTCCTTTCAACTGGAAATTTCCAATAAAGAGAAAGACAAAAAGCAGCTTGCCGGCACTAGGAGGGACGTTCTTTTCTCGTTTTTGCCGGATAAACAGAAAAGGATCATGATACACAGTTTCACTGGCTACGTTAAAAAAACTGATGGCAGCCTCTTTGTGCTAAGTTGTTCGTGGTATCCATGTTCTCACGAAAAATAGTGCGTTGCCATAGTTAAGCAGACTTTTTGCTGTGTTTTCATACTCATTGAAAGCGCTCCAGCTTCTCTTAGGCAGCGTTTTTCGCTGTTTCTCGCACATAACCGACCCAGAGGAATTGAGACTAACTGCGGAATTGGAGGAATTGGGCGTTTTCCCCGTTTGTGCTACATAAGCGCACAGAGGTGAGCGAAGTTGTGGGTAAATGACCCCCAGAGTTCCGGCTTAACTTAACAAACATTTTTGGTCTTGAATCTTTTCCTTTATTAAAAAAGTAGCAAGGTCTATGTGATTATTGCGATCTATGCAACTCAGCGAGAATTAGAATTGGCCACTCCAGAAAATACCATAACATACCATAATGCTCTTTGTTTGTCACCCCAAAATTTTGCATAAGCATTATTTTCAGTTTCTCTTGGGGCCATTTTAACTCCCAAGAGAAACTGAAGACAATGCTTATGCAAAATTTTGGGGTGACAAACAAAGAGCATTATGGTATGTTATGGTATTTTCTGGAGTGGTCAATTCTTTGCGAGCAAGAACGCCGCTGTCCCTTTAGTCCGAAGATGCCTGTACTGCTCCCATACGCAGTGTGTACTCTCGCACATCACACATGTATCTACTTCCCTTTAATAGTGCAATCTCACACTACATATGACTCTTAAGGCTTATATGTACACTTTATTCCCTGGTCCCCTTCTTTGTGCTGTCGTTGGATACAACAAAAATCTTACAACCTGTACTGGCTTATATAGGCCTGCAATGGCCTTACTCGAGAAAACTCACAGGACAGCTGACAGGATGGGTTAATAATGGGAAGTATAAGAAAATTTTCCATATCCCTTTATAAATAAGTTATTTTAAGTCGTTGGGGTTCTATAATAGTCTAGTGGCGTTGGACCATGGCCCAGAAAATAAAGTAGAAAAGAGATAAAATCTGTATCATCGATACTGACTGCGCCAATGTTCTGAATTAAACCAATTTTACAGCTGTTTACCTGGTAGGTTTGAGAGAACTTTAATACGTCACTGAATGGAAACTTATTTCATCTATGCTTGCTTGCACAATTTTGCAAACAATCCGAATTAAAATCGGTAGTCATTTTAATACAACTTCCAACAAGTGTAATTTTTGAAGCTCTACTGTAAATCAGAGATACACTTGAAAATTTCATTTGTGAAAGTTTTCGCGTGACACAGTCAACTCCCTTTAGAGCAGACCCGGGGAGCAGACACTCTAGGGACTTTGAGTTAGTGTCCTCATATTAGCGAGAGTCCGTAATAACGCGATTTTATTTTGATCAAACTTCTGTAGTTCATTTGTTCCTGGGATTTGGGTGCTCTTCGTATTATAGGGGTGTCCGTTGTAGCGGAGTGTCCGTCAAGGCGAAAGTTTACTGTATAACCAGATAAATTTTTGCTTCACTTGATGTTAAAACAGCTCTAGCCCGTAGTTCGAGGAGGCCTAACCTATCATAAGCTTCCTATAGTTTCTGTCAGGTCTCCTCGCCACTTTTGTTTTCTACTTTCTTATATTTTTTGTATTTCTATTATTGAGTGGGCAAACAAATGTACTTTAAATCCCCTACCCTGGTCCTAATCTCGTACCCAGATCTCTCTGTCTTACGCTGAAAAGTGAGGTCTGGGTACGAGATTACCCTGGTCCCGGAGGTTTTTCTTCCTTCCTTCAATGAAATTCAGGGACCCAACTGAAAACCACAACAGTCTTAGGGTCTCTCGCTCCTAGGGTGGAGAGACGAAAGACCCTAAGAACGAGGTAGGAGACCAACTTGTACGTTTGTTGGTCGCAAGAGTTTTCACCCCTCATGATTATGCTAGTCGTATTTGCTTCAATTGATAACGCGGAGTCACTCTTAAGTGAACAGGCAATGGATTTCGTTTTAAGACACTCAAAAGAGGTACCAGTCGTATTTTCGATCGGCTGAAAAATTTGACGGGACACTTCGTTCACGCGGAACTGACGAACCGGTTGAATTTCAACTTTAGTCAGAGGTTTTACCATCTGCCTTTACGCTACTTTAGCAAATCCAAAATGGCAAATGGCGTCTTCAGCTGAGTTACCACGTTACGTGGTAACTCAGCTGAAGACGCCATTTGCGTAAAGATGCGGTTCCATGGATACGTCGTATCCATGGAACCACATCTTTACCGTACAAAAATTTAGACAGTTTTGGTGTCCACTTCCCCCTGGTCAGATTTGCCGTAACGAAATTTAGACGGTCATGATGTTTACCTTAAGCCAGTGAAAATGTTCGACCCTATCGGCTAAAGATTTGACCTCGATTTTAGCGTTAAAAATTTCGCACGAAGTTTCGACTGGTCAGTGCCGTGTGGACGAAGCCTCAATTTAAAACAGCTTTATTCGTGGTTTGAAGAATTTCGCTCCTGAGATTTGTAAAGCATCTCTAATTTGGATAACGTTTTAACATCTTGGTGAAGTAACCGCTTTTCATCTACACTGCTTTCATATTTTAATCTGTGAGGCCGTTTGTTTTCTAGGATAAACTTCTTAAAGGCTTTTTTAGAGCTGTTAGTGGCAAGAGGCCACAGAACAGAATGACGTCGTTCATTCATATCATCGTCGTCGTAATAATCACCATCATAATCTGGATCATCGTCTTCGTCTTGTTGCTGTGCCATCATCATCATCTCCTCCTCCATCCTGTCTTTTTCATACTGATTCTCCTTTTCCCTGTTTTCCATATGATTCAAAACTCCCTTTAGTTGAATTGCAAGCACGTGAGCCAGGTTTTTCCAGTCTTTTGACCCTTTCGTGCTGATTACGGCATAGTTTGGAACATTTGTCATTCTGTTTCCGCTTTCATTGGTGGTCAACTCCTGTCCAATTTGTCGTGAAATAGCCTGAGCGTTTTCAGCAGAGCGGTCCTGGCTTTGCGTTTGGGTGTCGATTTCTCTCTGTATTCCCGCCAGTTCACGGTGGATTTCCAGTGATTTAGAATGGGCAGGAAGGTCTTTGGCCGACTGCGTTACAAGCTTAAGTTTCTCGTGGTGGTCTCGGTAATCATTACCAAAAAGTTTCAATACATTTTTAATCGATTGCGTAGCCATTCTGATCTTTTCTTCTTCTGACTTGTCAATGTCCTCTTCATTTTCTTTCGCATGGAAATTGTTTGGTGGTGGAGACTGCTTAAAGGTTTCCTCAGTCTTCGGCTTCTCATTAAAAGTAACTGTCACTTGCTTGCCTGCATAATATGGAGGCTTAGGCTTTCGAAGAGGTGCGTCCATCTGGTAATGCAAACAAAAAATCTTTAGGGTATATGTATTTCCAACATACGAATATAGCCGTCACGCTCTAGTGTCCGATGGAATTTTTTCTTGTTTTTAGCTTAAAAACAAAAAGCATTCCAAAGCAGAAATGCGGCCGCTATACGCGTATGCTCGAAACAAACTGATTCACCATTATTTCATGGCGTTTTAATGTATGCAAGCTGTTGATCAAATCCAATAATGTTTACACGGTAGTTGCAATGCCAAGATAGCAGCGGAAGAATAACTAACACCATGAGACTTTCAAAGAAATTGGACGTTTCGTCGCACTCGGTGCCAAACGTCTTGTTTATTGCTACCCAAAAAGCGAACTGCAAGGCAAGGAAAAGGCAATAATCTTTGGTTTCTTATGGCATCAAAATATCTGAAATTTTTTCATTCAGCCTGATTTTTCTTCTCTTCTAGTGGTTTTTGCTTCCAAAAAATGTCACACAGCTGTAACTAAATCGTTATTCATGGTTATCATTCACCTGGATTATAAACCGGTTCCTTGATGCTTATTACTCACCATTGTTCCTGATAAGTCTATTGCCTGCATGCCTCCTAAACTATTGGGCATTAAGTAGCCATTTTCTATACCCTGGTATTGCTGTTCATGCATATCATTGTTCTTGTAATGATGAGTGTGACTAGCGGAGGATTTCACGCGTTCAATGGCCTGCTGGTTAACAATATCGTCAGAGCTAATGGGAAGAATAGCTTCCTTTTGGCTTTTGAGTTTTTCAGCTTTTTCCATAGTCGTGTTTCCTGAAGCACTAGTTACTGGACTGTTTAAGGAGCCTGCATGCAGCTTTGAATGCAAAGTACTTGCATTGACATAAAGTATTTTCTTTCTTTCATGCACTGGTCGCTTGTCATGCTTTCGCTTGCCAGTAGTTGTTGCGTTGCCAAGAAATTCAGCAACCTTCTCTAATTCTGAATCGGCGTCTTTATATTCTGATGCAATGTTATCAGTTGACGTAGATGCTGTACCGTTACTGTTTTTCCTGCCTAGAGCTATTAAACCATAATCATGCTGTCTTTGTGGAACAGATGTATTCACTGATTGCGATTCAGAAATCTCAGCAGAATCAGAATTCTTTAGCACTTCATGCACCTTTTTACTTGATTTTTCGCCCAGTTCGTATCCCATCAGGACAACAACTGGGCGATGATCAGTTTCTTTACTTGATACTCTCACCTGGGTTTTGCCACTGATAGAGGCTTGCCTGTTGATTGACTCTCCGCTCTGGTCTTGATCAACTGCCGTTGTTGGAGGAGTAAGCTGAGGTGTTAAAAGTTTTTCCTTTGTCTCTTCATTTGTTGTCTCACTTTTGATTCGAGCAGGTGCTATTGTGCTTTGTAAGCCAGCGCGAACCTTGGGAAGCCAACCAAGAACACTCGGGGAAGCTAAAACCAGTTAGAAAACACATTAATAGACTTTAACAATTTTAATATAAAAAGTTGAAATTAAGCCAAAATAAGAAAGTAAAAAGGAAGAAAAGTAACTAAAGCAGAAAAATAGAAGAAAGCTCTTTAGCGTTCCCGTTATTTGGAAAAAAAGCTGTCTAGGGTAGAATGGTCTCTCGTCTTCCCATACTACCCTGAGCGCCGAGCCAACTTTTAGCACCATTCATTTCCTTGCAAAACTTGGGAACAGTTTAAATGACAAACAAAACGTTGGCTTGGTTAAAAGGATGACAGCCTTGCTGGGTCTCTCATTTGCGATGGTAGGGTTACCCTCGTATCTGGGCTAACGCTTCTCCATGTAAACACTTTGGCTTGCCAAGCCTGGTCAACTCGGTCAGGACGAGATAATCAGAAAAAGCGCGTACGCCGTTGGCTTGGGAAAAGGGGTAAAATTTGTTCTCATATAAGCAGTCGCTAATGCTGACTCGGCTGGGAGGGTGACCCTCTTTCCCGCGACAACTTTTGTTCATACAAACGGGTGCTGAGGATCAAAGGGACATGGGACTCATCTCGTTCGACACTCCTGACACACCTCTCTCCATAGTTGCACCTAGAAGTAGTTAGTAATCATACACTAAAATGATGTGTCCTTTTTGTTCACACCTTGACTATCTTGATGAGCTCCCCTTTCCAACTGTGTTGCTATGGCATTTGACGCGGTTTCTACTTGAGGCGTTCTTTCTTTCCCCAAAATCTGTATCGAAGGGCCCCCCTTGTGTTGGATTACAGGAGCCGAGTCACGGTCATGTACACCGACTGTTTGACCGGCGGAATCTTTTACACGTCCCCAGACTCTGTCTATTATTTGCCATTGCTTTTGACCTGGAACTGATCGCAAATTCAAACCAATGTTAAAAAGGTTTACTCAAAAAGTAAAAGACTCACTTTTCGGGTTTGCAGCGATAACTGTCTGACTCTCGATTATCAACTTTTGTCATTTTGACTACTTTTTTTCCCTGCTTCTTAACTTTACTAGAGATACGATTTTCCGTACTACACCTCCCCCGCCCCCCCAAACGTACCCCGAACACTCAAGCCCAAGAATCCATTCTAGTCATTATGAAATAGTACTCTTTTGTACAGCAAAACAAACCCGGAAAGACTGTGTTAACTCTATAACCTTTGAAGTGCAAAAATTACTTACCACAGTACTGACAAGTTTTGTTACAAACGTGTTGCATTTCTCGTCGATATTTGAAACAGAAGCCCAAATCTTTCCACACGTGGCACTTATTCAATACGCCATTGAAATCTCGACAGTCGTGATCAAATCGTGCAATGAACTGCCTTGTGTATCCGGGGTTATCTATCGCATCCACAAAAACACAACAACAATCACTAGGTATGAATGTAAGTAATATGAATTGAGTGCGGTGGACCCTATAAACTGAACATGTCATACTAATTATATAAGGGGCTCTAAGATTCAACGACGCGACGGCAACGAGAACGTCTAAAAACAGTATTGTTAATATGCAAAACAACAACTTTGCACGTGCATCACACCTTTTTTGTACATTTCCTTGCCGTTTCTGCACGACTACGACGTGAAAATGCCTAAATTCGCGTTTTGTGGAGAACGTAAACAAGCAACGACGAGATTTTATTTGTTTTTCTGAACTTGGATATGATGCCTTGAAATTCAACTTCTGGAGGGTTCGCCTACATTTGACAGAGCAAGTGAGTAGGAATAACTGCGATAAAGACTGAAACAACGCAAATTCACTTTTTAAGCGCCGTCCTCGTTGCCGTCGCGTCGTTGGATCTTAAAGTCCCTATTGTGGTGGAATAAAATAGCTATGAATGACAGTACAGTCGAGTTTCACGCGGCAGTTTTTTTTTGCACTTAGAAATATCCTGCAATTATTTTGAAATTACATTCCCCTGCATGCAGCCCGCGCCACTGACTGAACAAAGTTTACGTCCACGAAGCAGAGTAGCCTGCATATCTATTGTAGCTTTAGATGCACGGAGCTAGTTTAATACCACTTTTGGGCTGCATTCCCAAACTACCCGATTCTTTGGAGAGCACATCGCCTCACGAGTGGAGATTTCACCCTATTACGAAAGGCCTAATGTTTCAAACAACTTAGCCTAGATTTCATGTTTTAACCTTATTCTCAGGCTTCTTTATATAATTCAGTCTCAAACTTCTTCCTTCAATGACAATAACGTTTTTGAGAGCAAAGACCAAAGGGGGCGGTCGGCCTTTTCACTCTGTGCTCTTAGGGAAATTTCGTTGTGACTCTTCCACTTGAAATGTTGACAAAATATTACTTACTGTTAAAATCGACAATCAATTTTCACTGTTAAACAAACACAACGCAGTACTGTTATAATATAGAGGTAAACTGGTGGATACATTCAGGCGCAAGGTAGCTAAACGGATCTTGAAAACGTATAATAGCAATGCCGGCGAACTTTTTGTTTTCAAAACACCCTCCAAAATTCAGGACTACAACAGAGGTACAGTACCGCATTCATTGAAAGCTGGGTCTTAGCTATCCTGTTTTACGAGTTCAAAGGGTCGTTTCAGCTAAACTAAGTTGTTGCCAGCATGAGGGCGACATGGCTAATGAACATATAGAGATCACAAATTAAGTCGTCAGTAAGTATAAACATACACGATAAAAGTAGTGAAATCTAAGACAGTATTACCCAATGTTCTGTAGGCAAGAACTGCACAGGTGAGTAGAAGAAGTGACATCCATTTTTGCCAGTGAAAACCATTTCCTAGTATTTCCATAACTTGATCACATCCAATGCATTACTTTAACAATTCTCCTTGCCCGATACAAAATAATACATTACTTTCTCTTGTAATTTTAAGACTTGTTTTCTTTGTGAGTACATTTTGGTGTATGCGTTTTTTTCCGCTACAATTAAATTTCAGTCGGACATCGTGTAAATTTGTTCTACTATTTTTGTGGTAAATAATTGATTCCTCGCAAGTTAAGGTTGCAATACTTGTTAATTGTACTTGAATAACAAGTCAAATGTCGCAAAAAATGAAGCGATTGGTTAGTCGTATAGAAAGTGGGTGGGTAACACCCGAACAAATGTACGCCCATTTGACTTTCTTTGAGACGAGAGAGAGAGAAGTTGTCCTGGCCAGGAAAGAGTCACCCTCCCACCCGAGTCATCTTTTGCGAGCGTTTATTTATAAAAAAAAAAAGTTGACCCCATTGCCCGAGCAAACAGCACACGCACATGCTCTGATTGTCTCGCCTAGACCGAATTGACCTGGCTGGGCGAGCCGGAGTGTTTGCGCATTTATAGGAAACCTTGGCCCTTCTAGAAGGGTTATCTTACAATCAAAACCCTCACTCTCCTAGCCGAGCCAACTTTTTTGTTTTGCATGCAAACGGTTTGCTAGGTTTTGGAAGGAAAAAAGTCAAAAGTCGGCTCACCCAGGGTAACTCGAGTAGGTGGGTGACCCTTTCAGCCGGGATAACTTTTCTTCACATAAAAGGGGTTCAGGTCTTTATTCAGGTTAACTACCTAGTACAGGACTGGCTGTAGACGGTTCAGTAAAAGTAGTTTTGTATAAAGACATATACATTGAATTCATACAGTTGTTGATCAAACTGAATTGAGTTCGACTTAAATAAAATGCGTTGTTATGGTAGTGATCATAGTATGCCTGGTTTTCATTCACGCTCTTCCTATAACCACACTCGATATAATAAAAAACAACCAGGTCAGAATCAGAGGCTCTTTGTGAGTATTTCTAACGTAAACAAAGTGCAACGATTGCCATTGATGAAACGAGGAAAATAGAGATCAAAGTGACTATCCCATTGCCATTCTGAACGTGCTAGACAACGTTAGTCGTACGATAATGGAAAAGAAATCTGCCAATAAAATGAAGGCACGGTCAGAGTTTTCGTTTTTCTTATTAAAACTGTTGCCTGTTTTATTTTCATGCTTTCTTCGTCATCGTTGTGGTTGCTCGAGCTCACCGGTAGAGTTGACACGCAAAAATATTCTTGATATACGAAGATTTCCTGAAAACCGACGATTTGAAGGGAAAACGCTCGACGTAAACAACTTTCGCAGGTACCCATAAAGACTCAAAGCAGAATCATAAATGTTTCTTGAATCTGTCTTGATTCGTGAGATAAGTTCAGTTGTACTCCATGTGATTTGTCAATACTTGCATTCTTTATGCTCTGAGCAAGAGCTTTATCCGTCGTACCTACTCTAGGCCGTGGTTGTTGATGAGGGCGCTTGCACTTCTTTTTTTCAGAAAATCCCTTTTTTGCGTTTCTACATGCACACAACATACAAGGTAACACATGGTACATGTAATAAATATTACTATATTTCGAATGATTGTTTTAATGGAAACTCACTTTATGGACAGTACAAATATTCTGGATCTGTTCTTGTGTACTCTGTGTCAAGATCTCTGATAGAAGGGACGTCGCGAAAAAGTAAACAAGCCAAGCGAAAATAACACGCGCGCGATTAGCCCCGCGCGTTTTCTGTATCACCTTTTGCTGTCTTTACTGTATGACTGCACTTCTACCTTGGAGATTAGAACAGGCTAGTTCGTGTTGCTACAACTAACCCCCCTGGGTTTACCTGTGAATGCCCAGCGCACCTGGTCCCCCCGAACATACTAACATACTGTGAAAAGAACTAGCAAGAGAAAGAATGAAACTTACGGTAGCGTGAAGAGATCAATGGGTCATTACATAAACACTATCACCTAGTTAGTGACTGGTCTATAGGCATAGATATAAGATCCTTTTAAGAGTCGACCTGTTACTGATTAATTAATAATGAGGAGTATTCACTGAAGTGAAAAAGAAACGTTTATGTGGTTGAAAGAAAACCTCAAGTTAATGTAACTTTGATTGTCATTTATTGGGAAACAATTATGTATTCGAAACTTAGTTGAAGTAGTCAGTCCGCTTAAGACTCTAACATTCCTTGCAGCGAAATGGTAAGTGAACATAATAGTATAAGTATCTTGTCAAGCCAACATAAATTCAAGTATTTATCCGCTAATGCTAAAAGTAAACATCTTGGTCAATGAGACCATCACAGACATTAATATTATTCAAAAGCGCGATATTACCATTCCTCACGTTTATTGTGGCTTTTTGTAAAGTCACTTTCTACAAGAAAGAGGACTTAACGGTTTTCAAGCCAACTATTAGAGAAGGCAGATCTGAACATTAGCTTTATCCGCTGATGCTAAAAGAAAACATCCATGGTAGTAAAGAACCAAATAGTAAACAGTGACCAAGATAATATGAGACCACCTATGGACAAAATCTAGGGCCTTTTTGGTCTCGATTTTTTTTCATTTTGGTTTAGTATAAATCTCTTAATTAGTTAACGATAGATATTTTACCTTGGACTTTTGGTGTCCCCAGGAAGACATTTTGATTTAATAAAGTCATCTATCTATCTTCATTGTCGTCTATTATTTCTATCTATCTATCTATTATCAAAAACAACAAAAAATACCCGCAGGTCTCGAAATTTAGTATGCTTTGGACCATTTTCCATTGTTAAACGTCGAAAATCTCGAATCAAATTACTTCTTCCTTTTTTTTTTTTATACTTTAACTGGTTTAATTTATTGGAGGGTTTGTGCACGTAAGATGTTAGTTAGATACTTACAGTTTTAAAACTAATAAAATCGATTGTTTTCTTTTGAAACATACTAGCTTCTCAACAAACTTCTAAGAGAAAGTTGCTAACACCCTAACAACACTCGCGTTGACCAAGAATTCAACATTCTTCTTTTCTCCCGATTTACAAGATAGTATTAACAGTTTACTTCGTCTATTGTCGTTTGTTTGTACTAGATTATAACACTGTATTCATCTTGAAACATAACAGTTTAAGCTCTGGTGTCAAATATATATTGAACACTGTGGCAGAAAGACATTTGCTTTACAGGCGTTTTGAAAGTCTGGTCGTAATAATAAAACGGTAAGATTAACGTAGGGGAAAGTAACTTAAATTGAGGTGACCCATTCAACCATAAAGCTGGTATCCATAGATACCTTCACTTTTTGACTTGAGAAAGACAGTTACAACCAAACTCTTTATTAAAATTCTTTACTCATCCTGTTTTTTATTATTTTTTTGTCATTTCAGAGAAAATATCGTTTGGTTCAACAAGCGGTAAGTATTCTTTCTGAATTTAAATCCATGGTTAACTACTTCAAGTCTGTTACTTAAAATTGCATCTGTATTTAAGACTTGTAATTGTAAAATTGAAAATTTGTTTGCTCACGAAACAGTTAGGAGTTCTTAAGTGTTGATTTTTTATAAGCCGGGGAAGTGGGGGCCAGAGTACTCGGAGAAAAACCTCCCGGAGCAAGGGAGACAACAGGAGGCGGAAGAGATTAGTGCTAAAGAGGCAGCGTGGCTAGAGGGTGAAAAAAGGTTGAACTTGCAATCTGGAGATCCCGAGCTCAAGTCCAAACTGGACCGCTATCTGGATTTGTTCCTCGATAATCCCGAGGCAATCCCGAATTTAATTCCTCGACCGCGCTTAAAAAAACTTAATCGTTTGTTCCCGACTAGCTGAGATTTTGTACCTTATCGTGGTAAATTTTAATTGTGTCTGTAATCTATTCTCTTATTGCATGCGTCAGGGGTATAATTCTTGTTACTCGGATTTGTTGTACTAGTACATGGTTCTGTCATTTGTCAAAGAAAATTTTCCTTTTTTTTTGGCAGGATGCGACTCAGCTTGTCAAAAAGAGTGCATCGAGGTTATTAATAAGTATCGCCTTAACCATCGTGCAAAGAAAATTGTCTTCTCGCAATTTCTGGCCGATAAGGCACAGAAATGGGCTGATGGTGGAACGTTTGGATATGACATGAAATCTCGAGGCAAGTACGGCCAGCTTATTGAATGGGATGTAAAGAACGAACTACAGAATTTCACGACAGTTATCAAACACTGGCATGACAAGGAAAGGGATTTTGACTTTGCTTCCAGCCAATCAAAGACAGGGAAAACACTTCATGACTTTACGCAGATCGTTTGGAAAAAGGCGGGAAAAGCAGGCTGCGCACAAAGCGAGATATTTGGGTCAAAGTATTACGTAGTTTGGATGGATTCTGATGGAGTTGTTAATCCAAATATGCAAGCGGGTGAAGAAAATATTGGATCTCCGAAAGAGGTATTTTTGGCCTTTTTATAATGAAATTTACAAAAATGTAAGAGAAAACCCCTTATTCAAACAATTAGCATTGTGTGCAGAAACGTTGTCCCTGGAAATAGGATCACCTCAGTTAACTTTAGCGACCCTTTGCCTAGTGAGCCAAGAGCTGACAATAGCGCTTGTCCAAGGTCTGATTGCCCCGCCTTGATCAGGTTTGCCCTGAACGGCCCGCAAAAGTAGTGATATGGAGAAAAATAGGCCTAATAAGGTTGGTGACTACATCGTAGAAAAAGGGTGACCCGGCTAGGTGGGTCACCTTTTAAGCCGCACCAGCTTTCCGCTTTTCGTGTAAACGGTGCGAGTGACCCTACCAGAGAAACGTTTTCTTCATGCAAACGGGACGTCAGTGTTTTTGAACTTCTAGTATTTAAATCGCCGGTGGGGGAAATCTCTATCACTTATAAGCTCGTTGGCTTCTCGGAGATTTCCCCACCACAGTCACCTTCCCAGCTGTTTACTAATTTTAATTTAATGTTATTTATCTATTTGTTATGTTTTTACTTCTACTTGTTGTTATTTATTTTGTGTGGCAAAATGAAAATAAATAAATAATTAAATAAAAATGACAGTAGAAGTTAAGTATAACAGATAATTAAATTCAGTAATGCACTTTTCTTAAACGTTAAACGATGGAGTTAATTTCTTAGAGTACTCCTATTCATATATCATGTTAGCTTGCACTCAAATTTATGTTGAATTGTTAAAGCTAATTACAAGTTTGACAAAAGCCCGATATAAAAAATCAATAAGTTGTATTTTGACCGTTTCCTTAGGACGATCTTCACTGGTATGAAACTTCCTCTGATCTGTATAAAAAACCTGAACCTAACAAGTTAAAGCCTTCAAGGTTGCACGAAGGAACGTCTTCAACAAGGGAATTTGTGGAGCCTGGGAAGTCAAAATCTAGCGGCACGAAAAGAAATGGTTTTAGGGCACCAAATAAACGAGTAGGTGCTGCTGATTTGAACGAGGTACAAGAGGAAGAGAAAGTGTTGAACAATAACGCTATTTTAAAACAATATCTTTTTCAAGACAGCCTTAACAAGATAGTTTTGAATGAAAACAAGGAAACCGCAAGTTACCGTGTGGTCCCAGGTGCAAAAGATGACGCCAACTGGCAAAAAGGAGCAGAGAGCCTAATTCGTTTAGACACAAGTAAACCAAAATCAAGCAGCGAAAAACAGAATGGTGACATGGCTACAGTTCCAGCCGATGCAGAGGACGACAGAAAGGACGCAGCCAAGTTCCAATCTTTGGTAATCCAGGACGATGACATGTTGACTAAGGACGAAGAAGATGACAACGGAACGCTGTCTTCACAGGGAAATAATGGTGATGAGTTTGGAGCAGACGAAAACAATCAAGCAGCTGCCATTCAGTCTATGATGAAGCAAGAAGATGACATGATACAAAATCAAGACGGTGAAGGGGAAGAAGAGTATTCGGGGAATAGTTCCAAGCTAAAGGGGTTCCAGACTAACAGTACTTCCTCGAGCAATTTGGGCGGGAACTCTACTACGTATTATGCGTCAGGAGTAGCATTAAACAAAAATCGAAATGAAACTGCGTCTAATAAGCTCAGCGAGAATCTCCATTCTGAGCCAGTTGGAGGGACGTCTAATTCTTCAGTCGTAGAAAATGAAATGAAAAATCAGTCAATAAACGATTCTTTTACAAACGGCATCCTGAATAGTGGAGGCGATAAATCTAAACCCGGTGATCTTGACAACGCAACGAACACTGCATTGTTACAGAACGACAAGCTTATTGACCAGCAGGTGTTGAACAAATCACAAGCAATAGTAAAAGAAGAAAATCGCCATAAAGGTGATATTGGTGCAACTAATGGAGGCGATACCGTGGAGGCTGGATTTAGTTTAGCCCCCGCGACTTCTCAAAATGGGGTACATACTGAAAGAAAGCCCGGAATAAGTGGTACGACAAGCCAGCAAAAGTCACAATCACTAACTCAGTTTAACGACCAGGTAAACACCGAAAAAACGGAATACCGGCAAGAAAAAATGTATCCTACCTCTCAAGCAAAAGCTATATACGTACAACCTCAGCAGACAGTAAAAACGGTGCCTACCATTTCTGATAAAGAGTCCACAGATATGCCAAATAGTTCTTTACAAAGTAGTCAAACCACAGGGAAAACTACTGCAGTTCCATTAACCAAAACGAGCTCCTCCACAGATCTTGGCTCTTCTCTAACTGATGTACACCATGTAATGTCACCAGCCTTAATCAAGTTGCCGAGTTCAAACAGTCGTCCCATCAAGCTTGTATTTCACGTGAAAGATATGAATTCTAAAAGCAACACTGAAGACGGGTCCCAAGCGGTATCTGATTACCAGTCACCAATCACTGCAGATGACGTTACTGCCCATATGAATGATGATGCAGGTAAAGTTTATACGTGAAGTATAACGTCCGTTGAACTTGTACATAATAGTCACTAACCAATAGATGTGGTTAACGAATCATTAAAGCAAACTCTTTGACTCACAGTTCACAAATGCTAAAGCGTCAGTACGGTTAATTGTCCAGTAGCTTTGTCATTTCTATGGATACCAGCTCAAGGCTTGCCACTTTAATAAAGTTAAAATAGCAGGAAAAGACGGTCATAGGTCTCTAACAGGATGCTGCGGCCTTTTAAAGGGGCGGGGGTAGTCTCTTATTATAAGTAACAAATACAGTGTGTATTTGTAGAATGGACGAAAATTGACACTTTAAAAATTAGCTGCTGATTGTGACGTCGTTTTAGACATTCATTCCAAACTACCTTTAACCTTGTACCACTTTTTAAATCTTTCGACAAGTCTTACCCTTAGTCAATTAACCCGGCTTCATATTTTTCGAGTGGAAAAGCGTGTGATGTATATTCGCTTCTTAGAATGCCAAGACGACACCTTACAATGTCACCTTTGGGCTCAACATGGTCACTGTAAAGGAATAGCTTACGCCGAGTTTATGAAAAGACACTGTAAGGCCACCTGTGGATATTGTGGTACGTTTCTTATTCAAAAATAACCTTGGTTATGCTGTGTTGTTATGTATGTTTGTAGAATGCATCATTCTGGTTCTCTGCCTTTTCTTTGGTTTACATGAAATATTACTTATTTCCTCTCGGCTTTCCAAAAGCTCCATCTAGTTTTAACAAAGCTGGTATTCGTCCTTGGTTGTACTGTGTTGTTATGTATGTTTGCAAAATGCTTTCGTCAGGGTCTATGCCTATGCTTTGGTTTTCGTGAAATGATAATTGTTTCCTTTCGGCTTTCCACAAGCTCCAGCCAGTTTTAACATCGCTGGTATTCGTTCTTGTCTAACTCCATCGATATTTGGTTTTACTCTGCTTCCCAAATGCCTTTCATATTGGATAAAAAAATGCACTCTATTTGAGTGTCAATGTATTTAGCACGAAAGTACAAATTGCGAACACTATTTTAACGTCTCCTACTGGGGACGGGGCCGCCATTTTACGTGGTCATCCGAGCCACGCGAAGAACTAGCCATTTGCAGGGCAAAGGCAGTACCTTCATTTCTCAGTTATTTTAAGGCACTGAGTATTGGTCCGGCCCGGGGAATCGAACCCGCGACCTCCCGCTCTGCAGTCAAGCTCTGTACCGACTGTGCTAACCCTGCTGCGGATCCTGACAAAGGCACCCAATACAGCTTGGTCACCCTCGACTGTGCTTATTTTCTCAAACGTTTTTACATTTTGTGATATAGGACTTCCATCCGTCATCAAAGAAAGCGCAAAGATTAAACAGCCCAGCAATCAGTTAACCCAAGACGGTAGGTATTACTTAAACGATCGACGATTAGTGAAGGACATGAAATATACGCAAACAGTTAAGGGAAAAATATAAGGTGTTGAAGCGTCATAATTGTGGTTCACAATACTTGGCTATCGTCAGACAATTATAAACAAGCCCTATCGACTTAGTCGTCTTATGTGAATTCCCCTTGGGCAAATGTCCAAACGAGTTAGTTGGTGAACGGGTACAATGGTATCCGCTTAATATACGGAATCTATCCTTGAGAGTATATATAAACCGTTTACATATTATTTCCGTATAAACGTGCCAGATTGTACCTGTTTAAAATGTTCACTGGAGTGCTGTGGACTTACACTTGAGTCGATGCAAAAATGGCATCATGGATGTTCTCAAGACAGATAACCTACCATCTTTGTCATTTTTTTCTCAATTTATTCTCACAGAACCCTGTGAGGATTCACCTACTTATGAATTTAGCTGCCCGAGGTGGCAAGCTCAAGGTTACTGTGAGAGAAGGCAAAACGAAATGAACGTCGTTTGTAGAAAAACATGCGGTTTTTGCGGTAAGATGTACAACTTTATCATAACCTTCGTGTTTGATGGCTTGTTTTGACGATCCCATGGTAAATAAAACGAGTTGCAGCTGCCATTTTAATGATTTATTCTTTTTCGTTTTAGAGCGAGCTGAAAAAACATCCAGAGCGTCTTCGTCGTCTCATCCGTCGACTTCTTCATCACAATTACATTATAAGGAAAACAGCAAGAAACAAGCTCCCATGAATTCAAAACAGCCCATTACGTTTCTATCTAAACCAAATTTAAACGAGTTACTGAAATCAGAAGAGAAATTGTCTCCGTCAGTTGGCCTCCAGTCGCTAATTTCTGTTTCATCCAAAACCCCCAAACAACCCTTTGTTAGTGAAAATAACCAAGGACCTCCAAAATTGTCAAGTCTTAAAGCCGTTAGGCCAATGGGACGTTTAATGCTTAACCACAGTGTGAACCTTCCGAAGAACTTAAATGAGTCACTTGTTGTTTCTTCTCCCGAATTGGACAACAAAACAATGACTTGGACGGACATGAAGTTCACTAAAACAGGTTATAAAGAAAAATCAGGTTGGAAAATTTCTGACAAGTCCTTTCCCACACAGTTTCCCACACAGTCTGATGTATCGGCGAATTTTCCTAATGACATCAAAATGAAGGATCAGTTGAAGCAAAACTCATCAAGATTGCCAACAGCTCAAGATCAGGGCGTCACCGATAAAGCCGGAAAGTTTTTGTTAGCGCCACCAGTTAAAATGAATTTGCCATCTTCAAGTGGTTTCAAGCCCCAAGTAACTTCCCCTTCCCTGTGGCTAAAGACTTTTCCAAGCCAACAGTTGATTTCACAGAATGAAGATAAAGTAATAGAAAACGGCATAAAAGCGCTGCAACGTAAATTGCAGGCTCCTTTAGAAATAAGTGCAGTTGCAAAAAGTATCCCTGGATGTGGGAGGAGACTATGCAAAGAGAGACCTAACACTCAACAAGCAAAAACCAGAGAAACCATTGGCAACCGAGGTAAAGAAACATTTATAGTATTTTGTTTTTGTAGCTATTTGCAGATGTGTGGGATTGTAAGATTGGATCGGTCAATTTAGTCATCAAGTTTGGTAGGTTTAGTAAATATCGAAAGTCGTCTAAATCAGGGACAGAAAAAAAACGCCTTTGTATTGTGTTTACGTCTTCCATAAACCGCCGAAAATGTCGCATTAGGAAGTTCACGTTTTTGTTGAGCAGCAGCAATAAATTTAACACAACGTGTGATGCACATGCAGTACTGCTCATTTCGTTATTAAGCCTATTTCCTTTCCAACGTTCTTCTGCATGATAGAAGACGTTAGACGCCCGGAAATGACCTTATCCCATTTTGATTATTTAACCTAGTGTTGGATGCTATGACAGAAAGTAAGATCAGTGGGCCTGTTTCAACAAAAGGTAAGAAGTGATCTTTTGGAATTCACATACAAAGGAGGCTCACATAGGAAGTTCGCATAGCCCGACATTAACATCATGTTTGAAGATAAAACTGATTTTGCATCAAGGGAAATATGACCATGTCCATGACGTCTTTTTTTCCCATCGCCCTCTCTTTCGTAACGGTTGGACGGTAGGCTGGTCTGTCGGGGAAAAGAAAGGGAAGAGAAAAAAAAAGGTCATAACGTGGGAGTGGTATCAAGCTGTTCAGGCTGAAAAACAAGTTGTTTCCTTAGAAATTCCTGAATTCATAACCACCAACATGCAGAGAAAGCGACGACAGAATTGCTCGTTCAATATAAAACAATTGCATTTTTTCCAGGTTGTGACGAGTCCTGCCAGAAGGAATGTCTGGATGCCCATAATCGGTATCGTCTGAATCATGGTGCATCGCCACTTGTGCTGGATCAGAAGTTAGCGAATCAGGCGCAACAGTGGGCTGATAAGAAGGTTTTCAAACATTCTCCTTGGGCAGGGGGGCAGGGTGGGGAGACTATTGCACTTGGCAGTCTTTACCCATCGTTCACCGCGGCAGTCAAAGCGTGGCATGACGAGGAGAAGGATTATGATTGGTCTTCTGGAGAGGGGCTGGGTGGTATGAAGGTCAATCACTTTACCCAGGTATGTCAGGGAACTTTGCACTTGTGAATTTTAAGGAAACCAGGGATCTGTTCAATGCAGGGCTAGGCTAGGATTACCAAGAACTTCCAATCACGTCTACCGTGGAGTAAAATATAGATAAATGCAATCAATATTTTACTTTTAGGTGTGTTATACTTCAATATTGTTTTTTAGGTTGTTTGGAAAGGAGCACATTTGCTGGGTTGTGGTAAAACTTTAGTCAATGGAGAACCATACTACATTGCTCAGATGGATACCCCTGGGGTCATAACTGGCGAACCGGGCTTTGACAGGTTAAATGTGGGCAAACCAAAGGAGGTAAAAATTGAAGTTCTTCAGCCTTTTGGAGGAAATAACAATGAGGCTGGTCATAAGTTTTGAAAAACACCCTTATTCACTTTTGGCATAGTCATGTTATGAAGCCGTAGCCCAAATTCATTTTCTCCCCAAAGGGCCTCTCTATATAGGTGTGCTAATCCGGTTAGCCAGGCTGGCCCGCTATACCGGGCTGGCTCTAAGTCTCTGTTATGTTTATATGAGGAGAGCGATCCTGGTTCGAGCTGCGGGGTCTTGGGGGCAAGCGGGCCAGCCCGCCTTCTAAGCTCGAAAACTTGCCCACTGAAGCTGGCTAGCAACATTTGATGCTCGTTATTTATTGACTGTTCATTGACCTTTTCGATTTCAAACAGCTTCTCATCAGACAGGTCAAATTGGACAGTTATTAAGCAACAAACAAAGGTCTGATGATAACCAATCCGGTTAAAGAGTTTGTTATTGACACAATTAGAGAAACAACTCAGTTATGTTTATTGTTTCTTTTTTCATTAGCCCGACTTGTATTGGTTTATGGATAGCTCGCCATATTGGAAAGAGATGCAGACAAAGGATTCTATACCAAAAAATATTGAACATCTAATACTAAAATAGACGTTGCACCCCTGCATATGAATGCTTTATGGGGCAATTAATGTATATAATAAATTTGTAAAGAGAGACGTACGGGAGCATTATCAAAAAAAGATCATTATACGAGAGTCGGTGCAGAGTAAAATAATATTTTCTTGTTTTTCCATGCAACCACCCAACTGTGGAAATATTGTGATTTTATTTGAAAGATAATACTTTTTGATATACAAATAAGTGATTTATTAGCATGTAATAAAAGAACTAGAGAGGAAAAACTATTTTTCTGAGCCTTATATTTCTTTTATATGTAAATGTGTTTAAATTTTTGTGCGATTTGAAATTTCAACTGCAGTTAAATTATTATCTTACTTTGCTTTAGTTTCAGCTCCATAATCTGTCTTAATCTAAGTGAAAGGAAAATTCGCGCAACAGAAAGGTTTGCTACAACATATACGCCGAAATATTTGAATGCACAGTCTTTTTGAAGACATTGGCTTAGATTACTTTAAAAGCAGTACTCGCGTAGTTGCTTTCCCATATATAGATGGGGCAGGTCGTTTTCTATATTGGCTGCGCGTTTTCCAAGTCCTCGGAGAATGGGGAAGAATCTCTAAACCATGTGCTGTCGTCCTGTTAAAATGAACAAATGGTCAAAACAAGTACAGTTGTGATGTTTCAATTTCTACCTTACGAAACTTTTTTCAAAAAGATACATGGCTTCTTAGCTTTGGGAAGCGCTGGCATCGAATACATTTAACTGGGCTTTACACGGAGAAACGAATTAGCTTTCCGCCCTACAGCGACAATGAAAGTTTCCCAGGACTTCAGAAAGCCGGTGAATAGAATAAGTTCAAAAATGAATTATTTCATATCTACTTCAGATCATTTCACTCCTCACGGGAGATATGAACTCAATAAATTGACCTCGCTCCCGAATGTGTGGCTTCATAGCTCAGTTGGTAGAGCAACGCACCGGTAACGAGGAGGTCACAGGTTCGAATCCCGTTGAAGCCCTGATTTTTTTCAGGCTTCTTCTTTCCAGTTGCTTAAATTGGTAAATTTACTGCGATGATCATTCTTCACTTTCATCTACAACCGCAGTTCAAAAATGAATTATTTCATATATACTTCACATCAGAATAAGTTCTGTCAACATATTTGAGAGTTATTATTTTTTAGTTGACTCATGACTCATTGATTCAGCAACCCACTTACAATTAATTCTATTTTTATGCTTTCAATTGACTTCATCACCTCCTTTGATAAAACCGAATCAGTTTCCCATTCATTTGAGCTTGGCTGATTATAGGCCGGCTCGGTTGATCAAAATGTCGTCTTAGACCCTCCTTCTTCGTAAAAGTTGGAAGTCCGCTCCTTGTGTTCAAATGAAGATACTCTAAGTTAGGTTACAAGTTACGTTTGGCATCCATACCTGTTTCGGTGTTTCAATGTTGATTGTAGTGATAGGCTTGCCGATAACAGGTGCCTTGTCGTAATGAGCTACATACCACGGCTCACCATAAAATCCACCGCGCGCACAACCGACTTTATGAGCTCCCTTCCACACCACCTGGGCAAAGTGATCCACTATCTAAAAATACAAAAAAACGCCCCTCAGTTGTGCAGTGAGCGAAATGGTATTAAGTTCTCACCTGCTCTATAAGCAAGATTAAGCAGTCGCTTGACAAACTGATTCCTGGAAAAATGTATAGCGATCCACCTGGCTTATCCTTATCAAGTGTCAATTTGTTTTGTGGTATAAAGGTGATGTTACTCGAGAAGATTTGCAACGAAAATTTTTAGCGCAACACAGCTTTGTAATGTTGGAATAATGTTGCTGCCATTTGAAACAATGTCACAAAAATGTAGTAACGCTGTGTTGAACTAAAAGCTGTCTTTGGAATCGTCAAAGATAACATCACCTTGATTGAAGTACCGTGCACCAAATCATCAAAAATAAAAGATGGCGGAAAACAATATCAAAGTGAAAATTTTGAAGTTGTGTCAAACTTTTAAGAATAGCTTTTCTGCAACTCATAAACAGCAAAAAAAGCGAATCTCATACCTGAGTAGGCTTCTTTGGGTTTCCCGTCTGGTAATCATAATATAATCCTTCGTCGTGCCAATTTTTTATTACCGCCGTGAACGTTGGAAAAAGGGAACCCCAGGCGAAAGCTGCGCCTTTATTTTTCAATTCCACCCAATCAGAATGCTTGAAAACTCCTTTATCAATCAGCGCTTGAGCCTCGTCCGCCAGTTTTTGATCAAACACCAGCGGTGGAGCGCCATGGTTTGCACGGTATTTATTGTGCACCTCGATGCATTCTCTTTGACAAGAGCGATCACAACCTGAAACGTTTGTGGCCTCATAATAAGAACAAAATAAAAAATTTGTCCCCAGAAAATGGAAAATAACCACTTTTGTTATTTAAAAGGTTTTTCTAGCGCAATAAACTACGTTAGCGTTTTCACGCTGAATAAATGTGAATATGACATGATTGAAGAGGAAGGACATCCATGAAGTGGCTCTTCGTTTATATTCCTTACTAAACTGCAATACTGGCCATTTCGAGTTCCACAAACTCTCGCTTTGAAAACAAGGCGAAGTCCAAACCCTTTCTTGTGAAAAATGTTTTAGTAGCATAAAAACAGAAGATCGTTTTCAAATCGATGGCATTTGCACTTTATCTATCTGCGCAATAGTAATAGTAAACGAGTACTCCTACTCTGAGCGACTGCGCCATCGTTGCTTTGATCAAAAGTCAGTCAGTCATTTGATTACCCGATTGTGTCCTAGCTACAAACTCTTACATAGTGAAACGATGTCTTAAGGTAATGATAACTATCTTTTACAGTTTCGAGGGTGGATCGAGACAAAAGACGTCATGTTTTTCGACAACGCCAGCGCCGAATTAAGACCGCATGCCCTTCTAGTGGCCGAGAGCTAGGTTGAGCCAGTCCCCAGTAAGCTGTAAAGTTTTGTATCTTGAAATCGGTGGAAAGCGATCTGGATCCGTGCCTGCATAGAATTTTAACGAAGTTCTCTCTCTCTTTAATTCAGTCACCAAAAGGTCATAAAACATCCGAAAGAATTCTCTTGTTTTAACTTTAACGGAGATTAGGCCAATGGTGACGTAGTGGTGAGTGGATTTGCGTATCGTCCTCTTTCTCGATCTGATTGGTTCTTCTGAGTTTATTTTCTTTCAATTTCTCCTCAAAAAGCAACTAAGCTCCGAATTCCAATTTGATATTGAGCACACGAACACTTTTTGCATTAACGAGATCTTACCGAGCACTTTAAGGTGTTCCATGAGTGAAAAAACTACAGTAAATTGCTCCCCATACACTGACCTGATGTTCCTCCAGGAAGTGATCGACGGATGGCTTTTATTTCTCCATTAGACAGCTTACTGTCTGATGATAAAATAACCAGTGAGGTTAGCTTTCAAGTTAGTAAACTTATAGTATCACTGTAGTATTGGATACACCGCATCTTGAGAGCAGCTAGGAAAAAACGGATCACGTGTCTTATAGGGGGTGTCGACCGATATATCGGCCAATTTCTCGGTCGACTGTCGGTCGACGTATCGGTCGCTTTATCGGTCGAGTGTCGGTGGAGAGTCGGTCGACATATCGACCGATATGTCGAACGACAGTCGACTGAGATATCGGCCGATTTATCAGTCGATATTCCCCTATAAGACACAGAAGAAACAACAAAATAACAACGCAACAATGTCGAGGTTTAAAAGGGCTGACCTGTCAATGAAAGTACTATCGACAACGAAAACAGCAAGGCAATTAGCATCTCCCAGTCATGCGGTAAAAAGGACCACTGTAGAGAAAAAAGACGGTCTTGACAGATTTATAAAAGACTGCAAAAATTCTAACAGTAATACTGGCGCACAACATTCAACTTATACGTGGTTTTGTGAATAAAGGAAAGCTAGATTCGCGTTGAGGGTGTAGGGGTCTAGTATTTTGTTAGCTCCACTCTTGGATCATGTGGTATATTGTGGTATATGACCTTGTTTAGAAATTGAAAAGCCGACGACTGACTCCTTACGACGACAGCATTCGCTTTCCCCTTACTATAGCTTAAGTTTTCGGCCAACTAGAACGTTGTCGAAAGAGCAAGCGGTTAAGTCTACCACTGCCAACATTTGCTTGTCACTAACATAACCGACATGTTAATAATCAATTGAATTTGACTTGAACACCTCCTTCTCCTTCTCACCTTCTTCCAAACAGTTAAAAGATTATGCTCTTACCTATAAAGCGTTGGAAAGGTCAAGAGATTTCTTTGGAAGGAATTTGGCGTTGTATCTTTTTCTGTTTGCTCAACGAATTCACGGGACAAAGCCTTTCAAGTCTTACCTGTAATCTTTGAATAAACAATTCCCTTTTTCATTTGGGATACATACTAGGTTTCCATGAGAAAGGTTGAACTTGTAAATATTTTATGATCCTTGAAAAATTCGAGGGCACGAAAGACCAGAATATCGTAAACTTAAACGAGGCTGATAAAGAATTTCTAGGGGAACTAGATTTGATTCTTTGGAAACTGTCATGCTGAGACTCCGCAAAGACAAAAAATGTTTCTTTCAACTGATTAACTTAAGTTTTATTACTCTGCAATTTAGCCACCGTAAAGGGATTTAAAAGCTGGCTTTCGTTGAGAGAATCTATCTGCCCTGATGAGTGACTTAGACTAATTGGCTAGTTGAAGAGTCAGGTTTCGATTCCAGTTTCAACAATCGATTTAGTAAAATTTCTTGTTTAACACTCCCGGCAAGCATTATAAACTAAACTTAGAATGCAATGACCTTTACCATTTTGCACTGAAATTCAATTTTGAAGCTTTTATCAGGAAAAGCTTCATTTTAAGAAAATAACAACTGAAAGAGTGCTTGCTATCTTTTGATTTCATCCACGTTCGCAATTAGGCTTTCTTTCCTTTTTGATGCTATCTTGCCTTAACTTATCTTAACGGACATAATAATTTGCTTCAGGACCTTCATTTTAAAACGATATGGTTCTTTCAGTAAATGCACGGCTTGTTAGCTTTAGTTCGCCACCTGCAGTTGCCATTCAAATGCATTGACAACAGGTTTATTTTGGTAAAGCTGCTTCCTTTAAGAGGCCATATGGTAAGAATTCTAGGAGGTTTTTGTGAAAAGTAAAATTTCATTTTCCGAAATACACAGTATCCTTAGTTTGCACAACAACAACAAAACAAATTCTCGAAGAGGTTAGGACACCATGATCAGTGGTTTTCCAAAAATAAATTAATCGAACTTGAACTTTTCAGATATTAATCTATGTCCTCTCTACCCGACTTTTTGGACAAAGCTATAAGGCCATTTTTTAAATGCAAAAAAATTTCGGTTTCAGGATGTGGCCATGTGCAAACTCTTTCTTTTGCGAAAATGAGTTTCATTTGCATGCAAATGGAAAAAAAAATTTTCACATCCGTGAAAGGCTTTACACTTATACTCAGAAATGGCCAATTTTTTATATGTACTACCCGTGTATTTCCACCGATAGTAATACTTCTGTTAATGTTTGAAATCAGTAGCGGTATCATCACAAAAACTTTTCCAATGACCCTCCCCCTAGGTCGGTACGTTTATTTGGAATGATCTAAGTCAGGATTTATCAGTGATCGAAGATCACACGGATCATGGTTTATGAAAGGTAACGATACATCCTTACCCAGGTGAAGTTAAGCGGTTCCTTTGATCCCCCCCCCCCTTCCAACAACAAAAAAAGTGATCTAGAAACAAGACAGGGGTGATCTCTTTATGGCTGGCGCAAAATAATTTATTTTCATTATGACTAAATTTACACAAAATAGCATGATATTTCTAATGTATGTCAAAACATTAACGCTTTGAAATACACAACTGTGCTAAAAATTATATATGTTTCTATTTTTTCATAATTTATTGAGAAGGACAAAAACGACATAAACTATTAAAACTGATGAAACAGTAAGTCTCGTGAGCTGCGCAAAGCACTCTCGTGAGCTGCGCAAAGCACTAAACTGTGGCCTCTGAAGTTTAACTCAGGGAAGGAAGTCACTACCCATTATGAATGCGTAAAAGCTCCTGAGGAATCAACTCTTCTATTTTGTCTATTTATCCCCAAGTTCCTAGGCCCCAGTTATATGGGGAAAGTTGTTCCGGATAGATGGGTCACCCGCCTATCCGATCAACACTGGGCGAGCTAACTTTTTATACATTTCCTTACAGACGATGGCGAGCTGTCCACTTGAGAAAAAAGATTGGCTGGGCTAGAGGGGTGACTCGCCTAGCCTGGTCACCCTTTTGTGGTTATAGGGTCACCGCCCTACTAGCCTGGCCAACTATTTTTTTCATATTATTCTATTAAGACCTTAGCTTGCCCACCTGGGTCAACTTGGTCCAGGCGAGACATTATTTAGGGACCTCATGAAACTACGACGAGAACGAAAACGGCAACGTCAAAAAGTCAATAGGTTCAATGAGCAAAATAACAACTTTGCACGTGCATCACCCTATTTGGCACATTTCTTCGCCGTCCCTGTACAACTACGACGTGAAATGAAAGGCCAGGCGATGAATTATACCATCTCTGTCCCCTCTCCTTAGCTCTAACTTAAATTTCATTGTTTTAAGTAACTGGGCGACTTGGGATAATCGCGAAATGGTTTGAAAGGATGCGGAGTCTATTATTCAGCGACGTTTTCATGAACGTCACCGTTTTCGGATCGTTAGGTCCCTAATGAGAGCAGATGCAAGCGCTCCCGCAAGTAACCACCCAAATTGCGAAAAGTCACGTGGTCACTTATGAAGGGTAGTCACACATGGAGGTTCGACTGTATAAATGCTTTCTAAAGTTGACTCGGCTCGGAGGGTGACGCTTATACTAGAGACAGGTTTTCCCCATATAAAAAGGTCCTAGAACAAACCATAGTGGAAAAGTCACAATTAAGGTGAATTCACGACGACGTTATCTAAAACTTCATTTTGATTATTCTAACCAATATGTGGATTTATGTGTACAGGGCCAAAGATGTCACGAAAGCAAGGGAAACAAGAACGGCAAAAAAGCAAGAATTTTAATTAGATTAGCAAAACAACAAATTTTTGGTACATTTCTTTGCCGCCGCTGTACGACTGCGACGCGACAAGACAGAATGAGTTCATTCTCTCTTGGACGCGATAAACAAACGACGACGAATTCCACTTTTTCTCTTTTAACTTGAATATTTTTCTTAGGAATTCAATTCCAGGAGAGTTAGCCTACATTTGACATAGTGAGCGAGTTGGGATCATCGCCTTGAAGTTTCAAAGAAAGAAAAGTTACTTTTAAACTGACCTTTTCGCTGCCGTGGCCATCCTGGTATCTTAAACTCCCTTTCCACTTTCTCATAACTAAAATGGTCATTTTTGCGAGTTGGTGTATTTTTCATCGATAGTGAAGGTAAATTCGTTTGGTTCAATGCTTTTTTGAATGCTTATGTCTATTACGTTTGACTTTAGATTTCTTCACTACTATAATATTTGGTTTTTCTTCTTTCACTTCCGGGTCTTTTGACTTCCGGCTGAGTGAAGGATTTGGGGCGACACCATCACCAGTGTTTGCTGTCATCCATTCTTCCCTCTGTGCTGCCGCTACGTAGGGATCTGGGGAGTAGTGCTCTGTGTAGTACTCAAACTTCTCGTTTGTTTTGGCCGGAGTGAAGTAAGTTCCATCTTCAAGGGGATGCCTCACGGCACCTTACATGAAAGAAAACAAGTTAATTTAAGAGTACGAGAAGAAAGATAGACAGGCTACGTTCACGTGGTATAGGAAGAATTTTGGACAGTTTTTAAAAAAGTTACGTTACGTTCTCAAGGAACTATGTACTGTCGCAATTTGTAAACAAACCATCGCACTTTTTAATATCTGCCGCAATTTGTCATAAACCCGTGTCGCACTTTGCAATAAAAAGCTGTTGCAATTTGTAATAGCTGTCCATCGCAATTTGTAATAAACTAAGCTGTCGCAATTTGTAATAATTTGTAACGGGTGAGCCTGCTCGTAGGCTATTGTAATTGCTGTAAATGCACTGTCTTTTTAATATGAATAAATTACTGTGAAACTGCCCACCTACCCCTCCCTCACGCCAACATTTTGCCCTAAGTAAGAACTAATTGTTAATGTTGGTTTAGGGAAGGGGTAGGTGGGCAGTTTCCCAGAAAACTAAAATGATCCGGTTTTTGTCTTTTTCACAAGCATAAGATGCATATTTTGTTAGCCGTCTTAGGACCTTTTAGAGACCGAAATGACAGATTTTCCTACCCTTTCTTATACTTCAACTAGTGAAACTTCCACCCTTTCATATACCTGAAGCTTTCCGGCAGGACTGAGCCTCTCCGTATAGGCCATCATAGAAAGTACCCTCCCCCCCAGGCGTTTTCCTTACCTCCCATGTCGTCATATTGCTGTGGTTGAGGTAGCGTAATCCTCGTATCAGCGTTGACAGACCACAGCGCTGAATTTCCTTCCCTGTTGAATAACGGCAAACCTCTTTTGGAATTGGTGTTCCCAGTATTCGCAAACCTCGCGCTCACTGGGTGACGTTGAATAACGTTCTTAACTACCGTAATAACTGGTCTTGCCTTCTCTTGATCGGAACTTGGAGGTGTAGCGCTCTGGGACGGTGTAGGAGCTGTTGTGTTCTGAGGCGGTACTGTGGTTTCTTCGTACTTTGCATCTTGATTGAGAGAAGAGGAAATAAAAGAGAAGTAAAATAAGCTCTACCGTTAGTCATTCTGATTTTCTGTTGCATCTAGGTCGCGTGTGGGACATAAAATGTTGCTTGTGTGTGAGTGTGAGTTTTTCAGGGGAAAAATATCAGTTATACTTACTGATACAGAATCCACATGTTTTTGGGCAATAAGTATCCAGCTGATCTTTATATTGTTTACAAAATCCTTTTGATTTCCACGCGTCACAATATGGGCTTTCTCTATATGTATCACGGCAATCTGACCAGGAGGAGATTAAATGACATTTTAAGAAAAATAAATACTGTATGGCCGCAGAAAGACTCTGTAGTGCCTTTCATAAAGGCAATGTCTCGGTCGTTGGGTGCCCTTGATGTCTTTAAAGGATGTTCATGTCTAAAAGGAAGTTTACAGTGAACTGTACAGAAAGTTAGAGAATATGATGATTTGAAGGGTACCTTTATTGACGATTGTGCTTTTTCCGTGCCGTGTCTACCCCTTAAGCCGTCGCGTAGGGGTAGGCCGTAGGGGGGGGGGGATGGGGGGGAGTAGATACAGTGCGGAGAGACACTATCTCTCTCTTCTTCGCCGTGCCTCGGCAGACATCTTAGACTATGTTGAATCATAGGAACATAGAAACTGAGAAAGATACACTTTCAAAGTGAAAGTCGTGTACCAAAGATAGGTCACTTAAATCTTACAGCATATGATTACTTTTTCATAGATATAGCTAAAGAGCAATTCAAAAACTGATTAATAATTCATAAACAAAGAACAAAAGAAATAAAGATCAATAAATGTTTAATCATTGTCTTTATATCTGATAAAGACACGGGTAAACTTTTCGTTCAATTTTTTTAGAGCAAAATAACCCCAAATCTAAACATTAGTGCAAGAATGAGTTGATTTATATTACAGATTTTGAAGCCGTTCAAAAAACTCGCATTCGTGTATTATCAGGTTTAAAAGCTATCGGCTTTGCCTCGAGTTTTAAGCCTGATAATACACTCCTGCTTGTTTTTAAACAGTACGTAATGTATATTTCTTTCGTCAATGTTATAAAACTGAAGATCTGTACTTACTACAAAACCGACATGTGGAAGCACAGCCATAAGTCAGATAATTTCTGTAACGGTCGTCCATACACATCTGTCCATCCTTCCATTGCTTACACGTCTGTGACACAAACCTATCTGTGCACTCTTCTGAGGGAGGGTAGAAGGAAAAGTCGTTAAAAAACGGCAAAATTATGGAAGCAGCTATGAATAAGGTACTGAATTTTGTCAAGTACTCAAACAAACATCGTTATTCCGCATTATCTTTTTCCCGCCTATAGTATCACGTGGTCAATGCTTGTAAGACCGATTCCCGTTCGTCATGAACATGTCTATGGCCCGACCGCAAAGGCCTGGGAACACGTCCAACAGAGACTTGGCATGGAAGGTACGATTTTAAATTAACTTACATTGTAAAATTTGACTTAAAATAACCAATGAAAATTGTTGCAAAATGCGTCTGAGAGAATCCTTTTGTTTTAGTCAGATTGACCAATTTAGATTGGTTTGAAATAACTGGATTCTATTGATTTGAAATAACTAATTTAAAAGCAGTTAAAATAACTATCAACAGGGTTATTTTGACCTTTTTGTTTGGTTGTCTATTAGTAAATGGAAGTGTTAACAAGTTTCTTTTAAGTAAGAATGACCAATATTTTTGGTTAAAATAACGCCCTTCATTTAGTTAACTTGAAGAAGTTATCCTGAAAGGTTGAAAGACTTTGGAAAGCCTTTTTCCTCCTTAAAAGCAAGTTGATAGTACGTATAAGGTGCAAAAAACCGCTAAGTGGTCGATTATGCTCGCGGACATAACGGGTCCGTGTCCTTAAACTGGACCAGGTTCATGAAAGGCTGAGCGCAGTCGAACTATTTCGTTTCAATTCGTTACTTTCCGGGTCAAATCCTTTCAATTTATTTTAAGATGCTTTTAATTTCGGGGGAAAATTGATATAACGAAGAGCTAAGTTATTGGGAAAATAGTGTTCATTGTAATGGAGGTATATTGTATCGGGTCGTCTCCTATATCCATTATGTTTCTATAACTGAAGAGACTATCCGGCTTAATTCCAAAAAATTGAAGTATGTATTTTAACCAACCGTCTTTTCTAACTGATACCACCTTAAGAGATAATCCTAGACCTTTCCGAACTTTAAACGTACTAAATTCAACTAGGGATAAAAGTTTGTTCTCGTTAAGGCTATGCTATCTCATGGAAACTTAGTCTAGAGAATATATTACATCTATTATCACTAAAAGCTTTGTTATAGGTGGGGGCATCGCCCGTTAAAAGTGGTATCGACGGACGAACATGGCTCTTTATATCTGGTATTTATTCGGAATTCGTTACATTTAAGTTCAACTGAAATATAAGTGCCATGGTTAAAACTGAGAAATGACTTTCCGAAAAAACCTTGATCACAGTGAATAGCTTACCAGGCATTTTTTTTCCTGACTTCAATGAAAGATCTGAAGGCAATGGTACCTGACCAGGAGAATGAAGTTTCTGCTGACCCTGACCGATCCCTTTATTACTTTGTTTGTTTGCTTTCCTGGGAGTATCTTGAATTGAATGTTGATTGGTCTGTAATGGAGTGTCACCTGCGAGAATAAAACAGTTTTTTTTAAGGGAATATGTCACTGAGCAATTTTTTAAGTGCATTCTGTAAGTTTTCCAAATTACTCGCTAAGTGCTGGCGGGAAAATTAGTTCTATTCAACACAATAACAGCTTCATAGCACAAGAGTTGAGTGTGTTTTCTTAGCGCCCAAAACATCATTTATAATCAGAGATCAACTTTGAAAAGCTACGTAGCTAAAAAATTTTAAAAAAAAAGCAATTGGAAATCCCATTTAATCGTCTTCAATTTTGTCCATGCGAGCTCTACCCTCCTTTCAAAGTTTAATAAGCAGTTATTTTTATATTTCATTCAATTTGGTGGCCAGTTTCGCTAAGTTATAGGTGACATAGCTCCTTTAAGAGACCATTTCTTTCAAGAGGTCCTATTATGGCTCTTGTTTCTTTTTAGTTTCATGGACTTATGACCTCAGTTTAATAATAAGTCATTTACAGCTAGTTCCTGATCCGAGACGAACGGTCACGTGACCCAAAATTAATAGGTCGTGCGGAATGATGCGGCCTGGCGTCTGGGCAAGAACACTAAGGGCACAATACTCTGAGATCTACTCCTAAATGATCACTAGACTTCACGTGACTGTGTTATTACTGTTATCTATGACCTAAGACACATACATTATTACCCTAATATGCGTTAATATTACTTACTTTTGCAAAACCCACAGGTTTTTGCGCAGCCATTCCGGAGGTAAAACGCATGCGCAGTGCCATGACAAAGCCCAGACCTCCTCCATGTCTCACAGTTGTGAAAATTGTCACGACATTCTATGTAGACATGCAGGTAGAACAGTTTTTCATTTTGTTGAAAAAGTGAAGTGAAGGGTGGAGAAAAAAAAACCAACAAAAACCAACAAACAAACAACCAAAGAAAAAACAGACAAAACCAAACTCGACTTAGACAGATAATCCATGGCGACAAAGGATACAAAGATGGGTTGAAACGCTCACACCGACAGAAAAGAGCGCAAAAGCAATACAAATAGAAATTACGACAACGATTTGTTTTCCCTGTAATAAGTAACGAAGGTTTTTGAAATTCAGCCCAGTTATATTCTTAACCCCTATTAAAGAGATCGGCTTTAAGAAGAGAGAATACTTATGTCCCGCATGTCTTTGGAGGCCAAGAAAATAGCGAGGTGTGGAGAGGGCACTGGGGATAAGACAAGTTGGCCAAGACCGGTTATTAGAGGCAGTATTGGCTTTCTGTGTCTTGGGCAAGTGGGCGCTTTGCCAGCTAAGCTTATCATAACCTAATAGAAGAGCAATTTTCATTAAAAACGTAATGGGCGTTATAACGTTGCCATGGCCACTTTGATGTCAATAAAACATGGCTCACAAAAAATTTTCATCTTTAAATAATACAGCTGTGGTATCCTTTTTCCAATGACTTTGTTCATAAAGACGAGGTAAATATTCAAACTTAAGAGACATTCCCCCCTTAAAAAAAAACTAATTTCAAAGTCTCGCTTTTTACTTTTACTTGTAATCAATGAGTTCCTTTGTAAGATCAATATGGAATGCAGACACAGTTGAATCACTTTTTTTCCCAGCATTTTCATGCTAACCTCTTATGTTCTTGACAAGTTTTGTTTTAACTATTACTTTAATTCTATTAAATCACTTAGAAATAACTCATTAGCGTGACTGTTATTACCTCTTGACACTGCTCGGCATTCTAAAAGCAAAGGAAAAATAACCAAAAAAATTCTCAATGAATTGAAAATACAAAATTTAAATGTACGCATGCGCTTCTTGCGGGTAAATATGTCATTTAGTTAATTTTACTCAATTTTAAAATAACATCACCACGGAAAGTCGCTATAAACTTTCAGTTATTAAATTACACTTTGCCTTAATTAAAATCTAGAAGCTATAACATGATACTTCTGCAATTAAGGCATCCACAGCGGTTGCCTTACATCAGTCACTGTTACAGTTGTAACAATAGCCTGTATTGCTGGCGGTTTTTTTTGCGCGTGTGAGAGCGCATTTCTGGCGGTGAAAGGGCCAGAAAATTTGAAGCATCTCCTCCTCATTTTCATCACGGCTTCGCAGCTCTTTGCAGAACTTTCCCAGTCCCTCGAACGATACCACCGGATACAAAGGCTGTATTAACAACTGTCAGATCCAGGACTACACTCTCCCCGGCGACCATATTCCGCCTTACCCGCCTGTGACAAGACAACTATGTTCAAACCATTCTCTAAGCAATAGTTTGGTTGATCTGAATTGCACGCAGCTCTGTGGAACAAGCTATTTTATTAATCTCTACAACCAATTTAAAACAAAACCATGTCACTCAGCGACTACCTCAGAGCGGAACTTGCAGTACCAAACCACACCATAAATCTGACTGAATTCGAAATTTTCACTACCACATTTAGTAGAGAGCATAGAGATCATTTTGATCTCCGCGATTTTGTTATCTTTAGAACTTGATAGCTCCATGTACTCGACAATTAACAGAATGAAGTCTTCATTACATCTATTTCCAAATCTATTCACCCACACCATTAATCAACGTAATGAACGCTAACTTATGCATTTGTAAATAATCACTGTAAGCGATATTAAAATAACGAATACACAGTAGGGCTTTTGTTACTAATTATTTTCTCAGTTTAACTGCACTTTAAACTCGATGAATATCCTTTGTTCTTTAAGTGTTAAGAAGTAATCTGTTACCATTGTATTTAGATTCTAAGGTTAATCAATTTTTAAACACATGAACCAAAGATTACAACTCACCTCCCCAAACTAAGAACGAAGACAAAACGACGAAAATCAGATACAAGTTCTTCATGTTCGTTTTAAAGTCTTTCTGTAGGGCTGTAAAATCTGATAACAAAAGAACAGTTGAAAACAGATTACATAAGTTACAAACACTACAATACAGATATTTATATGAAGCACTCGTAATCGCCTTCAGAATCAAGGAGAAAATATATTTCCTTGTTTCTGTTTTCGTAATTAACCTTAAATATACAGGTTCGATGTCAAGTTCCTGATTTTGTGTATCGCTAAATAGTTTAGCCAAAGCTTTTGAAAAGGTTTTTATCTTCGCATCGGAGTAAATCAGTTCTTCACCAGAATTTTTCTACCGTCGGAAACTGGTGATTGGTGATCCGTTTGACCTCCTCTGTCAGATTACAATCTGAACACAAGAAAAGTCTCATGGTTGAAAATTCGCAATGTCGGACTTCAGACTTAAATGATCAGTAATCTCAGCTACAAAACTAGTTTTAAGATAGGCCAAACCATAGATCAAAATTTTAAAGTCGTGAATTTCCTCTCCCCTGAAAAATTTGAAAAATGCCAAAAAAAATTAAATAATGCTAAAACATGAAAATTTTAGTTTGGATAATGCTAAAAAATCTACTAGAGAGGATTTAATTTTGTTTAAAAGTTTTATAAGTGTCAACCTTCCTTGTCGCATCTGGTAAACTGTTCCACAATTTTGATGCGCTCTTCCTTCACCAGTGTAGGTCATAAGTGATCAAATGTACTCCTTGGTAGGTCCAGTTTATGAGCTAGCAGGTCTTACATTACTAACCAATAACTTAAAGCCAGTGGCAAGTATCTTTGGTTATTGTTATTCATGAAGGCTTTGGTGTCCAGTTTTGTAAAAATGTCTCGAACGTGTGGGCGTGTCCCTAAAGAAGAGAGCCCGTTTATCGTCAGTGATACTTTTCTGCCTTGCCGCTAATTATTTCGGACTTCTTGCTCATAGGAGGATGCTGAGGTGAAATAAATTATTTGAAAGCATTTGTGACTGTGTTCTGGTTCTATTTGGAGCAAGAATTTCTGTCTACCTTCTTAATTTTCATGTAGCTAGACAGGTAGTATAGAAGTGCAACATATCTTTACAAGTACCTTCAATATTAATTTAGGTCTCACGCTCCAGCAATAAAAAGGTCAGTCGAACCTGTTTTAAATCTTACCACTTGACACCAAACGGAGCGAGAAGGAATGAAAGCCATCAATCGTGTTGTCTATGAATTAAACTTTTACAAGGAAAAAAAGTCTCGTTATTGTTTCCAAACTCTAAAATACTTGTTTAACCTGTACATTACACTTTTATAATAACTCTGGCATCATGATCCCATAATAATAATGCATCTCACAGTCCTTACCCAAACAATTATCTGCATATCTCGTATAATACATCTTGCTTGCCTCCCTCCCCAAATTTATTTGGCTTGCCCTTTGTTTATAATTCTCCTGGGTATTGCAGTGGTCCTAAGCCATAAATTGAAGATAACGCTTACGCAAAATTTTGTGAGGCAAACAAGATGCATTATGAAGATGTGCAAATGGCGAATGACTCTTTTCAGTGCTGTCAAATGACTTTTGCAACGAGTGACGAAAATTGATTAGAAATCGCGGATAATTCATGCCCCCATCAATATTGAAGATTGGACGCCGGCGTCTGATGTAGATGGCTTGCTTGCAAGGGTTACATACATTATACCTGCACAATTTTGGGCATAATGATGTAGTCGGAGCATCGAACATAATGCCGGCCGAATGGGCATTTTTTCACCATAAAGAGAATGATAATAATAATAAGTCTCAAGTCTGAGCTGAACTCCGCAAACAAACTGGAAGCCATCAACACCTTGGCAGTACCAGTGGTAACTTGCTGTCTTAACATCATAAACTGGACGTTACAAGAGCTAGCCAAACTTCATACAAAGACTATAAAGTTCCTGACCATGTACAAGATGCACCACCTCAAATCAGACGTCGACAGGTTGTACCTGCCAATACTGAAGGAGGTAGAGGGCTCATACAACTGGAGCTTTCCTACAAGTGACCCACTATCAGTCTTGATAAATACCTCCAGGAGACGCAGGACACTCTCCTCCACTTTGTCGAAGACCCTGACGACAGGAAATCCTTGCACTCCATCGACAGGCAGTCAGTGAAGTTCAGTCGGGAACTGAGAGTGCCCGCAATACCAGCTGCAGAGGATGAGGCGAACACCACCTATGCCCGCAGAACAAAGGCGAAGGCCAAGCACCAGGGTCGCCAACAGCTCAGGTCCAAAGTGGGAATCAAAAGCGCACTAAGGCAAATACCCACAACGGGTGAAACAGGCTGACGTGGACCAAGACAAGACCCAAAGATAGCTAAAGAAGCTGGCCTCAAGGTAGAAACCAAGGGCTTTATCATCGTAGCCCAGGATCAAAGACTCCCAACACGCTGGTACAAATACAACATCCTCAAGAAGCCTGACATGGACCCAAAATGTAGACTGTGTGGCCGTTTCGACTAGACCATTGACCACCTGGTCTCTGTGTGCCCTGAACTGGTTAAAACTGAATACATCCACCGCCACAACAAGGTAGCTGCACACATGCACTGGGCAATCTGCAAAGAGTTTGGCATTGAGGTGAAGGAACGATGGTATGAGCATGAACCCAAGACTGTCACCTGGACAAGAAGGATAAAATCTGCCTTCTCATTGATATGACTGTATCCCTCGACACCAACACCTCAGTCAAAGCCACGCAAAAGTTTACCAAATACAAAGACCTGGAAATGGAGGTTGAGCGAATGTGGGGGCTCAAAACAACAACAGTCCCGGTGGTTATGGGAGCCCTTGGCACCATCAAGAAGTACATGGGAAACTGCTCCTACAAAATCCGTGGCAACATCAACATACATGAACTCCAGAAAATAACTCTCCTTTCTACAGCCCACCTTCTGAGGTGGGTCCTCTCCATCAAGTAGAAACGCTCTTTGCCTCCTTAAGTCCACGGTTTGGACTCGGATGTTGAGAGAGAAAATCAATCGCAATTACACTAGTATATCTTATATTATAATATTAATAATAATAATAATAATAATAACATAAATAAATAATAATAATAATAATAATAAATTAGTATTTCCATAACCGTAATGAGAAATATTCGCGTTCAAGTGCGTTTAGTAGGGACTTAACATATTCAATGGCTTGGTTGCTACCTTCAAGCCCTGGTTGCGTGTTGCATTATTTCGCAGACTGCCAAGGCTTGCCAGTTTTCTATCCATCATAGCTGTCAGAAAATGATGCAAAAAAATGCCGTTTTTCTCAATTACGGAGGTAATTGTTTTTGACTGCAAGAATGGACAAGGGCATCAAATATAACCTGCAAGATCAGCCTAGCATAGTGCTACTTTTCGAGCATAATTTTAGGCATAATGCTGTTGTTTTGAGCGTGACGCTCAAAAGCATTATACTCAATTTTTTGAGCATAATGTATCTAACTTTAGTCCTTCCTTGCTTGTTCTTTTAACGTCCACGGACTCAACATTAAGGTTAAATCCTTACAAGCTATAAGGAAAAAATACTGTAGTCTCGTAAAAGTGGACGCGTAATGTGTAGTTGTCGCTTTTTTCATCAGCCCACACCCATGGGCAAATAGTACTGACTATGAGTCCACCAATATGGGCCACCCAAGTATGCAATGTGGTATGATCCACGCACGATCTGCGCGCTACGAGTGTAACAAAGTTATAAACCTCTGCTTCGCAAGGCTTCGGGACTCGCTTCACGAGGAATAATGATTTGCAGTCGCTACCGGTAATTCTTTTTTCGCGGCTCTTTCCCGCTCTTAACACAGCCGCCTGTAATTTCTTTGTATTTGCTGATTAGTCCATTGGATTTTTAAGCTAAATTGCATGACAAACTTTTACTCGCACACTCGATTGACACACTAAGGCTAAATACAAAACCTATCAAGTGAACATATTTAAGTGAGAATCAAAGGCTTCCGCACTTATCCCTGTCTATTTAAAGTTAAAAGGAGGTTTGGAATAACTCGAAAATGGCATTTTGGATTATGGTGCACTATTATACAAAGAAGAACAAAGTTATGATGCTGTTGAAAGTAATGGTCATTGCACAATAATGTTTACTTATAAAACGTTCAAAATTCATAACAACTAAATTTTAAACACGGTACTGAGTTAAGTCGCACTCTTTATGAAAGATTCAGGGCCTTTTCTTTTACCTCTTTCAAGTTATTGTAAGAAACCACACAAGTGAATCCATTCAAAACAAAGCGTAAATTCTGTTAAAACTTTGTTTATTGTCAAAGGTAAGTTAACATGTTCAGGCTATGCAATATGCAAAAGACAAAATTTGTGTTAGTATCCTAAGTTCTTTTGAATTCATGAACAACGCTTCCCATTCTTCAGATTTCTGATGACTTTCCTTTTAAGATTGTTGCCGTTGGTGTTTCGTGTTTTCGGATTAAGTTTCTTATAGTTTTCCACCGCCCTGATTTATCATCAGCAGAGCTGTCAGTCTCTTCCTCGACTTCAGCAAAATTATCTTTCTCTCTGTCTTCCTCCTCGGCAGATGCATCGTTCTCCTGCCCACTCTCGGCTGAGGCATCACTAATCTCCTGTTCTCCTGATAAATCCTCGTCCTTTTCTGTGGATTTAACTTTTGTTCCTTCATCGTTAGGCTTGAATAATGCATTTTTCGTCGGGCTCTTATAACCGGCAACGGGAACTGTGGTGGGAAAAAAGCACAGGAAATGTTCACAAAAGTGTTCTCAGATCAACTAAGTGATGTTAAAAAGCTTCAAGGGTCAACATTTGACCACTTAAAGTATACATTTTTTTTAAAGCTATTAAGAACGTCTTAGGAAAAAACAACTTGTGCTCTTTCAATAGATAACCAAAGTAGCAATAAACTCAAATTACGAAAGAAACCAATTCAAAAGTCTAAGCCCTAGAATAAACGTCGAATTCTTCATGTGACGAACCAAACTCTAATTTGGGTCGACATAAATTAAGTTAAGATCGTCTGTTGGGTGAGACGTCAAACTTGAGACTCGTCGAACCAATCAACTAAATCAGACCAAAAGGAATTTTAGCGGTCCAAAGACGCTTAATATACATCATCATCCAAATTTTAAATTATTAGTTTAGTTGGTCGCGTGTGAAGATCGACGTTTGTCTCTGGGACAATCTTCAGACGTTCTATAATTCGTCTGAAGCAGACGGATAGAACGTGTTGGACGATCCAAGATTCTTGAGACGAACTTAACTTGGCCAGACGTCGAACTTTTCATGAAGTTAAATCAAAAATTTTGGCCCGTCTCATGAAACGTTTGACGTTTGGCCGAGGCCTAAGGCTTTGATAACCCTATACCGGATAGCATTTGCGCCGGTGCGAAAATTAAGCCGCATAGGATGGGGATTCTGTTCACACATGTCACACACATTAGAACAGTGATTTCGGCCCGATTTCTGTAACGAAGCGAAGTCGATATCTAAAGAGGAGAGTCACATGTCGGATAGGTGTTCATACCATACCAGACAGCTTTTCCTGTTTGGATGAGAGCTATCGATCCCGGCCCGTATCGTGTGAACACAGCCTAAGATACTTCAAGCCTGTAAGCAAGCTCTCTGGAGTGCTCCGGGGATGGTCCTCCGGGAACTTGCACGGAGGCTAAGACACTTTAGTCGTTATGTACAATTTACTTTGTTATCTTTCGTGAAACTTTTCTTTTCCTCTTAAATTTGACGGCCTAACTTACATTACCGAAGTACAAAACAATAATAGAACCTACAATAATTACTCACCCGAGGGCACTTTGGCCGTAGGAGTTGCCCCTGGAGCTGGTGCTACTGTGGTAGCACCGGGTGCGGGTGGTACTGCACTAGCCCCAGGTGCTGGTGCTGCTGTGGAAGCACCGGCTACTGGTGGTACTGTGGTAGCGCCAGGTGCTGGTGGAACTGGAGTAGCCCCAGGTGCTGGTGCTGCTGTGGAAGCACCTGGTGCTGGTGGTGCTGTGGTAGCCCCCGGTGCTGGTGGTGCTGTGGTAGCCCCCGGTGCTGGTGGTATAGTGCTAGCGCCGGGAACTGGTGCGACTTTGCTAACGCCGGCAGCTGGCGGCACTGTGGTAGCGCCGGGTGCTGGTGGTGCAGTGGTAGCGCCAGGAACTGGTGCTGGTGGTGGTACTGTGGTAGCACCTGGTACTGGTGGTACAGTGGTAGCGCCAGGAACGGGTGCTGGTGGCACTGTGGTTGCACCGGGCGCTGGTGGTACTGCAGTAGCACCTGGTGCTGGTGGTACAGTGGTAGCGCCAGGAACTGGCGCTGGTGGTACTTTGGTTGCACCTGGTGCTGGCGGTACTGTGGTTGCACCTTGTGCTGGTGGTACTGCGGTAGCACCTGGTGCTGGTGGTGCAGTGGTAGGTCCGGGAACTGGTGCTGGCGGTACTTTGGTTGCACCGGGTGCTGGTGGTACTGCAGTGGCACCTGGTGCTGGTGGTACTGTGGTTGCACCGGGTGCTGGTGGTACTGCAGTAGCACCTGGTGCTGGTGGTACTGCAGTAGCACCTGGTGCTGGTGGCACTGTGGTTGCACCGGGTGCTGGTGGTACTGCGGTAGCACCTGGTGCTGGTGGTACAGTGGTAGCACCTGGTGCTGGTGGTACAGTGGTAGCGCCAGGAACTGGTGCTGGTGGTACTTTGGCTGCACCGGGTACTGGTACTGCGGTAGCACCTGGTGCTGGTGGTACTGTGGTAGCACCCGGTGCTGGTGGTACTGTGGTAGCTCCGGGTGCTGGTGGTGCTGCGGAAGCACCTGGTGCTGGTGGTACTGTGGGGGCCCCGGGTGCTGGTGGGACTGTAGTAGCAGCAGGTGCAGGTGCTGCTGCTGCGGCCGTGGGTGCCGGGGCTACTGCTCCTTGTCGACGATGTCCCTCATCATGGTGACGGTGCAATCTCGTTTTACTGCTTGTGTGTTTCTTAGTACTTTTTGGTGAGACTAGCGCTGTTATGACTTAAAAGAATAACATTCACATTTATAGTTTTGTTATTCATATTATTGGAATGTCATAATCATTACTGATGATGATAATGATGATGATGATGATAATTATCATCATTATTCATGGTGGTAAACGCATGGCGTACATTTGTCCGATATTTCGGTTCCAAAAGAGTTCTTCTACGGGGAGCTTGAAAAAACATATGAACACTCATTTAAAATTAAACTGCAACAAATCGAATAACATTTTTCAAATATGGAGCCTATTGGACAACATGAATATTACTTTAAGCCAGTGAGTTGCCTCACGTTGAGAGCTAAAGAATCTCAACAGAGTCTTACGTTACCCAATAATATGGCCGACAGCAAAAGGAACTTCTTCATCTTGATATATTAGTGACGCCTTTGAAAAAGAGAGATAAAGAGAAAAAACTTGGATCAGCTTTACAAGTACCACCCACAGCGCTCTCTGTGGGTTGATAGATCAAGTCAATCAAGTCAATCAACTTTATTGGTACATCCAATTATAATGAATTTTCACATACCAATTACAATAAAATCTAATATGAACAATAGAAATCTAAAATAAACATTTGAGAGTGATAAAACATTACCATATTATTTAAAAATATAAAATATGCATAATTACACCTATTGAGTGTCAATGGCTTAAAAATTCGTCAAGTGCACGTCCTTTAATCGCATTCTTAAAAACATTAAATGACTCTATGTTTGCTAAACTTTCTGGAAGGGCTTTCGAGAGCTGAACAGCCCTATATGAGAAAGATCGCTGACCTGTTGCTGATCTAAAAGATGGTATATGAAATTTATCTTTATTCCTAGTATTTCTAGTATGCACCTGAGTTCTTGTCGAAAACTTATTACACGAGGATGGTGGGGCTAATCCCTTTATACAAGTCATGACTGAATTAATGTTGCAGTTCATTTTGGAACAACATTGCACTAGTTACCAGGCTTTCACATTCATTCGTGTTAAAAATTGTCTGATTCATTCGAATAAAGAAAAACAATATAAACCTGTTGCCATCTAGTCAAGCTAATAACCAAGATTCATGTTTACATCAAGCCACAAATTTAACAATCAAACCTCCCTTTGGAATTGAAAACTTATAAACGTTTGCTAAATTGAGAAGAATACTTAAGCACAAACTGTAAGAAATACAAAGAATCTTGTCCGCAAGCGAGATTTGGAGGTGAAATTGAGAAAGCTATCGTCAACATACATGTGGGTTATTTTAGCACTGAGAACAACACTTCGTACGGTCGCGTGCGTAACATAAACCTTCTGTCACCAACTGACCATCAACCCGAGTAAAAACAAAATATTTTTTTGCAAGCAGGATTTTTTTTACTTTTCCTTGCTTTTGTTATTGGTCAGAATACCATCGTTTTGGCGAGGAAGTAATAAATTTAGGTCCTATCCCCTCTATCCGTTAGCATCAGTTATATGATTAATGCGATGATGTTTTACTCATTCCTGATCGTCCCTATTAAGCAGCAGAGTAAGACGTGCTATTTCCCCGACTCCTCCTCGTGGCCTAAAATTTTCCTTCCAAATTGATCGATGTCTTTTATTTTAGTTATCGTTTTCCATTCCTTCACCCTTATTGGGCCAGATCATGTATTTAACCCTGAAAATGCCTAGTGTTTTTTTCCAAAAAAAAGCGGTTATTGACTATTTTTGTATCCCCGATAATATACTCTGTTTGCCCCCAACTTTTGAAAAAGCCATTGTTTTCAAAAACGCTTACCCATTTTTTTTTTTTTTGGGGGGGGGAGGGTAGGCAAAAAGAGTTAATTATCGAAAGTTAGTAAATAGAGAATGAGCCTGTGCTCAAATCCGTTTTCCTCTAGTTCTAGTTTTCTTTATTTGTTTCGGAGTGAACCAGGCAAGTCAGCACAAGTGATTTCCTATAGGGATGCAAGGGGAAAGACACAACTACCCATTTTTGGCAGCGTTTATGCTATCTCGGGATGCTAAGTTTCGTGTTTCATTCCTTAGGAATCGAGCTGTTCGTGTCTAAAAGTAAGATACCAGCGTTCTGTCAAATCGTCAACACCCGAGAACCGGTACAGAGCCGCCCGTGTGGCAGGTCAGTTCTCACGCCCACGATTATCTACTCTCCCTCTCTTCCCTAGTACTTTCTGTGTACTGTTACTCGTGGTAAGATCATCGGAAACTAACCTGTTTCCTGTTCGTTTGTAGATACTTTCTATCACTTGGGACTTTGTATTCCTAAATGGAAGAAGATACTTGCAACAATCTACTCGGCGGGAAACATAACTGATAGATATAGATAGAACTGATACGGATTCAGAACAAATATGACTGAGAAACAGTCGAGCAAAGTCCAAATATTTCGCTCCCAAAAATCTTTGTTCTGAGTCTGTGTGTTTTTATCATTACTATTAAATTTACAATAAGTTTGTTCGCTCTAACTAATGCTGATAACCACTTCTTCGTGCAACCGGCTCTAACCTTTGAATGCGCCATAGCCGTGATGTAGTCTGGTGCAATTATGACTTCTTAGGGTTGTTGAATGGTAGATTCTAAACTTTGCAAGATTGCGAGACCTTGGTTTCAAAAGTCGAGCCCGAGACTCTAATCGCCGAAAATTTCGAATTCGAGATAATGTTACAAATAAAGCATCATAAAATAAGTGAATTAAAAGCGCCAATGCCGATAGAAGCTTGCAAAAGCCCACCATTGTACTGCTTTATCTTGTTTTACTGTCTTGTTCAATAAAGTTTACACGGTTGTGGGAGTGTACCCATGAACTCTAAAAAAAAATCGACCTCTTAAGACAAAACGCTGAAGATAAAAAGACAAATCTGAGACTTGATCAGAAACCTGTCGGCAAAAAAAATTTTGGAAACTCCGAGACGTATTAAACAACCCAGCCGGAAACGAGACTTCGAGACCTATCAAAAACACTTCCGAGATTTCGAGATCGTGCCAAAATTGTCCGAAACCCACGTTTTTCGAGGTACCATTCTATACCCCCTCTCTTGGTCAACCTTACTCATTGATTCGAACAAACTCCCTGCCGCCCTCGTCCCCGATGCAAAAAGGTTTTAAAGAGAAGAAATAATTTGACCGTCTTATGTCACATACAGCTATATTGAAAATATTTTCTTGATCCGGAATAAGAATCCATCTTTTAAACGGGTAGACCCGATACCTTTTATAACCTGTTGAAGAATTCTCCCTTCATTGAACTGGTTATATCAAAAGAATTGGTTGTTGTCAATCCAACGCAATAGAAGATTCGTATACTCTGTGCAGAGCAATGCCATTTGTAACTGAGGTACTTAATTTTAAAGAAACTTGTAAGATTAAAACCGTTAACCAAGAACTCAATTTTAGTGAATGTAATTCAATGCCATAAAGTAAATCCCCTTAAGCTCTGAGCGTGCTTACGAGAACCCATGCCAGAGTAACCTGCTATCAGGCGTTGATTTTTAGGAAGTGAGAGGGAAAATATGTAACTGAGGCTTCTTCCCGTAAACGACATACTGAAATAATGGAGAATTGGCATGATCGCAGACAAGTGTTGAAAAAGTAGAACATGATAGGATGTTTCTTAAACTTTTCGTTGCTTGAATGCTATATGAAGTAAATTGCTTCCTGAAAGTCAGGCCGGCACTAAAATTTATCGACAGTATACCATCGATTTTCTCGCTCAAGAATCGTCTTGTGCATTGTTGCTTATATTTCAGAACAAAACCTCCGAATTGTTTACTTTGTCTGAGAAGCTACTCTCTATCTTAGTCTAAGGGCGTATGCTTAGTAAATTTCATTGTCCATCTCCCTGAAACTGATATAAAATAGTTTAAAAAAGAAAACTTTACCTTGTCTATAGAGCGACAGCTAGAGGCGATCTTTTTCCTGTAACAACACGGCACCGGTGTGGTATACTTATTGTTTTTGCAACACTTCTGTCAAAAATTCGCAATTCAAAACTGTGACTGAGGTCATCCTGTCTTACGATTGAATGATTTATCAAATTCAAGGCGCGCATCAGTTGCATAACTAATGTTTATAAATTCATTTCGAAGCTTGAGACAAAGTTCCAGTTCGTAGCTGAGGCTTGGTCCAAGCTAAAGACGCGAATTGTTTGTTTGATTGTTATTTTTCTTTGGACCGACGCTTCGATTGTCCAAACCTTATTCTTTCAAAAACAAATAACTAAGAATACACATTTAATGGACTATGAATGGTATTTTGACACCTACCAATTAAGCTTCATGTTCCACAGTGCCATTTCATACTTGAGAAACCCAACTGCATTAACATAGTTTTTCTGTTTTTAGAAAAAAAATAGTGAGCGAATAAACTGCGTGCAAAAGGAACATAACTGTCAATATCACCAAAACATCCACGTCAAATCGCTCAATAAGACATAAGCGATGGGACACATTTGAAATATGTTCCTGTTATTTTCAATGGCACATTAAAATTTTAAAACAGGAAAATCTGATGCTTAGTTTGCTCAAGTGGTTCCTGGAGGACTTTCCTCTCCGGTTTCAACAGTCACCTGTTGTCGGGTCTTGAAATGACTCGGTGTTCTCAAGTGTCCTTTTTCGCGCTTTTTCATGGTCTACCCGTGTTAATTTAACACTTAGATCTCTTAGGAAGTGTCCTGTAAATCTTAACTCATGATATCGCAGGAAAATAAAAAGGTTGATGCAAAATTTATTATCGGCCTGCCCCAGAGGTAGGACTTCAGGCTAACCAGGGAATATGCCGGGAATACAAGGGTTTAAGTGACTTAAGCTGGATTCTCTACCCCTAGGGACGGGAAAATTTACAACATTGTTTTCAAGTCCAAGGAAAGGGGTGCCGGGAGCAATTCGAAAAGAATAAACTGCACACGTTACATTCAGTAGTCCACATGAGAAAAAAAGCAAAAACAAAAAGCAAAAAATAAAAAAAAATAAAAAAAACCTGGGCGATTCTTTATTGGAAGACTGTTCGAAGCGAAGACTGCACGGCTTGCGGGGTCAGAGTGGACGCAGAGCGATAGAGGGTTTTGCTCATTATCTGCCAAATTCATTCCACAGGTGCTTTTTATCTTCAGAGAGTGGTACAACTGATCAACCCGCGGCATCGAATCAAGGAACAAACAGCAAGGAAATATCTAACAAGGAATACCAGGAGCCCATATCCTGAGAACATTTTATTCTGATTAATTTCAATAAAGCATTGGTTCAACAGTTATGAGAGGTTTCTTCCATGCTGGTAATGGTGGTTTTCACAAGATTTACTTTAGTCCATCTTTCCGTTCTTTCTTCACGTTTCTTGGCATTGTCGTTGGTGTTCGTTGGCGACACTTTGTGCAACTTACACAAAATAGAGTATTTAGTCCAATCCCCACTCGGTTTCACTTGAAAGCAAAAAGGGTGGTTACCAAGGAGTCGTCGCAACATGGCGGACGGAGACGCGGGTTTCGTGATAGTTTCGTTCATTAAACATCTGAACAAATATGACCGGTAAGTCCTAAGGAAATGGACCTACCCCTTCCTTGCAAGGAAACCTGTCAATTGAAAGGACACCAAGGAGCTGTACGAGCTGTTAGATTTAACCACGATGGTAACTACTGTTTAACTTGCGGAAGCGATAAACTGTTGAAGCTGTGGAACCCTCATAAAGCTGTATTGTTAAAGACGTACAGTGGACATGGTTATGAAGTACTTGATGCTGTAGGATCCAGTGATAACAGTCGACTGGCTAGCTGTGGAGCAGACAAGACTGTAGTACAATGGGACGTGGCTACAGGACAGATTCTAAGACGCTTTAGAGGTCATACTGCTGTAAGTTCTTATGCGGTACAAGTCGTTTCACCCCCTTTCGAGTTCGCCCCGTTCGAGTTCGACCCCTAAGTTTTATCGAGTGATACTTAATATGAAAATGCACAACTTTCTCAGCATTCGAGTTGGAGTTCGCACGAGGTGTAAATAGTTCCACGTACTTGGCTTAAAAGAACGAAGAATATTCACTCAAAATATTTTTCTTGTTCACGCGCAAACTATATCTGAATTGAAGGAATTTTTGCACAATTTCACTGCTTGAGTTTGTATCGAAACGACTTTGTATAGAAACAACCAGTTTCGTTTCCAGGGAATAGTAACGATATTTACAACAGTATCTTTGCGATAAATTAACAGAAGATCATCGCAGTTGAAGACGTGACTTGAGCTTAGGCCATCCCCTTTTTTTCTTTGTTTACCGTGGAATGCGTTTCCTGATATTGGGCCGGTTGGCCGGATTGAAAAAAAAAACCTCACAAGAAGTCTCGGAATAGTAGGCCCTGGTACCCCAGGACAACGTTAAAAGTTAACATTCACATATTTGGATTAACAAAGTGTACAATATACTGTGAAAAATTTTCATGTTTTTATTCCTGTTTTTCTCTACGCTGTTACTATGCTCATTTTTCAGATTAAAAGAATTATTTCAAGTGAAAAATGGTGTAACTACGTCGTTCCTTTTTTGTTTTTTTTTGAAAATGCCAAAAATTTGGGTCGGTCGGACGACGGTAAATGGAGAAAAAACGAGGATGACCTTATGTAGTTGCTGAAAGAAAGCCTAAAAAAGATCAGGCTCTCCTGTATTTTAACCATGGCCTCTGTTATACTGGTGCAGTGCTCTAACCAACTGAGTTGGCAAGCCAGCTGGGAGCTGCGGGTAATAAAATTTGTTCGTTACATGCCCAGGAAAGATGAAGTGATGAATATGTCAATTTTATATATTTGAACTGCAGAATGAAGAAATAAATAAAGTGAAGATCATTACAGTTGAAGATGCAATGTATTCAAGCAATCATTATTATTTTAAGCATTTTTTTTTGTGATGCTGTGTCCACTCTTAATAAAACTTAATAATTTAGCGCTGTTAGAATAAACTTGAGAGATGCACATCTGTTGTTATCTTATCAACAGTAATTTGTTGCCTTGCAGAGAGTCAACTGTGTTAAGTTCAATCAGCCAGATAGCACAGTAATTATCTCAGGTTCATATGATGCCACAATACGCTGTTGGGATTGTAGATCTCGCAGTGCTGAACCTATACAGATTATTGATGATGCCAAAGATAGTGTTTCTTCACTGATGGTATCACAACATGAAATTTTGTCAGGGTAAGAAAGTTAGTTAACATTAAAAAAGCTTCTTACCTGTCCTTCTTAAGTAAAAATAATAATAAGTGTTACGAAAGACCTCATTTCTGGGAAACAATAATGTGCAATTAATTACCACTAGTGTAACTAATATTGCAGTTATATGGTTCTGTCATACAACTGTACCAGTACACTGTGTATTTACCTGACTGGTTCATCATGATGCAATTACATGTGTCAGAAGTATTTCTGCTCTTCTTATATGTAGGTAGTGGTTTTTTAGACTAACAGCAATATCTGTTAGTGGTGTTAAGCTCATTCCACTGCTATACATGTAAAGCATTTTTACTCATGTGGCCAGCATCTATGCAAATTTATTGGAACAAAAGAAAGCATTTTCATCAGAAAAGAGTATAACTCCCTCAGGATTTGTTTGGAACACCAACATAGTCATAGTTTCATTGTTTTGGAACACCAATATGGCGGCTGTGGAATCATGTGAAAACACTCTTTAAATGTAATTTACTTTTTTAATGAGTCATATGGCAGCTCTTTTAAGTGGCTGTAAGAAATTCTTCTAAAACAGGCTAAATTAGTGTGGTATAAATTTCATAGATAATATAAATATTACATGTATTTTTGTGACTTGGGATTTGAAGAGAATCAAAGGCCAAATCTCTTTTGAATTTCGTAGTTATTTTTTTCTCATTGTCTATCACTGTTTTTAATTTGGTTTTAAGATCCATCGATGGTAAAGTTCGCAACTATGATATCCGCATGGGTCAGTTGCATGTAGACTGTATTGGCCACCCAGTAACTGGTGTGAGTTTTACCAGGGATGTCCAGTGTGTGTTAGCATCCACTCTTGATGATACCATCCGTCTGATGGACAAAGACACGGGAGAGTTACTAAATGAGTAAGTAACCAAGTTTTATGTTCACAAAATATACTACTGTACATAGATGTACATGTACCATTTACATGTAGGGGCGGTTTTTCATTCCCATCGCAGCAAAAAGGATGCATTAATTAAATTTAAAAAAAATAGTTTATGGAAGGAGACAGTGGGCCCAGTGGAAGGTGCAGCAGACTGTCATTCCACCACAGTCCTTTGTCTAAGTCCCGTGAGTTTTTTCTCAGGCATGGTCGCCTGTGTCATATTAGTTAATTCTGTCTCAATTTTTACTAAGTGGCATGCCTTTAAACTAGCTACTGTAGCTTTGTTCATTGCCCTAGCCTATGAATAAAGTATTTACCATTTTACCAAAGCCCCTAGCACCTTTTTTTTGTTGCGTACATAACTACATAACTATTATAATCTTCATCTGTTCTCCTGCTGTTCAATTATGCTGTATATTCAATTTCATGTCTTCACTTTCATATAAAAGCCAAAAAATATATATTAGAAAAATGATAATTACATGTAAGTAAGTAAGGATTGATATAAATGTAATAAACAAGGAAAGCTTACAGCTGCAGAGGTAGCAAAAACAACAAGAACATCTTTTATTTAAACACGGTGGGTTTTAAAGCTAATATAGCTTATGGGGCTGTGTAAAAAATGTTAAAAGGATAATGAAAATTGAAAATTAAAAAATACACTAAAAACGATAAAAAAAACACATCAGTGTCGATGTATTATTAAAAATATGAATGTGGTCAGTAAAAGGCGAAGTAATTTACGTACAATAAAAGATATGAATAGAATCAATAACAGACGAAATCACTGTCTATTTAGGGAACCCATTTGCAGTGACTCTTCATTCAAGTTCAAGTTTCTGAGGGCGGGAGATTTTTTGCCCCTTTTAGCATAATCTCTGGCGCTGACAGCAGATGGTTCTAAAAGATTCCAAACATTGGATCCTCTGTATGATGTAGAGTTTTTCATATAATAAGTTTCAAAACGTTGTACACTAACCGATGTTGTTACAGGTACAGTCATTTAACCTTTGTCATGTATACTTTTCAATCAGTGCTTGTACATTTTAGGATAGGAGAGGTGACTTGAATTTATTTTGTCTCAGATTCACAGGTCATAAAAACAGAGACTACAAAGTGGACAGTTGTTTGAGCAGCAGTGATGCGCAGGTGGTGAGTGGCTCTGAGGATGGCAGGATTTGCTTCTGGGATCTGGTGGAGGGAAAGATAGTGCATACACTGGAGAAGGCACATGAGTCTGTTGTGTACTCTATATCTTATCACCCAACTGAGATCGCTCTTTTATCTGCATCTTCTGATGGCAAAGTTAAAGTCTGGCATGACTCAAGTTGGGAGCCTGAGTGATACAGTGTAGAAGAAATAATTCTGCAATCACAGGAGAAAATAACAGATTCCCATTTTTGGATATTTTAGGGTATTTAAAGAACACCCACAAAAATCCCAACTTTGGAAGAGTGAGACAAGTCCCAACCAGGGAACTTGGTTGGGAATTCCCCGGTTGGGACTTGCCTTACTTTGCCAAATTTGGGATTTTTATGGGTATTCTTTAAATACCCTAAAGTACCCAAAATTTTGGAATCTGTTATTTTTTCCTGTGAATAGGCTCCTTGCATGACTTGATCACGTGATCAACTTTTGGTAAACAAGAAAACAGTTCGCTTTTGAAAAATTTTGTTAGCACAAGCTGAAAGAGCATATTAAAATCAAGCAACCTGAGAAATTTCATTTTTGTATCTCAAAAGTAGCAATTGTAACGGCCGCCAAAAGTTAGAAGCATCTGTATGAGAAAAACAACTTTTGCACCCAGTCATGCTAGCATGGTTTTCCATACAAATCCTTGTAAATTCTAAAATTTTTAACTCTCATTTAATCTTTCCCTTTTGTATTTAAGGGCTCTAATTGCCTGTTATGAATTAAAAGAAGATTTGAGCCGTCTAATGCTTAAGAAAATATTTAATGAAACTTTTGAAACTTTTGAAATTACAAGGATTTGTATGGAAAACCATGTAATCATGAGGGGATGGCAAACGTTGTTTTTCTCATACAAATTCTTCAAACTTTCGGCGGCCATTGCAATTGCTGCTTTTGAGATGTACGGCTGAAAATTCTCAGGTTACCTAATTTTAATATGCTCTTTCAGCTTGTGCTAACTAAATTTTTCAAAAGTGAACTGTTTTTGAGTTTGCTGAAAGTTGATCACGTGTTCAAGTCATGCAAAGAGCCTATTGACTTTTAGACAGTTGTTTTTGGTTTTAGTCATCTATTTCAAGTGACTATCTTTGGCAGATCCCGTTTAAAAAAAATGACACATATCATGAATTATACTTCATTAAAGAACCCACCGTAAGCAACAATCTCTCAATCTTAGACTGCTGTTGTACCTTTTTATCCTCTGCATGTTAAATCTTAGAGGGATTGGGTAACACAAAGTGCTATGCAGGCTGAACAGGCAAGCTTGCAACTTGGGAGCAAGGATTGGCACAGCTGGTTAGTGTCTGACTTTCTGTGCTAGAAGTCCTGAGTTTGATTCCCACTTATTTTCTGTACACATCAAGCTTTAAGTACCTTTAAATAGCCATAAAACAGAGCGCTGCTGGAGAGAGGGGGTTAGCATACCATAAGCCTCAGGTCTGTTAGTCATATCACTTAATCACTTAAAATAGGAGTCTTTATCTTTACTTTAGGTCATGGTCATAGGTACTTACAGTTATACACAAAAACCAATAGAGTGTAGGGTCATGAAGATGGATTGGGCTCTGTGGTACACTGTAATCAGAGACTTTCTGAACAGGTTAAACAAAACAGCGTTTTGTACAAGTTAGTATTTGTTTATTTAAAAAGTATGATAGACATTAATGAGAGGTTGTGAACATACATTTAGTGTGAGAGAGTGAGAAATAGAATATGGAGTACAGTATCAGATTCGTAACATATGTTTTACAATTTAAAGGGAGCAGGGATGTCATTAAGAGCAGGGGACAGAGGATTTCTCCCAGCTACTATGAATGTGGTCGCTCAGCAACTTTCATTGGAAAATACGATGTAGAAGAAAAATAGAACCAAAAGAAATTCCTAGCTGTTTGATTCCACACCTACTTGTTGTATTTACCCGGCAACTTGAAATCTTAGTGGCAACCCTGGGAAGACCAATTCATTCTGTAGTACACGTACATGAAAAGTGGATTGAAAAGCAGTTGTAAAGACCAGCCTGTTTGACTATTTAGAATGACCATTGTAGGTGCTGGCCTTAGGATAGTAGCCATGGGAGCTCAATCTGCTGACTAGAATGTAAGGTGAAGTCAAGCAGCAGGGTCAATAGCATGACAGCAATAATAACATTGAAATGAGGTGAAAGAGAAATCATCAGATCAGGTGGTGCAAAAAAGGTTAAGATAACTTCCTAACTTGGGCCTTCTTTCTTGGAAAAGAGAGCCCATGTATACGAATTCCTAGAATAAACCCTGGGACTGAGAGCTGCTACAAAGAAAGAGAGAATAACTTATTTTGTTCATAGATATATATCTATTTTTAAAAAAATAATATTACCTGCCAGTAATCCTGCAGAATATAGCTCCTCCCTAGAGAATAATTAATGGATGTAGCTCATTAATTATTACCTGGAGCAACGATACGTTGATCTTAATGTTGTGACTGACTTTGTTTGGTGAAATAATCAATAGGCTCTTTGCATGACTTGATCACGTGATCAACTTTCCGTAAACACGAAAACAGTTCACTTTTGAAAAATTTTGTTAGCACAAGCTGAAAGAGCATATTAAAATTAGGTAACCTGAGAATTTTCAGCCGTATATCTAAAAAGTGGCGACTGCAACAGCCGCCGAAAGTGAGAAGCATTTGTATGAGAAAAATAACTTTTTCCATCCAGTCACGCTGGTATGGTTTTCCTTACAAATCAAGTCATGCAAAGAGCCTATTGCTAATGCTAATTTTGATTAATAACAGTTGCTCAATAAAGAAATGTATCTGTTTCTATTTATTTCTATTTTCCTCGAAATTCGATTTCATTGATGCATCCAGCACGTCCCTCTCAGTGATCTAGAGAACTAGAGCGTTTTTTTCTGCGTTCTCTGGCCAAAAGAATCTCTCAAACGTGGTTAAACTGTAAGTGCAACCTAGCGTGACTTTTGCATGTGCGTGACCTGGGACTAGAAAGCAGTTGTCACATGACCAGCATTCCAGACTGTTTTCTGCAAGGAGAAGGAGTTGCCTTGTCAGTTCTTTCCATCGATTTGAATTGAGCAAAATTTTGCTGCCCTAACTACGTTTGTAAGTATTGGTTGATTTTTAATTGCTCAAGGCTTATGAAATCTTTGGGAACCGTATACAGGTGTCGTATGACACTCCTTGTGTTACACTGATGTATACTATTATGCTGCTGTACAATCAAAGGAGAATGTACTCGCTGTCTGTTCCTTAAACCACCTAGAATTGTGTGGAGTATGATCTATGATGTGCAAAATTTAATTTTATAAGTTGGCAGCTCAGACTTTTTCTCTCAGACTTCGAAATGTGAAGTTGCAGTATATCGCCTTACACTTTACAATTTCGACCCGGAAGTGAAGGTTATAAAGGTTCCAATTTGCTTTCGATCCCGAGCTTTCCCCAGCACAGTCTGTGTTAGTTTTCCTTACATAATACTGCAAAGAAGGCGATCACAGTCACACTGAAAACAGTGCAGCTGGTCGAGGTGGTGAAAAGATGTGCTCTGGGTAGTATGGATATAATTTCTGGAACAACACTTTGCCATAAACTATTACCTGTTCTTCAATGAACTCTCTGATTTCCAAACCCCAATCTGCTCAAAGCAATACCTTCTCATACAGCCCATATAAAGTATTACCATATTTCCTCCCCTTCCCTAGGCAGATATTACAACAGTATGTTCATATTTATATCTTAATTGTTGTCTCTACTCACTGGTGCATTAGCTGGTGTCCAAATTAAGTTTCACAGCAGATTCAGCAACATTTAGCTGTATGTGTTTCTTTGATTTTAAGTTTGCCCTTTTCTTTCCACTTACCTAGAGCAGGTTTGGATTATTTTGAAATGTTATTTATCTGATTATTACTCAGGTATTGTCAAACAGGATGAGCTGATTAAGATGGAAAACTAAATTTTCAAATGGCTTTGTCTTCATCTGGGTAAGAATAATATGACGTGTCACACATTAATATCCAGTTATACCTGCCAACTCTCACGCATTAAGCATGAGTCTCACACCTGTGGACTAAAGACATTGATCTCACACATCAAGGACAATTTCTCACGCCTGACTCACAAGTCTGGATAAATTGTGCGGTAACACATGATAAATAATGAAAATTCAATCCAAAAACGTGTTAAATGATGACGTTGTGTCCTTTTTTGTGTTCTAACGAAATCAAAGCACGCTAAAATTGTTTTCTTCTAAGTAGCTTCTGAAGTACTCAAACGTCTTAGGAACATCTGCGGACATTTTTGGCAATGTTCAGAAGTTTTCTGAAAGTTGTTGGAAATGTTTGGAAGTTGCCAGGACTTTTCCTGAAATCCCAGTCATGACAAAGAAAAAATCTCATGCATTTGACTCAGAAAAAGTTGGCAGGTATACACAGTCTGTATACCAGCTGCAGCTCACAAGTCTGGATATCCGACTGTATCCAATCATTGGCCAAGATGTTTTGAATACATCTGAACATTGCTAAAATTGTTCTGGAGGCTTCCGAACAAAAGATTTTTGGTTACTGTGGACATCTTGAACAACTGTCAAAGATGGACATTATACTACCAATTTATAAACAGCAAAATAATGGTATACCCATTATTGTGTCAATAAACAAATGACCCTGTTGTTTTAGTCAGGTATTCATGAACATTGCTTTCAATACCAAAGGGTGATGGAAAGTATCAGATACTTCAATAGGAGAAGTTGGCTACTAATTCCAACTCAATTCCTAATTTCAGTTGAAGACGTTTTTAAAGACATACTTATCATTGTCAAAATTGAAGCGATACTTACAAGTTAGTTTTAAACCGACTACAGAATAACAAGATGCACTAGTTAGTTTTGAAACCATCAACATAACCTCCATGTGCCTAAAAAAAAAGTAAATTATACATGACTGTAGACTTCGCCTTTTCACAATTATATTGTTGCACACATTGTTGGCTTTACCATTTATTTTCCTTATTTATTATTTAGATGCACTCATCTTGGTGCATCTGACAACCAGAAAAGATGGCTTGTGGTGGGAATAGCACTCAACAAGATCCTTGTACCACAGATCCGTCCTTTTGTGGAACAAGAGATTGATAAGGAATACAACAATCTCAAGACGAGTCACAATATTCATACACAAAGTACATCTGGTCGTCTTCAAAGGTGGCCTGCAAGAAAGTTTTTAAAGTATGAGAACATCAATGGTAACAGTCTTCACCCAAAGCTTCCAGGTGGAAAATACAATATTTCCTTGTTTGATTGTAGAGTGTTATCTCACATTGACTTTGCCAAGCTCTATGTAGAAAACTTTATGGCAAAGTTCAATGCTTTTGATGACCACTGTGATGCATCAGCTGTACTCACCCTGCTTGGTGGTGTACCTGTGTTCTCAGCTGCTGTGGAGGCTGCAGCTGGTGATGTCAGGAGTAGTGTCAGGAATGACTGGGCACACTGTGTCTTCAGTAAGTGGGATCCTGTTAAGTTTCAGCAGAGTTTTGTGGAGATGGAACACCTGGTAAGAGTCCTGGCTCTACCTGCTGCAGATGAAGCTAAACTCCTTGCGGAACTAAAAGACTGGGAGACTAAAGGTAGCATTCTTTGTACATGTAGTTAAAATATTAAAATCAAATAACATATTGTATTGGTACAATATTTAGTAAAGTCGAACCTCGCATAAGTGACCTCCCAGAAATGCAAAGACTGAGTGGTCGCTTATGGTAGGTGGTCGTTTACAAGAATCCACCCATAGGGGGTCTCTTCCAAGAAGAGGTTCAGGCACATCTACTTTGTGGAAGATAATTTATTTCGTGCAATGGCTTAGTTAGGATATGTGTAGTTCCATGTTGCCACTAAAGTAACTGTTCTTCGCATATTCTAAGTAACAATGCGCACAGCGAAAATAGCTGAGATCAAAAAATGCGTCAAGTGGTCGCTTACAAGAAGTTAAAAACAATGGAAAATTATTAACCGTCGTGCCCAAAAAGTGGTTGCAGTCACTTACAGGAGGTGGCGGTTTACTAGAGGTTCCAACTGTAAGACCTTGACTGGGAAAATTTTGGTGTTTTGGATTGGCGGTTGCTTATGGGAGGTGGTCGCTTACAAGAGGTGGTCGCACATGAAGGTTCAACTGTATTTTTTTACCTTTTGTAGCTGAAAGGTCCTGTTTAGCAGCAGTTACTTAACATCACTTACTTTGTGTATGTATACTAAATAATATGCTTACAAAAACTATTTCTAAACTTCAATTAACCTCAATGCACACCTCCCACAGAAAAGAGAAAACTAATCCCAACAGCAGTTTGCTTCATGCCTCACCCCGCCACCTAGAATTATGCTTAAACAATAGAAGTGTTTCTCTTCAACGTATTTGCCCAGATAAGTTGAAGAAGAGGTGATCATGAGGTCTGGGTGTTCTTTAAGGAAGAGATCACCCCCTCTTCCAAGAAACTATCCCTGGATATTTATGATGGTCTTTCCAGGAAGCTGTTCATTAAATATATTAATGTGTCAGGTATTAGTGTGCAATCTGGACTGCTTTGTTGCAGGGACTCTGTTGTGCATGAACTCCCCCGTGGACCCAGCATTGCTTCAACTTGTTCAGCAAGAAGTAAAATTTCTACAAGATAGTGTGAACAACCTGTCTGTAGAATTTGACCAGGAAAAGGTGAGAGTACAGCAAGAGCTGCAAAACGCTGCCATAATTCTTGAAGAGATGAAACAGATGGTGGAAAGACTAAAGACCTTTCAAGGTAATCGTACTTAACCTTCCTGGTGCATTTTCATAATTCTTGTGTCATTATTGCAACATAATATATAATGGTTTCTAAACCTTATATTTACTCATCAGAGTATTTGGAAATTGTGTACTTTCTGCTTCTGTTTTGCAGAGGATGCAGATCAGAGGTTTGGACGTTTAGAGACTCGTACCGGACAAGTTGAAGACCAAGTACACAGTTTTGAAGGTAATTTCGAGATAAGGCTCTGATTGCTCTGTGGGCTATGAATATTAGTTCTTCAAAACTGTTTTTTCTTTAAAATACTGATGGTGAAAATTCATTTTATTTAACATTTTTATTAGTGTGTACTTTCATTCGTGACGTCGCACATTTTATTTTTTGTGTGTGTATTTTAGAGGATACAGCTCAGAGGTTTGAAAATCTGGAGACTCGTAATGGACAAGTTGAAGACCAAGTGCACATTCTTGAAGGTAATTTCGAGATAAGGCAGTGATTGCTCTGTTGGCTACAGTGTATGAATGTTAGTTCTTCAACTCTCTTTTTCATTTAAAATACTGATGGTGAAAATTCATTTTATTTAACATTTTGATTAGTGTGTACTTTCATTCGTGACGTCGCACGTTTTGTTTTGTTTGTATGTTGTAGAGGATGCTGCTCAGAGGTTTGGAAATCTGGAGAGTCGTACTGGACAAGTTGAAGACCAAGTACAGAGTCTTGAAGGTAGTTTCAAGGTTTCAATTAAATCTTTTCCAGTCTCATTTACAAAAAGAAGTCAGCAGATCAGAGGTTTAAACAAGTTAAAGACCATGCGCACAGTCATTAAGTTAATTTGGAGATGAAGCAATAAGCCCTAGTCCTTTTGAGTCTAGTTTTTTCATACCGAATATGACCCACCCCGCTGTTGATATCTGCTCTGTGCGAAAGCAGTTAAGGTTCTTGTTAGTTATCTGACACGCAGGGTCACCGCCACAAAAGACACTCACCCTGGATGCGATCGTCCGAATTGCAGCAACTAATTGACTCCTCCTTTTTAAATAGTAGGATATTATTTTGCACGCTGAGTAAGTTCTGAAAATAATGCACTTCCAAGTCGACGTTTCTCCCTTTTTCCTTTTTGTTCCTTTTGCAGCAAAGTTTCAAGACCTGACGACAAGAGAATCTGCTTTGTCAAACGCTTCTCTTCAAGACCCCCTGATGACATCTGACAGTAGGTTTTCATTCGCGTTTACGGCAAATGGCAAATGTGAGTTTGTACCACGTGACCAAGTGTTCCATTTACTTATCGATTACTGTTCATTATAAGCTTAACTACTCGGAAATCGGTAGATTTACGGCAATTCTATCCATAACAATTGTTTTAAGCTGTTTTTATCCGCTTATTTCTCGTTTTGAAAATCTCTCAACTCGAATCTCACGTTTGCCGTTTGCTGTAAACGCGATCCTTATATTAATTAGCCTCCCCGCAGACGTCCGTTGGGGTTCGGTTGTTGTCACGCATTCATTTCTCCCCCACGGACGTCCGTGGGGGAGAAATGAATGCGTGACAACAACAAAACCCCAACGGACGTCTGCGGGGAGGCTATATATTAATCTCTCTAGAAATATTAATTATAACTGATTTAGAGTGAAATTTTATTTGTTACAAGAAATGAGAGAATAGTATAATAGCCTTACATACAGTTATCCAAGAAAGTCAACAGATCACATAAGTTTTTTAGAATTAAACACATGCTTGCCTGCGATTTTCGTTGCTAATAGTTCTAGCAGTTTGAAAATGATTTAGCAATCTGTTTGACAAAACGTCGTGATGCAAATGTGCGCATACCAACAGGGGCAAACGAAAAAGCCGATTTAAATAAAGAGAAATTAAAGCATAGTGTTCTTTCGTCAATTGTTAAAATTTGCTCATTTTGTCCAGTGTTCAAATGAATTTTTTTTAAGCGCGGATAAAATAATATGCCTCATTTCTATTTTCCCTCATTAGTTATTCCAGAGAAACTTGTAGAACTGATCAGACGAGACTACAAAGGCGCGGTGCTGTGTCCTTTCCCATGGTGTGAAGATGAACTACAGCTGAAGCTATCGAACATCTTTACAAGACTGAAAATAGTTAGTAGAACAAAAGAACGTTCACAACTAACAGATAACACCGTCAATATGACAGACGTATTCAAACCACACCGAGAATGCCACAGTCCAAGAGTGGTGCTGATAGAGGGGAATCCTGGGATGGGCAAAACTACTTATTGTCAAAAGCTGGCGTATGATTGGTCCGTGGGGGAAATTCCACCTGACGCTTCGTTTCCTGAAGGGAAGATATTGTTGCTGTTGAAATGCCGTGACATGCACATGAAAACGGCTAACATCGAGGAAGCTATTGATGATCAGCTTCTACCACAAGATGCAGGCAAGAAGGAAAAGGAAGACTTCTTTCACTTTATTCGCTCCAATCAGTCCAGAATCTTGCTGGTTCTTGATGGTTTGGATGAACTACGTGAAGATCTGCTTCAGGGTTTTCAGCCATTGATTCAAGGGAAATTGTTTCCTAACGTGTACGTTGTTTTAACTGCCCGACATGAAGCTGGAATGAGAGTGAGGCGAAACTGTGACACGCTCCTGGAAATCGTTGGATATACCAATGACGACGTGGACAGTTACATAAGAAAGTATTTCAGTAATCACGAGGATGAAGGCCTTGCTGAAAAAATGATTCAAAAGCTTAAAGTTAAAACAGAGCTAAGAGACTTAACGGTTAATCCACTAAATACAGCTTTGTTATGTCTTCTTTGGGAAGAAAGAAAAGGAATTTTCCCTTCCAATAGACGACAGATGTACGATGAGCTTGTGTCGTGTGCTCTGAGGAGGTATTTTGCCAAGAACGGCGTGTCTCTGGGTAACTACGACAATCCCCTCGACAGATGTTCAGACCAGCTGAATCATTTGGGAGAAATGGCATTCGAGGCATTGCTGAAGAATCAGTTGTATTTTAGTCAAGATGACCAAACAAGCACGTCCACTGATTTCCTACAATTACCGTTTCTTTCTCGTGAGCCTAGTGTGAGCAAAATCAGGCCAAGGCCATGCTATGCTTTTACTCACAAAACTTTCCAGGAGTATTTTTCTGCATTGTACTTGGCTCAGCAAACCATTACTGGAAACAAAGGAAAAGCCCAATCCCTGCTAGCTCAGCTCAGTCCTGTTGACAACTGGCAGGTGTGGGAATTTCTCATTCCAATGGTGTCAAGCAAGAGCAGTGAAATGGCAGTTTTTGTAGTGTCACGTCTTTGTGCTTTTTTCTACCAAGAAAGACTACGAAACACAATCGAGCCCAGTATCGATAGTAGCGTTAGTTGGGATGTTATGGTTTGTAAGCGCAAAATTGAAGATTGGACTCTCGATATCCACAGTTTGAGTGGAGATGAACAAGTTTTAGAGGAAGTGGTTACTAAAACACTTGCTGTCATTGCTAATTGCGAAGAAGGTGAAAACAAACTTGATGATAACCAAAGGAAAATGGTACATGTACTGGCGCGCTGCTTTCCAGTGAGAAAATTGATCTTTGTTGTAAGCCGCCGCAATTTTAAGGTTTATTCTGAGTACTTAAAAGCCAACTGCACTCTGACAGATTTACTTTTGAAAAGCAATGAGGCTGACGAGCTTTTGTTAGCAACAGTTAGGGAGGCTCTGCACCATGAACAAAATTTAAAGCACTTAAATTTGAAGTGCGATAATTTTGAGTGCAAGCGCATCACGTGGACACTGAGCATGAAAGATCGCTTCCCTGATTTACCTTCCGGTCGTCAGCCCAGCTACAGCGATATTGAAAATATCGAAAATATCAGTAAACGGCAGTCATGGATGAAGGATATCGGTTCCAAAGAACTTGCGATCCTTTTAAAGTCGTATCGTCGTTTAACTCATTTGAATTTAATGGGAGTCATGCTCGGTTGTAACGGAGCCGCAGTACTCGCAGAGTTTTTTCAGTCTAATCGCAATTTGACACATTTAAGTCTTTCTTCTGCTTCCATCAGTGATTTAGGAGCCATGTGCATCGCTAACGCTCTGCGGTCAAATTGTTCTTTAACCCATCTTAGTCTAAGGATAAATTATATCAGTTTTCTAGGAGCCAGTTGGTTGGCAAATGGTCTAAAACAAAATTGTACTTTACAGTATCTGGATCTAAGTGATAATGTTGACAGTGATCCAGTAGCTGTAGAGCTTGCTAGTGCTTTAGAATCTAGTTCTTCTCTCACCCACCTAGATTTAAGTCATACTTGTCCGGACGCTCAAAGATCCTCTATTTCAGTGGATTCTGGTAAAATCTCCTTCACCACTGTTCCCTGTAAATTAATTGGGGCCTTTGGCACTTTAACACTTGCAAGAGCCCTTTGTTCGAATCGCATGTTGACCTATTTAGACCTTTCATTCAATGAGATCCGGGAGGTAGGAGCTGCATCGCTAGGAGAGGCGCTCCAAACAAACTGCTCTTTGAGTCATTTATATCTATCTGGCAATGCGATAGGTGATTCTGGAACAGCATCCCTTGGAGAAGGCCTGAAATCAAACTGCACACTAACTCGATTATATCTCACTGAAAATGAAATTGGAGATCCAGGAGCAGAAGCTCTCGGAGAGGCAATGCAATCAAATCGCAACTTAACACATCTAAATCTATATACTAACGCTATTGGCGATATAGGGGCAGCAGCCTTAGCAAGCGCACTGAAATCGTCTGGTATTCAATTGACCCATTTAGATTTGGCTGTCAATGAGATCAGCTGTGTGGGTGCAGAAGCCCTCGCGAAAGCTCTTGAGTCTAACAGCTCTCTTAAGGGCTTAGATTTAGAGGACAATGCGATCGGTTCCTCGGGAGCATCTTCGTTTGGAAAAGCACTTCGATCAAATCGTACTCTTACGCACTTGATTGTGACCAGTAACGACATCACTGAATCTGGAGCCGCAGAATTGGTAGATGCTCTACTGATTAATAACAGTTTGATCTATTTGAATGCGGAACATAATGCGATTAGTTCGCTAGAGGCGGAGAACCTTAAACGGGATATCCAGTCGCATTGTGTTATTTTTATGTAGAGACTAAGTGGATAAATGACTACATGATCTATCTCCAGCATTGTATCTTGAAGTTCAAGGAAATTACCCGCAATGATTGGTTGATCGGATGATGATGGTTAGGCAAAATAAGAAAGATATCATTGTTGAAGATTTCTTTCACTTCTGGCCTGCGCACTGTACTTGTTCTTGTATTTGCGCCGTAATCAAGACCTTTCCTTGTATATTCGCTTAGTATTGTCAGTTTTTAGATGCAACTAGATGCTTTTTGAAAAAAAATCAGCTTTTATTCTGTTGTCTACTTCGTTTTTCCAACAAATGCGATTTAATAAAATATTCCTTGAGTTCGTACATGGAAAGGCAAAGCTGTCATTGATCCATGTAAGCCACAATTAATGCAGTGAGGTAGTTTGGCTAAGTTAAACATGGCCGTTACAAGTTTACGACAAAGTTTTGCAGCTTATTCTCTCTCGTGATGTCTCTCCTGTCACGTTGATATGTGTATCGTTGGGAATTTGGTGAAAAATCTCCAAACATTTGTCACCCTTTGGTGCAAAATAAGTTTTCATTACCCAGCAATGTTAGCAACAGTTTCAGTGTTCAGTCATCCAATTAAATAAGGACTTTATATAGGCATGCAGATTAAAAAGAGTTTGTGTGCCAACTGCCACTGCCACCAACTTGAGCGAGGCATGAAAATAGTCGTTCAAAACATGAAAGGAATGATTTATAAATAGCAGCAAATACAAAGGAAGGCGCGGATGATTTAACTTGAAGAAGATGAAACGGATTGCAATTGTGGTTTTTGAAAACTTGTTAACCTAACAGTTTTTCAAAGTTCAGTCTTTTTATCTGTAACATTTGATACAATGCTAAGGAGACATTTGTTCGACGTAAAGTAGTAATTTTGTCATTTACAAGTAATTTCTTTGCTAAAATTAAGTTTCTTTTCAAGTAATCACGAGTTGCTAATATTAACAAAATGAGCTCGACAGGTATGAAACGGCTCCTTTAATACTAATAAATCAATAATAAGGGAAACTTTCTACAAGGCACCTCGAACTGTACAGATGGTCTAATTTATTTTTAGGCCAAACTGAAGTCCGCAGGGCCTAGAAATATTATTTTGCAGGCCTGACCCGCTTTTTGATGAGCAGGTCTCCCACTTGCTTGAAGATCTGGGGCCACGTTTCTCGAAAGTCGCGGTAACGTTTCCGCCCCGAAAGCAAATATTCAAATCGAAATATGAAGAAAAAAGCGCGAATTCCTGGCTGGCAAACTGCTCCATTTTGTTTCATTAACTGATGGTTTTATCAAGTTAGCTGCAAAACTTAAGCGGAACTTTTATCTTGCATGTTAACAATAACAGCTTTATGGGCCCGTTAATTATCGGGACTTTCGAGAAACGGGCCCCTGAATCCGCCAGTGTAAAGTCCAGCATACTACGCGCTAACCTGGTAGATCTTATAAACGGCAATTGTAGTTTTTTGTTTTTTTCATTTTAAAAAATATTTTGAGCATTTTCTAGTTTATTTGGTAGAGTTTCTCCGTGATGTTAGCCCTGGGGACCAAGTTGTTGTAGTATTTTCTATATATACAGTTATTAGTATTATTTTATCATTACTGTCATTATTTTTTTAGTATTGAGGTCTTGTTTACTATCTTCTATTCCCGTAGTGGCCGCCTGATAGAGTGGTATTTTCTAAACAAATCAACAGCTGTAAACAAAGGTGCTATGTTATGTTGTTTAACTACAGTGGAACACACTTGTACCGATAGGTTGATGAGAGTATATTAGCCTGTTCCAGATGTTCAGATAGAGTGGTGCGAAATAAAAAGCGAAGAAAAAATAATAATAATAATTAATAATAACTGATAAAAGGAAAAGTAAGAGGGAGAGGGATTAAGGCAAGAGTATCTCGTACCATACCAGAAGACCTTTGAGGTCTTTACTGAAACCGTCTTTGTTCCATGACTTTCCTTCCAGCCTGTTGTACCATACTAGACAGGTTTTCACATTTATAAACGTCTTAAGTTTCATGTTGCGTCCGTCTGCACACCCTGTTGCCTGTTGTTGCGTGTTGTTGGGAATTGTTGCGCAAAGATTGAAACCGGTCAAACTTTTGAGCCAATAACTCCTATATATTTCTTTTGTCTCGTGATCATCGAAGCGTGGCACAACAATGTTGGATCCGTTTGTACAGCTCTATCAAAATTGTTGGGGCTAGGTACGCTCATTACACATGGTCTCTAGCCTGCGTAGCTGGCGGGATAAGCGTGGGAGTGCTGCTTTGTTTTGGCGGCGGAGCGGCGAGAAGGGTGGGCATATTCACTTCGTATGGCGGTTTCGCCGCCAAAAAAGTTGGCCGGGCACAAGAATCTCGCCAGCTACGCAGGCTACATGGTCTCTAAAGTCTTATGGGTTGTATCCTTCCCATGATGCGCTGCAGGTCATAAAATTGTTGGAAGTTGTTGCATCCGTTAACACACCACTGCCACGCGGACGCAACAACTCCCAACCGTTGCGTCCGTTTGCACGTAGCTTAAGAAATGGTCATTTCCTCCCCTACGCTTTGAGAGGAAAAACTCGCGCCTACTCAGGGGATCTTCTCGTCCTCAGGTGTAGTGGATTGGTTTCTAAATGTATGCAGCTCGTAAATACCTCTAAACTCCACTGGCTGTAGACAGAGCTTTTTAAAGTGAATTTAGGCTGTGTTCACACTTTATCCCATATACTGATTAGCTTCTCGTGCCGAGAAAAGCTATCCGGTATATTGTGAAGATACGTGACTCTCCACTTAGAGATCCGCGCGGCGCAGCTTCGGTTCGTTACAGAAATCGCGTAACTTAAAATTACCGTTCTTATGTTATCCGGCATGGTTTTCGAGCCGGCGCAAAAGGTATCCGGTATGGTATTGTGAACAGAGCCTTATCCGTTTGGTTAGTGTGAAACATGTTCATTACAAGAAATGTGTAAAGTTATTAAGCAATCTTTAGTACAATGTGTATTGCGAGACAACCGGCGAGACCAGTTCGAGAGCACGCGTACGCCGCGCGTTAGGGGCGAGAAATGAACTTCGCGTGTCGTGTGAGATGTGTGCGTGACCTGGGACTGCACAAATGCTTTGGTCACATGATCAAAGTCATTAATTGGAGGGTTGTTGAGTTGCTGTTCGTTTCTGTGACCAGGTGGGCGACGAGGGGAAGTTTTCTCGGTTCATTTTTGTAAGTATTGATTGCTTTTTGTATTAATTAAAACTCAGATTTTTGTTCTGTGACATACAAAAAGGACCGTACGTAACAGTGCTTGGGGCCTCTATATTCTGTGCATTGCATCCTGGCGAAATGGAATTATCAGCCTCCATTTTATAATGAACTAGCAGTGACTGTTCTTAACCACACACGCTAATAAATTAGTGCTTCACGATGAAGGATTTCGTTTTCTAACTTTACTACTCCAGTGGCGTACTTTCTGTCGACTTTTGAAATGTAAAACTGTGGTAGAGGTTCTGCAAGTTACTCTTCAACTATTCTCGACTTTTCTATCCCGGAAGTGGGTACGATTGTTTTCCTCCGAGAATTCTGTCATCACGTTTTCTGTTGTCTACAGTTCAAATGGTGGGTGTATAAATTTTATGAAGAAAGTATAATTTTTCATGGTTGAGAAAGTTTTTGAAGCATTTTCATAGAACATAAAACAAGGGTACTTGGCAGGATTTTCATGCCTTTTGTCATTCAGTGTAAAAAAAATTGTGATTGTAATTTGTTTACAAATTACTCACATCACCATTCACAATTAAGAGATCCATGTTCAACATTTTAAGACTAACTGACCTGATAAATTTTGAAGGCACAGTGATCTACTCTGTGAGAGCTGTTGGAAGATCGGTGGTTAGGTTACCTAGGCCTGGTCCCTGCTCACTCCACCATCATCACCCTCCTGTTGCTTACATTAATCGCATTGCCCCTCTTCACCCAACTGTATAGTGGGTACGACGATCATAATGCTGGCTGGGGGTTGAAAGTCTTGCGATGTTCTAACATCCTGTCCATGTTGTTTATTTCCCGCCCGTTCACCTCGGATATGTCACTGAAGTGAATTGACCGAGAGGGACTGGGAAAACACCGTACAGGGACTGGGCAACCGTTCATGGAGATGTAGTATCTTCGAACTAGTCGCTTCACACTACATTTTCTGAGGAAAGCGCCAGTCTGATACATTGTAAGCCACTTCGCTCACAACATTTCTCTCTCCACCTTACAAATCAAGACACAGTGGTCTTCTCACAGTTTGACCTGATGGCGTGAGCATGATTCTTGACTCTACCATAACAAAGCTGTCATTATCCTTACCCTCCTCAATTTCAGACTCATCCCAATCCTGTTCTTTACAACTTGTGACTATGTGACGGACAACCTTGTTCCCAGGTCCCCAGGAGTTGTGTGGGGTTGAAATGAAGTGTAATGAAACGCACACTCAGGAGGGTCCACTGAAGCTCACTGAAATGAGACATGCTCTGAAGTGCAAGGAAAATTGACGAAAACTACTTCTTGGCATTCAGACTGGTGATAAATTAGACAAACCACTGTTCTTTGTCGCTTATTCTCAGCTTTGCTGTCACTGTCGCAATTTGACAACTTGTCTCTTGTCGCCATTTCATTTTACGCTCTGTTGCTACTTTTTGGATCATGTCGCTTGTCGGAATTTACCCTGGCAGGGCCTCAGCTGTCATGCAGCGCTGCAATCTGAAAGTAGTCAAAGGAGACATGGAAGTGTGTTCTAGTAGACCACATTTCACTTAATGTTCTGTACAGATCTGGAGAGCGATCAGCAAGAAAGCATAAAGGAGCATAATATTATCATTGGGCGATTCCTGAAAATATCCATACCATACCACGGACGGCTTTTAGTATTTCCGAAGGGGAGGGGGGGTTCACGATTATGGAATTCTGAGGGCATGGGGGGTATTTACGATTGGAAATCCGAAGGCATGGCGGAATTCCACAGGTGGGATTTCTGGAGTAGAAAGTGTAGAGTGAGTTCCTTGAAAACGCTATTGTTGTGGACTTTTGTAGTTCGTAAATAAACCACGAACGTATGACCGCGGAAGCAGAAGACAAGCATCGATAGATCAGACACGTGTTTACGCTCATAACTTATAGAAGTGAACAGTAAAACGTGGGTTTCACATTAACCTTGATTAATTTCTTGTTACTCCCATCCGAGGAACAGTAAAAAAACTCGCACCAGTCCCTGGCTTCCAAGGAACGCCTGTCAGATTAGAACACTTTTTGTGCACATTACATGACCTATAAAGGACGCAACACGCGTCGACGGTATGTTTGACTACCGAAAGATTTTAACAGTCTGAATTTGAGCTATTTTGCTTTGTAAACGTCAAAACAGCACAAGAAAACAAAGAGGAGTAAAATTGCCGTTAGTGGTGTTTATTTTTATTGCCAAATTCGGACCTAAAAAGGAGTTTGCACAGCCTGTCTACTAGCGGTAGGCTAGAGTCTGAAAGCTTGTCGCCTGGCGCCGCTTGATCACAGCCTTGAGGAGGCATAAATTCATGTTCGTTTGTTCATATAGGCGTTGCTAAGTTGAAAATGTACTTCCAAAAAAACGGAAATTCTGAAGGGGAGGGGGGGTTCACGATTATGGAATTCTGAGGGCATGGGGGGGTAACGCATTTTGGAATTTCCGAAGGCAAGGGGGGGATAAAACATGGAAGCCGTCCATGGTTGGGTATGGATATTTTCTGGAATTGCCCATTGTCTATTAATTTACAAATTGTGTCCCTTTTCATGTGTATACTACCCATATTCTGGAAGTGTCTCTTATAATCCAATTATGAAAGATTGCAGTGTAGTCTGTTTAGAAGCCATGGAGGCAATTTTAGTTGATTTACTGACAGGAAATAGCTCTAAATTTGTGAGTATTATTGATTCAAAGCATGCCTTTTTATGTACAATAAATTATTTTACTCATAGCTGGTGGTTTTTGATTATTTAGCAGATATCGTGACACAGGATGACACAAAGGGGAGAAGAAGTTAGGTTGTGTTGATGTTTCAAATACAATTTTGGAATGGCTTCATCTTCATCTGGGTAAGCAGTATAAATAGTATAAATCTTTGTAAGCATGTACACACAAGATCGATTCAGCTTAAGGTGGCTTACCACAGTTTTCAGCTGAAAACTATCGACTTTTTCAGATGGGAACATTTGTAACTTTGTAACTTTACTTTGTAACTTTATTTGATTTACCACAAAATACAAATAACGATAAAACAAGACAGTCACACAAAAGCAAATGAAAGTGGCGAGGAAGCCCAAAAAGAAACTTTTTTTAGGAACTGAAGGGTTCCTTTTTTTTAGGAACTGAAGGGTTCTACTGGACTGGTAATCACTTCAATTGATGTAAATTATCATTTTACCTTCTAAAAACATTTTATTACATAGTATAACGTTAAATATAGTGACCGAGCATCCAAAAAAGGGAACTAAAAACTAGCTGTACGACCCCATCTGAAAATTTCAGGATTTATTTAGTACTTAAGCTTAGAAATATTTATTGTTTTTAGAGAGAGAAAGAGAAAAATCCTATTAGACAGAATGTTTGCAAAAGCCAAAATGTGGAATTTTGTTTCTATTTATAGTAACTAAAAAAACAAAAAACTATCTGTAGGATTTGTTTGAAAAAATGTTTACAGAACAATCCTCAAAATTTGAACCCAGGTTGTACGGCTCTAGGTTTTGAGAAATATATTAGAGTGGAAATTGTCTTTTTACAACCTGATCCATGGACGAAAACACTGCGCATGCATCATCATTCAGGGAAACCCTGCTCATGAGATCGAGCGTGCACTTTTTTTTAATCTCTCCTTGGGACTGCCTTTGATTTGGTAGCACTCTGGCCACCATTTGTCAAGCTAAAAATGTGTTTTGGACTACTGATCTTTGCAGCAGTCTGTTAATTAATGCAGCATGGTTACCACAACTAAACATTCACCACTAAAAAGGCTCATATGGTGACATTTAATAGGATTGTTTTAAACCTCACTTCATTCTCGATTTGTGGATGAAAATACTACTTCACTACTACTACTTCGGATATTAGCATGAAAGAGTAACACTATAAGTTTTACGTTAAAAGTCAACCGGAGCTTTGTGAGGACTCTGTTAATAATAATAATAATAATAATAATGAACTTTATTAAAGTCTCATATCTTATAGCACGGGCACAGAGCCTTACTAATTGGGGAGACTGTATCCTATATATAAAACTCTAGTAATATATTGTAAATTCTAATTATAATTTATACTCTAAATTCTAGTTCTAATAAATAACTACCTAATAATATCTCTGGATCGTAAATTGAGTAACTCAAAAAAAGAGTAAAATGGTGAGGCGAACTAATGCTAACTCTTGCAAAGGACACAGTCGTCACATGAGTCATCTAGGCAATCTCTGTCTTTCTGATGCCTTTTTTAAAGTTACCGAGTGTAGGTGCTGATCTTATCTCACGGTTAATTTTGGACCAAGAGGTGGCCCAAAATGCCTGAGAGAGTGTATGCCATATTTTGTAGTGTTGAAACATTCCTGTCTGAAGTCTACATTTCTTAGGTTATAGTTTGTGTGGCTAGAGTTAAATAGTTTGGTTACTGAGCTTGGAAACATGCTGTGCTTTATTTTGAACTTGAAAATGGCTACATCCTCAGGCCTCCGATTATAAAGTGTTGTCATTTTTGCTCGATCTGCTTAGAAGGTCATCGTACGATGTGGACCAGTCGTTGTAGACTGTCCGCAGGCCCCTTTCATTAATGCGCTCCAGTTTTCGCCTAACAACATGTACACTAGCCTTACAGAAAAGCCAAACGAGACGTATGTGAAGTGTGGCATGACTGCTGTTTTATAGATTGTTAGTTTTGCTGTTTTGGGGATCAGATTCCTTAATCTAGATATAACACGCCAATTCTTCTGCTTGTTTTGGTGCAAATTTGCTTAATATCTTCCAAGAACTGTAGGTTGACATCAAGTATCACCCCCAGTAGTTTAATCTCTTGAGCCTGCCGAATTGTATGGCCATCGATGTGCACCTCTTTCTTAACTTCCTGCTTGGCTCTTGACATAACCAGTACTTGATATTTCGGTGGATTACCCGAGGAGTAGATAGAGGTAGTTGGATTTATACCAGCGACCAGGTGTATTCCCTGCATCCTCCTCAAAACTGCTGACGACGTTGTCAATCTTCTCACCCGAAATAATATATATTATATATTTGGTGGTCTTCAGCATAAGCACTCACATACCCCCTGTCAGTGACAGTGTTGACCAAAATGTGACTTTGCTTTATTCTTCTTAGAACCACGCCATTTAAAGAAACCGTTATTTTTAAATTCATAGAATATTTAGATTGCCAACACAATTAGGAATTATTGATGATAACTTGCAAAACAGATCAAAAAAGTGAACCCTAATCTAGTCTGGTTGTGTTCCTTTGTTTCTTCGGCTCGAAGCCGAATCATTTTCTGTACATTTTCTTCTCATTTGTTTCAAGTGCATATTTAAAGTTGGTATTTTCATTGCAAAAGCAACTGTTGTATTTTACACATCATAAACTAGAACAGATACTGCAGGTACAAAACCAGTTATTATCCACTTGTAACATTTTTCAGTTGTCGAAAATAATATACATTGTAGGTGACATGCTAGTGCGAAAATTTATCTCTTTAATTTGTCATATTCTTGAGCCGAAAACCCATGAGAACCCAGCAGTAATTTAAAAAAGTTTTACTCACATTTTCTGAACCTAAATATCTTAAAAGTTTGCTACAAAATTACTTCTTGAGAAACCCCAGAATAATAGGGATTTTTTTTTGGAAGGTTTCTCGGGGTTTTCCTTGTCTTGCTCATGTGAGTTTTGCATGTGTGAGAGATCTTACGTGGCTTGCTTAACTTAGCAATATGCGCATTGTGCACAATGTTATTGGAAAAAAAACTGTAGTAAGGCACCTTAAGTACAAACACACTTAACAATGATTAACTTACTTAACTTACAGCTGGTAGCTTAGTAAATCAAGAGTCTCTTTTATTGTGAGAAGATTTTTGTATTGGATAAATAAACTCACCTCACTGGAAAGGTTAAAGAGCCTACAAAATTTGGGTTTTGATAGTTTTCCGTTGTTTTTAACCAGTCCTATAAGCAACCACTTGATGCTTTGTGTGGTCTCTTTTTTCGCTATATATACTGCACCACTCAGATTATACAGGACTTTCAGTGAGAACATGGAGCAATGGAACAGTGCCAATAATTATGCTTATGGGACCACCTCCCACTAAATGTGCACATGCTAGGTGGTCTCTTATGGTAGGTTCAACTGTAATGTTGAATATACGTGTACAGACCGTGTGCTGGTGTAAAGTTTCATTTGATCTTGTAAGATCTTGTAACTGGCTTCATTAATCTTCAGGTCAAGTCACCTTAGTCTGACAGAGAATCAGAAACGATGGCTGGTCATTGGAATATCACTCAATAAGATCCTTGTGCCGCAAATCCGTCCTTTTGTGGAACAAGAGGTTGATAAGGAATACAACAATCTCAAGACAAGCCACAATATTCATACACAAAGTACATCTCTTCGTCTGCAAAGGTGGCCCCGAAGAAGGTTTTTGAAGTATGAGAACATCAATAGTAACAGTCATCATCCAAAGCTTCCTGATGGAAAATACAACTTTTCCTTGTTTGATTGTAAAGTGTTATCTCACATTGACTTTGCCAAGCTCTATGTTGAAAACTTCATGGCAAAGTTTAATGCTTTTGATGACCACTGTGATGCTTCAGCTGTCCTCACACTGCTTGGTGGTGTACCTGTGTTCTCAGCTACTGTGCAAGCTGCAGCTGGTGATGTCAGGAACCTTGTCAGGAATGACGGGGCACACTGTGTGTTCAGTAAGTGGGATCCTGTTAAGTTTCAGCAGAGTTTTGTTGAGATGGAAGACCTGGTGAGAGCCATGGCTCTCCCTACTGCAGATAAAGCAGAACTCCTTAAAGAACTGAAAGATTGGGAGACTAAAGGTAATATAAGTTTCATATAATTTTTAATAAAATATGAATGATGAGCATTATTGATGTTGTTAAAATTTTAAACCTTTGCTGACCTTACTGAGCTGAATGGTGCTTTTAAAGGGTTATCAGGAGGTGTTTCAGTCAAATATGTATACCAAATAATTATGCTGTACCCCAGCAGCGACAAAAAAAATTGATGGAGATCAACAGTAGAAAGAAAGCTTAACAATATGGTGGAATTGTCTTTAATTTGTAATTCTCCTTTAACATTTTTGAGATGATTTTTTCTTAAAACAAGATGCATATTGTTTTCTCAAATTTTGCCACAGTGGCAAAAACCCTAAAAGCTGATTGAATAGCATGGGTAAAGACCAAGAGAGTCACCATACTGATAAAAAATGGAAATTTATTCAAGTCATAATGAGGTGGGTTTGATTTGTGAAACTGTTTATACAAGACCTAATACCTAAACCTCAATCATTGACCCTTACTGTACACCCCTGACTGCAGAAAGGAAAACTAATCTCAACTGATTTCAGTGAAAATGATGTTTCACTCTACATTCTAAAATTATGTTCAAAAGGTTCGTAGAAAACAAAAGCTGTTTTTTGTAAAAGTACTTGTGATTTTTAAAATGTCACCTGAGTTATGTGCTGTTTAAAAAACGAGCAGGAGCGTATTATCTGGTTTAAAAACCCAATAAGGTGAAGCCAAGAGATTTTAAACCTGATAATACACCACTGCGAGTTTTTTCACTGGCTTCAAAATCTCTGATATATATCGACAACTCATTCTTGAACTAACATTAATAGATTTGGGTTTTTTTTGGTCTCAAAAATTGGACATAAAGTTGCGTGTCTTTATCAGCTATAAAGACCCCATTAAACATTAATTTCTTTTGTTTTTTCTTTATGAATTACTAATGAGTTTTTGAAGTTAAAGAAAAAGTTGTGAGGTTTGGATGTTCCTTTTCTTTCCGGTTAGCTGTTCTTAATATATTGCCGTACGTACAGTGTATATTTGTAGATATTACAGTTCAATGTGCAATTTAATCGTCCTGCTTTGTTTGCAGGGACTCTTTTGTGCATGAACTCTCCTGTAGACCCAGCACTGCTTCAACTTGTCCAGCAAGAAGTAAGGTTTTTACAAGATAACGTGAACAACTTGTCAGTAGAATTTGAACAAGAAAGGTTGAGGATACAACAGGAACTACAAAACGCTGCCATAATTCTTGAAGAGATGAAACAGACAGTGGAAGGACTGAAGAATTTTCAAGGTAATCCTGTTTAACCTCTCTCAACCCATTTTCAAATTAATATTGACGTCACTATCACAGTAAAAATATAATAGTTTCCTGCTTTTTATTTAATTGTGGGATCATCTAAAAATTGCAAACATTATGGTTCTGTTTTGTAGAGGATGCAGAGCAGAGGTTAGAAAATCTAGAGACTTTTCAAGGTAATCCTGTTTAACCTCTCCCAACTTATTTCCGTATTTATACTGACGTCTTTATTACAAAAAAATACAATGGTTTCCTGCTTTTTATTTACTTTATCATCTAAAAATTGCAAACATTATGCTTCTGTTTTGTAGAGAATGCAGAGCAGAGGTTTGAAAATCTAGAGACTTTTCAAGGTAATCCTGTTTAACCTCTCCCAACCTATTTTCATATTTATACTGACGTCACTATTACAAAAAAATACAATGGTTTCCTGCTTTTTATTTACTTGATCATCTAAAAATTGCAAACATTATGCTTCTGTTTTGTAGAGAATGCAGAGCAGAGGTTTGAAAATCTAGAGACTCGTTCCGGAAAAGTTGAAGGCCAAGTACACAGTCTTACAGGTAACCTTGAGATGACAATTATATCTAATTATTTACGGAAAGAAGACGGCAGATCAGTGGTTTAAACTAAGTTAAAGACCTTGGAAAGGTCGTTAAGCAGGTAAATATAAACTGTGCGTCACACAGAAACTGACCCTCTAACTGGTGCTGCCTCTGTTTAAGTCCACCCAGTCTGTTAAATCCGGTGGTCGTGGAATTAGCTTTTTCCAGGCTCTCAGATGGTGGGGAAGACGCGAAAGTGAAAGGCACGCGAAAAGTTGGCGGAGCAGGAAAAAGGAAAAAAGGAAGGGATAGACAAATGATCACAGGCTCCGCCGCCCTTCTCTCCCCAGTTTCTTCCCGTGTTATTTTCGTGTTTGCACTTTCTCAATTCAGCGGACCCGGCTATCTTAGAGCCTGGAACAGGCTATCGTGGAATGAAATACCGTGGATGAGATCGGAGGACAACACACGTGTCCTCTTTACATAAAATGTTAACATTACATGTTAGTATGCGTGGACGTCATCATACAAAGGCACCACTGGCAGTTGCTATCAGCCATGAGCTAACTGTAACCCGCGCAACGCATTACGTGAATTATGTGCACACCGCCATGTTAATGTTCCACACTCTTTTCAAAAAGTAGCGTGAGATCTTTTAAATGTCCCCTTCGATTTGGCCAATGAATGAAGGATGAAAGAACACCGTGAATACTTCCCATCGTTTCAACATTACAACGATGAAAGAATTGAAATTGAATGACACCATGATTTCGATTTTAGTGTCTTAGTTTTCGTAATCTCGAAAACTAAGACGGGTCTTAGGTCTTAGTTTTCGAGGGTCTTATCTATCGGTCAAATCGAAGCTTCAAAACATCCCCCCCGGGCATGCCCCGGGCATTTGACACCTTTGCCGTCCAGGGGAGGAGGGAATTTGATTATCAGAGTTTTCCAGGGGATAGGGAATTTGATCCCCCTGCACTAGGGGGGGGGGGGGAATTTGAACTGCACCCTCGAGTTCATATGAAATCTCTGGCGAGGCGAGCTGTCATGGGGGACGCGGTGTTAGAGGATTTTCGTGGAAAAGATTGTGCCTTTGTGGCCAATTGGTTACAAGGTTTGTGCCGTATTTGAAGGTATTTAAATTTTAATATTTTTAGTATTGGATTCAGGCTTTGAATATATGAATGTAGAAGAATGTATAGTCGAATTGCGCGTATTTTTTTCTCAACGAAGACGTAACGGTGAAGAAAGCTAAAATTACTGCAGAGGGCGATTTTTCACAGCCTTCATTAAAGCACCATTCATTCGCGCAAGTATTCTTAGTTTCATTAATCATTAACTTAATGTGGGGAGAAAGGCAAGACTTCGAGATAAACAAGCCAGCGAAAGGGTGAAAATGCAGTTTCACGGCAAAATGGACATTATAGCGTTATACTTTTGAAAAGAATTAAATATCTATAGGATAATTGTTTAACGAGAAATTATCATACTGACCTTTTCCTGCTGCTCAAAAAATGTGCGCGAAATGTAAGGTCGTAGCAACATTCAGCCGCCATCTTGTCTTCTATGTACTGTTTTACGAAAGGAAAGACTGTCCTCTCAAGGGCGACAGCGAGGTTACAATAAACTCACTTTCATCGTAGAAATGCCTCGATACCTTAAAGAACAGGTTTGTGGAACGTAGCACCCAATATACGTCATTCAGCTCCAGAAAACAGCCTGCAAATACTAGTAGTGAAGCACTTCAACTGACCGTATTGGCGCATGTGCATACAAAATGTCCTCCTGTTTTTACGGAGTAGGTGAACGTACCACAAAAAGTTTCTTTTTTCTTTTTCTAAACTCAGATACGGTCTTTTCGAATTCAATCCAGAACATTTCGCCAACATTTGACAAATTAAATGAAAATTGATAAGATCGATGAAATTTGAAACAGTGCGAATTTACTTTTTAAGTGAATTTTCGGTGTGTTCTCATCCAAAAATTTTTCTACCATGACAACGTGACGTAACGACTTCTCCTCTCTATTCTGTTCCAATGCTGGGGTTTCTTGGAGACCAATCAAGATTAACTTCCTAATATGGAATCACTGAAACGTGAGATTGTAGCGCTAGTGTTACGAAAACTGTGTTGCGATGTAAACGAAGCACTACAAAGGGCAATTACAGTTTTAGAAGTACACTTTGACCAAAATCGGAATTCAAGATGACCAGGATTGACTTACTCCGAACAAGACAAAGCCAACTATTCATGATAAGCATCTTACGGCCTTTGTGGACCCGACTTAACTTGATACCGAAAGAGCTCTAGCGCGTGCTAAAACATTTGTGTCAACACATTACGCGACCTTATTCTCTGGTTCCATATTTGGGCAAAAAAATTTCTGTGCTTCTGATTGGACGGTTTAAAAACCCCAGCATGGTTCTAAACAAATAAGGGGAAGTTAGACACTTCGGGGTTATATGCTTCTGTTCTATGTCATAAGAGGGAAATTGTTTTACGTAGGGAAAGGTTGAAAATTGAAAATACGCTTCTTAGTCGACGTTTTTCCTTTCTCCTCTTTATTTCACCTGCACAAAAGTTTCATGACTTGACGGCAAAAGAATCTGCTGTGTCAAATGCTTCTCTTCAAGACCCGCCGGTGACAACTTATGGTAGGTTTGCAGCAGTTATGATAATAACTGATTTAGAGTGAAATTTTTATTAATGGCAAGAAACAAGGGAAAACCAAATTGCCTTGCATACAGTTATCAAAGGGAGTTATAAGAGGAAGATCACATTTTCTCTCTACATATTTTATAATTAGACACCATACTTTCTTGTGAATGTACTTCAATAGTTTTAACAATTTGACAACACTCTGAGAGAGTGTTTGACAAAAACTAGTGATAGGAATGGTTTGCTTGTGGTGACTGGGACACTTGAAATGAAAATGCTAACTAAATAACGATAAGTCCAATGCGCGTGAACTTTCGTCGACTGTTAATATTCAGTGTTCAAGTGTATTTTATTTTAAACGCGAATAAAATTATGCCTCATTTCTGTTTTCCCCCATCCGTCAATCCAGGTAAACTTGTCTAACTTATCACACGAGACACCAAAGGCGGGGTGATGTGTCCCTTTCCATGGTGTGAAGATGAACTACAACTGAAGCTATCGAACATAGCTATTGGAGTATTTCTAGATCTCTCGAAAGCCTTAGATACGGTCAACCACGACCTTCTTTTCAATATACTTGAACACTATGGGGTTCGGGGGCTACCACTAGAATGGGTCAAAAGTTACTTTTGCAATAGGTCACAATTTGTTGAATTCAACAACTACAGGTCTGCCCACCAGAAGTTTTCCTATGGGTTGGCTCAGGGCTCCATTCTTGGTCCTTTTTTTATCCTGTACGTCAATGATTTAATTAAGGCCTCTCAACTTGAAACAATCTTGTTTGCTGACGACACAACCTTATTTATCTCCCACAGTGACCCTGTTTCCCTAATCAATTTATAAAATAGAGAATTGGTCAACCGCATCAACATAACAACTTTCTTTAATTTACCAGACATGTTTCGACGATACATCCGTCATTTTCATTGTTACATATTTTGAAATCGCCGTTGAATTTAAATCGCGCACGATGTTACAAGTACGTTACATTGCGTTGGCAATGGTTGAGGTCACGTTTCTCCCATTTTATGAACATAGATTCTTTGAGCTTCACTTGGTACTTGGTAGCTGCGGAGTGCAGGATCTGAAAGCCATCCGGTGTACAGAGTGTTCTACAAGTCTCGACGGCGGTTTGTGCGTCCTTGGTCTCCCTAAGATGCACAAACCACGAGCGCCAAATTCCACTCCCCCATTTCGCCCTATAGTTCCCTCCATACGCGCCTATAACTACAGCTAGGCCAAATACTTAAGTAATCTCCCCCAACCTCGTATTCCATTCACGTTCATTGCTTCAGACTCCTTTTCCACTCAGAACAGGATGCAACTTTTTTCTTCAATTACATCAACAATCAACACCTTAATAAACACTTTACAATGGAGCGGGAAACTGACCATGTCTACCTTTCCTAGATGCTCTAGTCAACAACACCGACCCACACCTAAGCGTGACCACCACTTAACGCCGGAAAAAAAACTTTTACAGGTTTGCTCACCAGTCATCTGAGTTTCTCCCTCTTTACTTAGAAATTGGGGTTAATCAAAAATTTGATTGATAGAACCTTCAAGATAAACCACACTTGGATGGGGTTCCACACTGACCTCCAAAAATTGTCTGTCATTCTACGGAGGAATCTCTTTCCTGAGAACCTTATAAACAAATTTATTTCTAAATATATTGAGACAGTAGTCAAGGGAAGGAAAACAGAACCTCACTCAGGAGTCGAGCCCAAGTTCTATTGTAAAATCCCTTACGGTGAGCATATCTCAGTCACGGCACAGTGAAGTATTCGCAAACTTGCTAATCAGTTATGTAAACCTATTGATATAAGGCTTGTCTTTACTACTTTCAAAATCAAGAATCTTTTTAATGTGAAAGCTGCTGTCCCCACAGGTAACCCAGGCTCTGTGATAGTACCACAGTACGGTTCCAGTAAAATTACAGTGTTTGTATGGGGTAAAAATATCATCCTAAAATTTCTAGGAAATACTAAATAAAGATCAATGAAACTTGCTCTGCAGTTAATTGTTGTTGTCCTTATTGCTCCAACGAAGTTTCGTGATAATTTGCAGTAATTTGTTCAAATTCACTCTATCTACAATAATAATATACAAGGTAGGAAACAAGAGGTGCCATTTTCGCCGACATGCTCTCATTCAACACAACTTTTTCCACGAAATTCGAACTCCAACGGAAAATAAACATGCCAGGATCGTAGAAATAGGATAGCAGCAGATATAGAAACCAATGAAGCTTTCCCAGATAGAGAAACGAATCCCAAAAACTTTGGCAAACTCGAAGAATATAATCCAAACAGACCGAGAATACGCTCGCCGAAGCAGCCGGGCCAGATCAACACGCGGCCAAGAAAATGAGGCCTGGGCACTGTACAAAAAAATTCAATCCCGAGGGTCCTGGGGTGAACTTTCTAGGGACCGATACATCATTTGTCCAAAGCCACCCTCCCCTACTGGAAAAATACTTGATAGAAGGCAATTGTTCTTCCTAGCCAATCACTATGGCCTGTTATAAAGAGATTATTTTCCTCTCGAACTATATTCAGCTCCTGGCGCTGGTCCTCAGAAAGTTTATCAAACATCAATAGGGCAAGGTTATAAGGGCAAAGGAAAGAACAACGAAGGAGGATTTACAAAACTCAAAACGAGCAAAAGATATAAGTGAATTTTGGCTCTTACCGAGGCATTTGTACAACAGGACGAAATTCAAAGAGAGGTGTATCACGATGATTCACATATTTAACCGATAGAGCGTTCACTTGTATTGACAAGAAGGCGGCGTGTTACTGCCGCATTAATCGCTAAATATGTTAATCGCGCTAGTTCTTTGTTTACTAGTGCACGTGCCTTTCACATTCGTCTCAGTTATCGCAATTCATATTCTGTCGCAATTTTCTGTATAAATTTTGACATTGGTTTGTAAGCTTCACCGTTTATTTACGATAGTTTCGCTCGAGAGTTCACAGCAACAGTATCTCAGTCATCATCTACCTTTTGTTCAACCTTGTTTTTAGCCCGCCTTGTAAGCATTTCGCTTTGTTATTTCATTAGTTTCATTACTGTTATTTGCATTCCTTAGTAAAAGAAATGGGACGCCTTGTAACTCCGCAGACTCTCCTGATTATATTACTTTTTTTTTAGCCATTTAAATTCAGGCGCGTGTGCGGGGTTTGCTCTGGCAAATGGTGATTGGCTAGGAAGAACAATTGCCTTCTATCAAGTATTTTTCCAGCAGGGGAGGGTGGCTTTGGGCAAATGATGTATCGGTCCCTAGAAAGGTCACCCTAGGACTCCCGGGATGGAATTTTTTTGTACAGTGCCCAGGCCTCATTTTCTTGGCCGCGTGTTGATCTGGCCCGGCTGCTTCGGCGAGCGTATTCTCGGTCTGTTTGGATTATATTCTTCGAGTTTGTCCAAGTCTGTGGGATTCGTTTCTCCATCTGGGAAAGCTTCATTGGTTTCTATATCTGCTGCTATCCTATTTCTACGATCCTGGCATGTTTATTTTCCGTTGGAGTTCGAATTTCGTGGAAAAAGTTGTGTTGAATGAGAGCATGTCGGCGAAAATGGCACCTCGTGTTTCCTACCTTGTATATTATTATTGTAGATAGAGTGAATTTAAACAAATTACTGCAAATTATCACGAAACTTCGTTGGAGCAATAAGGACAACAACAATTAACTGCAGAGTAAGTTTTATTGATCTTTATTAAGTATTTCCTAGAAATTTTAGGATGATATTTTTACCTCATATAAACACTGTAATTTTACTGGAACCGTTCTGTGGTACTATCACAGAGCCTGGGTTACCTGTGCTGTCCCTGAGGGGCTTTGCGCCCGTGTGGTTTATAAATTTTCGTGTGCAAGTTGTAATGCTTGTTATGTTGGTGAAACCAGCCGACTTTTCTCCACACGAGTGCGCGAGCACTTACTTTCCGACAGGACTTCGAACATTTTTAGACAGCTGCAGAGTTCAGAGTCTTGTCGAACATCCTGCACACCGAATTGCTTTCAGATGATGCACTCTGCAGCTTCTAAGTACCTGGAGAAACCCGACCTCAACCAGCAGGTGAAACACATAAACTTGACTCTCTCCTCGTAAGTAGCTAAGCTTCACTAATTTTGAACTTTTCAGTGCGTAATATTGCCAACGCAATGTAACGAACTTTGTAACATCGCGCGCGATTTAAATTCAACGACTAATTAACAATTATTCTTTGAAATCGAGGTGAATAGTGGCAAAATATTTACCGAGCCGCGAAAGCGGCGAGGTAAATATTCCCAAAGCCACTATTCACCGAGATTGAGAAGAATAATTGTTTTAGTATATACACACGAAGTGATCTCAACAAAATCAGAAAGGAAACCATTCAAAAGTAGGATTTGATTGACAGATCAAATCACGCGTAAGTTTAAAAATAGATCTTTGCAGAATTTTCAAACATGGCAATTCACAAGTTTACTCATTTCGCAAACAACAGCGTAATGGCTTCAATGGAATCGCTAAAAGTTTGAACTGTTTCCTTACCTGAGAAAAAAAGTAGAGCTGTGTTGTTTTCTGTTGACTCGCCAAGTTTATAGCCAAAAGGGCATGTTGTGTCGTTCTTCGCATGAAGTGCTGACAAAAATGGCGGCTCGGTTGCTCGAGGTAAGAGGTCGTCTTCCTGTATCATTCTTTTTCCTGTTTACTTGAAATGTAGAATTTCTGCAAACATTTCCTTTTAAATTTGTTTGTCATAAATAAACTTCGATTTTTGAGCCAAAATTTTCTTCTTAGAAAACGCTGAGTTCACGAAACGGCTTCTTCTACGCGAATACACGGGAGTTGTAAACAATCCATCGAGCACAAAACTCCTGCTACAGTAAATTGAAAAACGCCGTATTGAATCCTTCCAAGTCTTTTCTTGCCTTAAAAAAAGTCAGCCCTAGGATTTTGTCGACTTTTAAAAGATCGTTCTCTAAAAAAAACGGGAAAAACACCGAGCTCACACATTATCCACTCGCTAGGAGGTGAATATTGTTGAATAGTCCGAGATAGCGAACCAATCAGATTGCTTAAATCACCAAGATCACTGAGTGTGTATATACTAATTCAAAATATGTGACACTGAAGATGCGGATGTACCGTCGCAACATGTCTAGTAAATTAAAGAAAGTTGTTATGTTTTAGACCTTTTAGAATTGGACAAATTGTCAACCTGGTTTGCAGCAAATATGCTTTCACTGAATTTATCTAAGACTAATTTCATGGTTTTTAAGCCTTGGCAAAAAAAGCAGTCCTTTGAATTTCAAGTTGTTCTAAACGAGCGGCCTATCCTTTGTGTCCTGGAAACTATGCCTCTTGGTGTTCTTCTTGATGACAATGTAACCTGGAAATCTCATATATCTTTAGTAGCCACTAAAATGTCTAAATTTATGGGCATCATTCATAAATCTACAGGTTTTTCCCTCTGCTCACTCTCTTCGTACCTTGTATAATTCAATGATCCTTCCATCCTTCCATTATTGCAATCTAGCTTGGGATGTACCTATAAATCTAAACTTAAAAGGATAGTTATTTTACAGAAGCGCACACTAAGAATAGTTAGGGAATCTAGGTACGATGCCCATACTGACCCGGTCTGTAAGGAGCAAAACCTCTTGAATCTTTCAATTAGGCCTTTTTATGTTTTCATTTAAGAATTCTACACTCCCTTCAAAATTCAATAACTTATTTTCTACGAACAACCAAATATACAATTATAATACAAGGAGTGCTCAATCTTTTCGTTTACCGCTATGCAGAAACAATACCAGGCGGTTTTCCGTTTACTTTCAAGGTCCAAAGTTTTACAACTCTCTGAATGCTAAGATAACTAAATCTTCCTCCTATACAACTTTAAAGAAAAGCTTGAGGAATTTCTTCTCAATAGGTATTAACTTAATGTTGCATTCAGCTTTATTTACTTTTATTTTTGTACAAGCTTGTACTACTTTTGCTGGTCGATATTGTCATATTAGACTTGCTTTTTTTTAGTTCTAAGGAAACCAGATTAATGATAAGCCCCGTGGTTTCTTTGAGGTTTCCTCGCCATCTGCTTCCTTTGACTTTCTTTATAATTCAACTGTATTTGTAATGATGTTGTGGCGAATAAGTATGAATGAATGAATGAACATCTTCACAAGACTACAGTTAGTTATTAGAACAAATGAACGTTCACAACTAACGGATGACATCGTCAATCTGACAGAAATATTCAAGTCACATCTAGAATGGCACAATCCAAGAGTGTTGCTGATCGAGGGGTATTCTGGGATGGGCAAAACTACGTATTGTCAAAAGCTGGCTTATAATTGGTCCGTGGGGATAATTCCACTTGATGCTTCGTTTCCCGAAGTGAATATATTGCTGCTGTTGAAATGCCGTGACGTGCACATGAGAACCGCTAACATCGAGGAAGCAGTTGATGATCAGCTTTTATTTTATAAGTACCGAGATTTATCCACACAGATGACAGTGGTGAAAAAATCGTTCCTTTTTTAGTCGCAGTCAATCAGCGACGCGAACGATGAAATTTCACTAGTGAAAAATCATCGTTCGCGACGTCTGATTGGAAGAACGATGTTTTTCACTAGTGAAAAGTGATCGTACGGCAAGCCACGTCATCCTTGGCGCGAAAACTGGCAAGCCGCCTTTTTATTTTCAAGATGTCGGAAAGGTTTTGGACGTCGGTTCAGTTGACAATTTCATTGCAGAACAAGAAAACGAAGCCACATTACAAAAAACACAACGAGATGTAAAACTTTTGCAACCTTTTTAGGAACCAGGAATGAACTTAGAAAAGTTGAAGAAATTCCAGCACTGGAGTTAAACGAATACATCTGCGAGTTTATCATTTCGGTCAGAACCAAAGATGAGAAAGACTATGAGTCTTCTTCGCTCCGAAGTCTTTTGGCAAGTTTTGAACGACATCTAAAAAAGAACAGCTACTCTGCCAGTATCATGAATGACCTCGTATTTGAGAAAACAAGAAAAGTCCTCCTGTCCAAACAGAAAGAGTTAAAGAAGAAAGGAAAAGGAAACAGGCCAAACGCTTCGATAGCAGTGCCAGGGAGGACAGTGACGATGAGTAAAAACATTGCTATGATATGAATATGTTGTTTTATATCACTAGCTTTAAAATTTCCTCTTTTCCCTTTGCTTAAATTTTGAAAAGAAAATGTTGAAGTTTTTACGCTTTCGAGTGAATAAAACGTATTTTATTGTCTAGAAATTTTGAAAAGATGTTGAATTTTTAAAGAGCGTATGAGTAAATAAAACTCATTTCATTGTCTTATCGCTGTTAATTGTCATTATTGTTTGAAAGAAATATCAGTACTTATAAAATAAACAAATAACTTCATGTTGGTTCGCTTGTACGAGTTTTATTCACTTGTTGTGAAGAATCGCAAACTCACTCGTTCGCTGCGCTCACTCGTTCGTTTGCGATTCTTCACAACTCGTGAATAAACATCGTACGCACTCACCAACCATGAAGTAATCTCTATCTACCACATGATGCAGGCAAGAAGGAAAAAGAAAACTTCTTTCACTTTATTCACTCCAATCAGTCTGGCCGAGAATCTTGCTGGTTCTTGATGGTTTGGATAAACTGCGTGAAGATCTGTAGGAGGGTTTTCTGCCTTTGATTCAAAGCAAAGTCTTTGCTAATGTGTACCTCATGTTAACAGCTCGGCATGAAGCTGGAATGAAAGTAAGACGATATTGTGATACGCTTCTTGAAATTGTTGGCTACACTCAACAGGACGTTGAAAGTTGCATTAAGAAGTATTTCAGCAGATATGTGGATGAAAGCCTTACTCACAAAATGATAAGAAAATTGGACAGGACCACTTAATACAGCGTTGTTGTGTCTTCTCTGTGAAGAAACAAAAGGAGTGTTTCCTTCGAAAAGAACCAGGATGTACGATGAGCTTGTGTCCTGCGCTCTCAGAAGGTATTTTGCAAAATGAGGTATTTTTCTAACTGACGAAGATCCGGTGGAGTGATGTGCAAGTGAGCTGAATCTGTTGGGGAAGATGGCTTTTGAGGCTTTACTTAAGAATCAGTTATATCTCAGTCAAGCCGAGGTGAAAACTCAGCCCATAGTGGATTTTCTTCGGCTGCCGTTTCTCTCCCGTGAGCCAAGTGTGAGCAAGATCAGGCCAACACCATCCATCCATCCATCCATCCATCCATCCCATCCCATCCCATCCCATCCCATCCCATCCCATCCCATCCATCCATGCTTTCGACTATCAAGAGAGATTTCAAAGCTTAATCGACGACAGTGTAGATTTCTGTGTCGATTATTTGGATGAGAAACCGTACGACTGGGCTGAAAATTTAACAATGTGGGGCAAGGATAAAAAGGTTCTGAGCGAAGTTGTGAATAAAGCCCTTTTTCTTATTGTTGAGTGTGAAGATGGGGATAGCGAGTTAAAGGAGTATCAAAAGAAGATGGTGCATGTACTAGCACGCTGCTTTCCATTGAACAAATTGGAACTTAAACTAAGAGCTAATAATGAATTTACCACCAATAAAAATAATAGGATTGGCCCCAAATAAAGATCAGCCATCGCAGAAGCTCTTTCGTTTAATTGTACATTAAATTATTTAGGTCTTGATTGCAATGCCAGCGGCGACTTAGGTGCAGAAGCACTTGGCGAATCGCTTCAAATAAACAACGTTTTGAAGGAATTATACTTTATGAATAATGGTATCCATAAAACAAGCTTAGCAGCATTTGGCAAGGCTTTTCAAACAAACTGCACTTTGACCCATTTAACCCTTGCAAAACTAGAGCGTCTTCTCGACCTTCACACAGCCATAAAATGCAGCTGTTAGCCCGCTTGGCCCTTTTTACGTACCGAGATGACAGTTTTGCGTACCCTTTAATATACGTTAACCAGTTAAAAACCCTACCTTTGATATACCCGAACCCTGAAAAAAAGGTACACCTTTCGGGAGGAGCCTCCCCATACAGGCCATTGTAGGGAGTTCTCCCCGGTGGTGTCCGCAAGGCTTGAGTTGACTGTATTCAGTAAAAAACAACCCACCTTTAAAAGTTTAGTTGTCCTTTAGAGCATTCTTTTCAGTTTTGAATGGGGGGTTATATAATATCATCCTTTATAACAATACAGTGACTTAAAGTGCCTCTTCATATTTGTTATTAACAGGAGAGACAAGTCAGCTTTTGTTCACTGTTGGGCAACCGCACGAAAGTACTTCAAAAACAGGCCTTGATTGCAAACAACAGACTACTACCATCGCAGTAGAATCAGTGCCAGAGCATTTCCAGAGCAACCTCTTAAAAAAAAAGATGGAAAAAATCCCAATTAAGTTTTATAGGAAAATTTGTATAAAGCTGGACACACTACGAGATGCCCTCTGGGATGATTATCGGTCGTTTGGTGAAGCGATTGGCCTTGACAAAGACGAGGTATTGTACTTGGGACAGATTGGGAATCCAACGCGTCAAATGCTAGAGAAGTTTGATTCTCAAAAAGGGAGCTCGGTCGGGAAATTTAGAGACCATGTCAAAGAAATGGGAAGAAATGATGTTGTGTCCATTGTCGAAGATTGGATTCTTGATGAGTGGATAAAGAGCAATTATCCGTTATCCTAAATGTAAGCTTATGAGTTAAGAGAGAACACATTCAAGACTCGCTTTCATGCGCGAATATACATTCTTTTATTTAAATGATGATTCGATCCCCTCCTTTTAAAATTGTACCAGTCGAAGAGCTTGGTTGATAACCTTTTATAATGAATAACAATGATGCTCGGTATAAATTTTGACGGAAAACTTTGTATGAATCTCAGGATGTTTTTGGAAAAGTAATGATTACTTTTCCAAAAACATCCTGTAATTCATACAAATTCTACCAGCTAGAAAGGATCTTGTCACAGTGACAAGAATGTCTTTGATTTCATTTAAAGTAGGAAAGTATCCATTTAATCAAGAGGTAAAACAACTATAGGCAATCGTAGCTGAACTGGAATATGAAAATTTTTGGCCTTTCGCCGTTATAATGCTACCTTTTTTACCAAACTTAGTTCTCCACTTTGCTCTGTAGAAAATCTTTCGCCCATTTTGATGTATATATATATGGTGGAAAGTGGAAAGGGCAATTTTTACACAACGAACATTTCATCAAGAAACTTGCTTACCAACCAAGGCACAGCCAGCCAAAGGAAGCCATAAATATCATTTCTTGACGAAGCAGAAATGAAAATTTGTACACAATCATTGCAAGCTCTCCTTTTCCCCTCCTCCTCGCGGCGAATCGCTCATGCGTTTTCTCGTGGCTCGAGAGCCTGATCAGGCAAACGTATATAAAACAAGGACCCCGGTCCATGGACCACGTCTGTGGACCAAGAGTCTCTACCGTAAACTTCCGATTTTAAGCCCCCCTCATTTATAGGCCCATTTACCAGTGAAAAAGAAAACCATCTGGTTATAAGCCCCCCCTTCCTTAATACAAGCTGTTAGGGTCGTCACACAACGCTCCTGTCCACTGTTTGATCAATCAAAAAAGTATTTTGATCAGCTCTGCTATGTAGCTTGTTTTGAAACACTTTTTCTAGTCCGGTTATAAGCTGCCCAACTCCCCCCTTTTTAAACCCTTCTAAAACCCCTCACGAAGTTGTATAAGCCCAGGGATTATAAATTTGTTTAGAACTCTGGGCACAGTTGTTCGAAAGCAGGTTAAATACTAACCTCGAGTTAAATTGGCTTAACCCGAGGACCGGGCATGTTTTGTACGTCCTGCAAAGGCTATTAAATACTGAGGTCTACAAACGTAAAGTATCGTTAAATGTACTAAATCTTTTATTCAGTAATCAGTGAACAATGAAGACTTACCTTTAATTCCTTTTTTGTGTATTTTGGTGTGAATTTATCAGTGACCCTACTGCGGCAACTCCATTCGTGGCTTCGATCACAGATTGCGAACGTTGTCTACTCGAACCAGAAAACCCATCAGTACAGTACAGTACTGTTTTATTAAATCTCCATTACGTGGCTCTTCCGATTTTTATTTACAAATTTGGAAAAGGAAAGGGAAAAAAGAGACTAATTTACAAATCTAATTAATAATAAATGGAAAAAGTAAAGGAAAAAATAGCTACGATAATATATCGTATATATACTACATACATATACTTATTATTGACTGGTAAATACTATAATGACATATAAAAACTGTTGTAGTCATGCAGTCAGTCACCCAGTTCACGGTGTGACATAGCTCCAATTTTGAACCATGCTTAAAGTTAGTGAGCGTTTTACTATTTCTTGTGCTTGCGCTTAGCGAGTTCCAAGTATTGGTAGATCAATAGTGAAAGGATAGTTGTGCAGTGGCTGTCCTGCACATAGGAACGTCTAGGTTTTCCCTGAATCTGGTATTATATAACTATGGATTCCTGTCCTTTTACTGATATAGTTACTTAGGTAGGAGGGCGCAAGTCCATTCAGTATTTTGTACAACTGTGTGACATCACGTTCTAACCGCTGATGTTTAATGGGGGACCAAACCAGTTCCCGCTCGTATTAGTTAACACGCGAGTAGCAACATTTTGTACAAGTTGCAATTTATGAATGTTCTGCTTGAAAGTGCCAGACCATACAGTATAACAATAAAAGAGCTTACTGAAACCCAAGCAATTGAAAATGGTGAAGAGTACGGATTTGGAAAATAGATGCCTAAAGCCTGGTTTCCATATGATCGTCCCGATCGCCCCAGTCATTTCAAAATATTTCGAGACGATCCGGACGACTGGGGCGATTGGTAGTTTCCATATGATCGTCTCGATCGCCTCAAAGACAAGAGACGCGGGGTCGTCAGCGATGCAATAGAATTTTTGCGCGTGTTTTGCAAACAAGCCACATAAATGGATGATTTTTATTCGTAAAGCGAACCTCGTACCTTGGTATCTGAGTTTTTCTCTTGATTTTGCGGCATTGAGAAGCTAGAAGAGTTCCCCGAAGACATAGTATCTCTTCGAAAACTTGATGTCACGGACTTTCTGTAATTTCAAATAACCCACATACGCGCTGCGAACATTTGTATATTATTTTTTCGGCTTCAGTGCCATCCGGGCCAAATTTATTCTCGATTACCGGGATAAATGTACTGACTTCTGGGACAGCCTTCGATCGTCCCGATCGTCTCAGTCGTCTGAGAGCGTTTCCATATGATCGCTTCAAAATTTACATGATCGTCCCGATCGTCGGGATAGAACTCAACTCTATCCAAGCGATCGAGGTCGTCTCAGTCGTCCGAGTCGTTTGCGATCGTCTGGGTAGCGTTTCCATATGATCGTCCCGGTCGTCTGAACATTTTTTGAGACGACTGGGACGATCCGGACGATCATATGGAAACCAGGCTTAACTCTGCTTATTTGACACAGAGTGAGATGAGGGACGAAGTCAATGTATTTACATGTCCATTAAATGAACATCCATGCATCTAATCGCAGATTTTTTTCAGTCAGAGGTAAAGTCCTATCATTGCCACAGTAACTGTTTCTTCACCAAATATCCCCACGTATGTTGCCAGAAATGAGCATATTTTCGCTCCATTCCACTGAAAATAGGGACCTTACGATCCAACAACAGCGACGTCATAAAATCGTCGCTGAAAAA